ATCTCAACTCACGTCTAGCAAGTGCTGGGTCATATCTGCACAGGATACCGTACCTGCTTGTATCGATCTCGCCGAGGCCCCTAAAGCTACATCTAGTGACACGAAGCACTGGAATCGGTACCTGAAATCAGGAACGAGTTCGTGCCAAAGGAATGTCCTCTTTGATATTCGCGTACAGCGGCATGCTGGGTCGTAAGGCAGGCTGCAGAGGCGCCCAAGCATGCGGCCCTGTAATGCGACAGAGACACGACACGACTACCTGACCAATGTGGGATGGCCACTGGACAGGGTAGCTTGAATAGTCCCGGCATCTTCCAGAGATACAAAGCTGTTCTCTCGCCTGATGGCTCCTTTGATTGTCGTGATTACGGACTTTGCTCCGATTACAGACCTTAACAGGAGCAAAGTGGCCACTTGGTGCTGCAATCGAGCGGCATGGCTGTGGCATATTCACGAGTGCAATGCCAGTAAAAAGGGTAGCAACAGCAACATCGGCAAGCCTCCGCTGGAGGCTTGCGCACTCACAAGTAAGCCGATTGCAGGTAGCCACAAGCTGCAGCCCGACCATTGGCTATGTGAGAGACGTGCACCGGCGACCTGCGGGCGCGATGTTACTGCATCTACGCGAGCGTGCAAAATCTGTCGAATCTACGCCCACCTGCTGCAGGAAGTGTCACCCCAGCGGCTGGCCGAGCGGGAGCGTCCCGTACCATCATCCACCATTCCGCATCGGCTGCGCTCTGCCGCGCTCGGTCACCCGAGCAAGCAAACCTGCCTTCTAGACCAGACAACGGCGCAAATGGGCGGTGAAGAGGGAACGCCGCGTCCCACACAAGTCAGCATTGGCGGTGCAAGGTTCAGCGAGTCGGCCAGCCTCATCGGAGTTCTTAGTCTCGAGGGCAAACGCCAGCTTACCCTGCATGCCTCTTTCAGACGGCTGCATTCACCCATTTGAGGCTGTGCCTGTCAGCGTGCATGATCTAGCACGAGCGTACAGGACATCGTGCGTCCTGATGCTGTGTGAGGATGCGAGGTGGCAGGAGCGGTCCGCTGGATGTGCAGAAAGCAAACATCAACGCAACAGCCCTCCTTTGCGGCATGTCCAAATGACGGTCTGTTCTGTACGGCAACCGTATCTGACATGGCCAAGCGGGATACCAGGGTCCTCCAAAACGCAGTGATTGATGCTTTTTCGCCTCGACCTAAGGACAGGCAATACGGAATAATATTGGCGATCGTGTTATCCGAAGCCCTGGAGCCAACAGATATGCGCCGACGGCACACCCGACTGCAAAGAGCTGCATTTATCACCATCTCAGCACATTGCAGGGCGTCATCTGCTCTGGCGCGGTGGCCAAAACGCACAACATTGCCACGCGAAAAGACGGCTGCACCTGGGATGTTCAATCTATGGAATACCCGTCCCATGCATAATATCGGGCATTATTAATAATACTGGCGATTCCGCCCATTGTTCACGAGGGACGCAATGAGGAAGTGCGGGTCCTCTGTACAGTCGGTGGGAATGCCAACCCCAACCAGAGCGTCGTGCATCCTGCTGGATGCCACTCATCTCTCGCCCTCTTACAGCGTGCGACAGTAATCGTCATAATTGACATTTTATGAGACAGTGGAAACAGCCGCTCGCTCCCGGTTTTGTTTCCGACGCATTTCCCTTCTCGTCGACAGCTGCATCACCCGTGCCGTGTTTTGGGCCGCAGAGCAGGGCAGGTTGCACCATCTGAGTCGAGGAGCGCGTATCACCCCCCGGCCCGATGACGATTCCCGTTTGTTTGGCTGGGCGCCTGCCTTTATCTTTGGGGGGCGTGCGTCAGAAGAGGGCACTTTGCGTGCGTCGCCGACGGCCGCTTCGGGCCTCGTGCATTGATTGCCCTCCCTCGGCTCCGTCCCTTCCTTGCTGCTGTACGCAGCTAAGCGTACCGCCTGACGGATGGCCCGTGGTGTTTTTAGCACCACGGGGAACCTGCCTGCTGGTGCGGTTTTGGTTTTTTGACAGGCTAGTAGGGGTGGACGGGGGGAGGGTAGGAGGATGGAGGGGGGTGGGTGATTCGATGATCCAGCACTAGCCGCCTGGGCCGCATGGTGGGAGTCCCCTTGTGATCGCGGACCGATGCGTGGTGGCCTGCAGCTGGATCATCCACAAAAACCCATCGATCCCGCCCGTCCGCCCGTCCCTTCCGCCCTGACTTGCCGCTGCTGGGGTACGTCTCTGTCGGTGGGCATGCATGCATGCATGGATCCATGCATGTCTCGACCTCTTTTATTCCTTTAGGGAAAGGGGAGGGGTGGCGGCGGCGGTGGTGGTGGTGTTGGTTTGGTTTTCCCTGGCACAAGCTCTTGTTCTTTTCTTGCGAGAAAAGGGGGCCGGACGGGCTTGGTTCGCTTTTCTCGCTTTCTCCACGGGCGGTGACACTCTGGACAGGCTCGACTGGGTTTCCTGCAACCGGTGCCCTGCCAGAGCGCTTTGCCAAACTGCGACGCTGTCCTTGCATTTGCCGGAGAACAGCTTTGGGTCGCGAACCAGCGGCCGTCCGTCCGCGTTGAGGATTGCCTACGTGCTACGCCAGACTGGGTATGCCGTGTGTGTGTGAGTGAGGGACTGGGGCCACCTGCATTGGGACAAACAATGATTTCCCGTCCCCTTCCCTGGCAATGCTTTGTGGATTTTGTTTCCGTTGATGTTTTAATGAACTCGCGATTCCACTGCCTGCAGTGCCGGCAGATCACGTTCTCAATTTGTGTGAACGGCTCTTGTTGGGGCCTTGCACCACGTCAATCAATCAATCAATCAGTCGATTGAGATGAGGAGATGGGCAATGGGGGTACCCGGTACACGACATGGCAGTCGAGTCCCGGGCTTTGGACAAGGGTTCCAGATGCGTTTGCAAGGGAAACGAGCGAGACTTCCATGCCTGTGTAGCTGGGAAGTATTCTGAGGCTGTCCTTGCATGATGATGCTGTTTTCCCCTTGTCTACATATTTTCCCGTGCACGCCCTATCTCTACTTGTACAAAGGTGCTTTTTTTTTCGCACATGCATCTGCACCCAACCTCGTTTGAGCAAACCTGGCCTGGTCAGGCCGTTTTGGGGGTGTGTGTGGCCGTGGCCGGGGGAGGGAGTGAACGAAGGATGATTGAGTTCCTTGTAGTTGTATTTTCCACGGACGGGATTTTGGCGTTTCGGGGTCCAGCCCCGGGAACTTGCTGCCTTGTTTGTGTACAGAATCCTGGCAAGGTGCTGTTTTCTCCCGCCGGAGGTTTCTTTGCCTTGCAGATGCCGGGTGTTGCTGGTGATAGGGCGTGCATGGATGGCTTCGAAGCTCTTGCTTCGTGCCGTAGCTATCCGACTGTCCGTTCCGTACCGTGCCGTTTGTCGTACGCAGGCGTGCAACATGCACACCCAGCAGATCAAGCAAGCCCAGAGGGTAGGTAGGTACACAGAGGCATGTCTCGCAAATCGGAGATTTTTGCTTTACACAGGACAACTGGGTTTTGCGGTGGCGGTGGAGGGCGGCGGGGGGTGTGCTGTTATTGGGGTGGTTCGGTAAGTGCTCATGGGATTTGGCATTGCCTTGGCTCTTGGACAAACGGCGTGTCGTCGGGCTCGCAATCTGCGGCATCGATCCATGTGGTCAGTCAGGCTCGCGTCCGCCCTGCGCCCTGCTTCGCTTTGCTTCGTTTTGCTTTGACGATAGCGCTCTCTCTCGGTGATGCCGTTGGATGGATTGCACGACTCGAAGGGCGGGTAGGGGTTTTCTTTCTATTACATCTTATTGCCTAGGTCCTATGCCCCCCCTTGGCCATAGCCGGGGATATGGCACGTCGAATATCGTATCATTGAGTTCTCCCCCCTTGTTGCTTTTCTGTTTCTCCTTCCTGGGCTGCTGCCCTGTTCATGTCTCGTCTCTGCCCTGGCATTTTCTGAGCAGGGCAAGGCATCAGATCCCCCTCCCCTTCCCCCCCCCCTCCCCTCTCTCCCCCCTGTTCTTTTGAGGGTGGAACGAGGAAGGGGTTCCATCGCAACGAAGACATTTCCAAGACGGGCCTAAGGGCTTGCTTTTTGCCCTTGTTTGACGATGTGAGCGTGAACCCTGACCAGGTCGGTCACCCATCCGGGTGCTTCCCGCTTGGGGAAAGCTGCCGTTCGTAGCGCGCCGCTGTTTTTGTTGGCAAACTGGGGCTTCTAAGCTATGGTGAGCTGTTCAAGGTTGCTGCCGCTGAGCCCCTGCCTGGAAGGTTCGCTTGCGGCCCCTGTACAAGTAGAGCTCCGCGGATTAGTGGGCGCTTTAGTGGCATCGTCCAGGGGGGTTTTTTGGCGGGTGCAGTGGTTGGTTTTAGTGGGGGGCTTTAGGGGATTTTGCCCTTTGCCGATTAATGGTAGGGGTGGCCTGAAGTGGTCAACTAACTGGGGTTTTTGGGGCGGCCGCGGAGTAAAGTAGGCCTGGTTAGCGACTGGAGCGGTGGGAGGATTATGTAAGATGGCTATCCTTCGCTGTGCAATGCATGTGCGATACGAAAGAGTGATATGGGGAATAATGAGTGAGGCTGCTGAGAGAGTGTGTATTCGCATTAGGTTGTTTTGAATATCTTGGTGAATGGGTGAGTTTGGGCGGGAACTGGTCTCCAGGTTTCGTGGTTGTGAAGGAGTCTGGGGACTTTAATATCACGCCGCAGAGCTACAGATCCAAACTCCACAGATCGATCTATGATTCCTCAGTAGCCCCATCTCTTCTGGTCTTTGGACACCCAGGTGGCGAGAAGTTTGTACGTGAATATCCTCTGCATTTTGTTGGTATTGATGTTCGACTCATCGCGGGCGAAGCTTCTCGTACGAGAAGGAAGAAAAAGTGTTTGTAAAGTCTCCGAAAAGTCTCCTGGGTCATGGAATCCGTATTTAAGAGCAGCCCAAGAAGGTGAACTGTGCTTTATACTCAGTAAATCGTCATTGACAAGCTATATTTCAAATCCAGAACAGGGATTATGAGAATTGGGTTTGTAGTGTTCACTGCAGCTCAATTGATACATCACGCCTGTGCGACAACGACGACAACACCTGACAAGAACGCCAACGCAACTGTGGAGATTGTCGGGCAGCTACTATCATCTCCTCAATTCAACGACTTCGACGCCACAAGAGATCACAGCAACCAAGGGCCGGCTGCAGACATGGCGCACGACGATCAGCACCACCAACATGATCACCATCACGGGCATGGCCATGGCGGCACACATGCCAACCAGCAGTATTTCGAGTAGGTTTCTCACCCGTCTCTCCCCCTTCTGGCCTTGTTCATTGTCGTCCGGATGCTAAAGCGCGTGTGCAGCGAGCAAGCCAGCGACTACGACAGGAAGCACCAGAAGACGCTCGACCAGATCATCAGAGAGATCCGCTCGCGGCTCGACTTCCTGGGCGCCGACTGGGTCGGCGAGGACGAGGAGAACGAGGGCCCCGACGGCAAGCCCAAGAGGCAGGTCCGGCTGCTCGACTACGCCTGCGGGACGGGCGTCGTGAGCAGGGTGAGTCTTGAGTTTCTATCCAACACCCATCATCTAGATACTTGACTAATACAGAAGAACCAAAAAAAAAAAAAGGCTCTCGCGCCCTACACGACGCAGTGCATCGGCCTCGACCTCTCGCAGGGCATGGTCGACGCCTACAACCGCGCCGCCGCGAACCAGGGCATCCCGCCCGAGGAGATGCGCGCCTGCGCCGCCAACCTCCTGGAGGGCGACGACGACGGGCCGGCGTCCGTGTCGGGCCCCGAGTTCCGCGACTTTGACGTCGCGGCCGTGGGGCTCGGCTTCCACCACTTTGACGACCCGGAGCTGGCGGCGCGGCGGCTCGTGCGGCGCCTCCGGCCCGGCACGGGGGTCCTCTTCATCATCGACTTTGCGCCGCACGGCGCGTTCGAGAAGGGCCACCCGGCCACCGAGACGGTCATGCACCACGGCTTCTCCGAGGCGCGGATCCGCGAGGTGTTTGCGAGGGCCGGCGCCGGCAAGGGGTTCGGCATCAGCGACATGGGCGAGGTGGTGTTCTGGAAGGGCGAGGACGTCATGCACAAGAGGAGACTGTTTGTTGCGAGGGGCCAGAGGGAGGATTGAGCATGGAGAAAGTAGATTCTTCCGGTGAGCCAGTCCTTGGTGTTTTGGGCTAGCTTAGAGGCGATGAACGTTGTCATGGTGGTAAATTGACGACGACCAGAACAGCATAGAAGGATATTTGGCTGAATTCATGATATTCTTTTCACCAATTCGCATTCGGCTGGGAAGGCATTGGAACTCGTGATCAGTCTCCGTTTCGGCGCTTCGTCAAGACTGCTAGGCTGCTTTCCACGGCTTCCCAATGCCAGATTGGGATTCTCGCTCGCAAGCATCACACATTACCCGGACTAGAATAGCTTTGAAACTCGAACAACTATTATCATGAAGTACCAGTTCAATTAGCAAACCCTTACAAGAATAGCGAGAGTTCGCAGCCCCATTCACTTGCCTGCGAGATGTCCGCAAACCTTGAGAATGGCGGCCCTCTCGGGCTTCTCGGGCCTCTCGCTTCTCGCAGACCTACTGAGCAAGTCACTCGGTGTAATTTGCGTGAGGGTATAAAGAGCAACTCTTGTGGCCGTCTCTTCGCAATGCTGCTGTTCTATCTTGGACGAGCTGAACCTGACCTACGTGTTCTATGATCAACATTTCCCCCATAGTATCCCATCTTGTTTTGTTTAGAACACCTAGCCACAGTACCACAATGCTCACAGCAACTGTGCTCATTGTCGGCGCCGGCCCCGTGGGCATGTGGCTCGCGCTCGAGCTGCGCCGCGCCGCCATCGACGTCCTCGTCATCGACACCAAGACCTCCCGCGACGACCGGGACCGCGTCTCCAAGGCTCTGACGGTGTCAGCCGGCACCCTGGACACGTTCCACTCCCGCGGCCTCGCCCCGGCACTCTTGGAGCGGTCCATCCGGGTGCCCAGGGCGCACTTTGGGGGCCTCCCGACGACTCTGGAGCTGAACGGCGACGTCCTCGGGGTCGCCCACCCTTACAACCTGGCCATCCCCCAGTCTCGCACCGAAGCCATCCTCCTAGCTGCATGCGAGAAAGCCGGGGTCCGGTTTGCCTGGGGCCTCAGGTTCGCTCGGCTGGTTCAGTCGTCACGCAGGGATGTCGTTGCCACGGCCGAGGTAGTCTCAAGGACGTCTGACGCAGATCATGACCCGACAAGCAGCAACAAGGCTGTCAGCATCACGGCGCATTGGCTCGTAGGTTGCGATGGGACCCACAGCGCCGTGCGCAACGCCGTCGGGGTGCCTTTCGAGGGCCTCCCGCACCTAGTGACGGGGATCCTAGCGGACGTCATCCTGACCGAGGATCCGTCAGATGGTGGAGCGCCCATGACCATCAGGCAAGGTGCTATGGGCAGTTGCATCGCCGTCAAGATCGACGGCGAGCTCCACCGCGTCGTGGGCCTGTCCAAGACGAACCGCCACAAGCCGGCATCCGAGGAGCTCGCGCTCGACGAGGTCAAGGACCACCTCCGCGACGTCTTCGGGTCCGACCTCGGCGCCCACTCGCCGGCGTGGATGTCTCGCTTCGGCAGCGCGTGCCGCGTGGCGGCGTCTTTCCGCTCCGGGCGGGTCCTCCTCGCCGGCGACGCGGCGCACCAGTTCTTCCCGGCCGGCGGCCAGGGGCTGAACCTTGGCATCCAGGACGCGACCAACCTGGCCTGGAAGCTGGTGGCTGCCTGCCGCGAGGAGGAGGAGGAGAAGGCCGGCAACAGCAGGCCCGAGGTCGTGGACCATCTGCTCGACAGCTACGACCGCGAGCGGCGGTCCGCAGACAGGGACGTCGTGGACAAACGTGCTGGCGCAGATGTCCCTCCTCATGGCCACCGAGCCTCCCGAGATGGCGGTGCGCAACGTCGTTGCCGAATCTCTGAGCTTCCCCGAGATGAACAGGCTTTGGGCCAGGCGGATGACGGGCTTCGGCGAACCGCGAGCGCCCTATCGCGACGACAGCAACGAGTACGACGACCACGAGCTCGTGGGAGCCAGGCTGACGCATCTCCGTGTGGGAGCGAGGGGAGGCGAGCTGTACGAAGCCATCGAGCCTAGCCGCTTTGTGCTTTTGCTGCGTCAAGACTGCGGCGCTGAGCACCATGCCGAGTTGCGGGCTGCGGCGGACAGGTGGGCTGACAGCGTCCATGCCGTCCTCCATCTCACGCAAGCCACTGATTCGTGCTGGGAAGACGTGGCTGCTGTACTCGTGCGGCCGGACCTTCGCATTGCCTGGGCGGGAGACTCGGCTTCATCACTTCTCTGCGCCTTGCAGCGCTGGTTTGGGGAGCGTTCGTGATAGCCCCTGGAATTGCGGATGTTATTGATTTGAGAAGTGAGCTTATCGTATTTGAATGTGGTAGCGATATGGCAGAACTGCCATATCTATTCCTAATCAAGCATATCTATGGCCGACCATTAGGGGGCTGCTCTAGTCTGACTGTCCGTCTCTGACTCTCTCCCTTAGATACCGTAGACAGGCAACTAATCCATCTCAGGGTCCAAAGCAAAAGCGGCTGCCACCTCAGCGGGGATGGCCGTCATGTCTACCGGAACCGGCTTCGGATCCACGTTGTCCACCTTTGTCCACTCATCGGCCACGCGACGGGCCCTGGCGACAGCGGTGCCAAGGTCGCGGTACGGGAACGACAGAACGAGGTCCTCAGTCTTGCCGTGGAGCTCTGGCGAAGCGAAATCGTGTAGCGAGATGCAGAGGGCCTTGTCGGTGGTGACGGGTGTACCGTCCGGGCGGCAGATTTGCTGCATAGCAGGTTCATAGTCAGCAGTTGCGAGCGAGCGAATGAAGGGACAGGACTGTACCTCGCGGATGAGGTCTTCACGAGGGCTCATCATGCCATTCTCCCATGTCCGGCGCCAGACCGACAGAGTTGCTTCGCGAGAGTTGAGATGGTCCGGATAGTCAACATTGATGACGGTGCCAACATGGCCCTGAGACTTGACGAGAAGCTTGTAGGCCTTGACCCTAACGTCCTCCCACTTTTGGCTGATAGATACTTCGATGACCACTCCGGGGCATCTGCCCTTGAGGTGCCGAAACTGGGCATCGGGGTGTTGCTTCAGGTCGATTAGTCTGTCACCCTCAGAAGCCGAGTCGCTGTCCTCGTTTCCTGCCTTCATGATCGTAATAGGGTTGCTGTTGCACGTTCGGATCTGGCGCATGTATGCGCCTCTGACGTCGTCGCGCTTGCGAATAAGCTTGAGCTTTTCGTTGATCAGGTCGCGAATCTTGTCGCGAACAAGTTCATGCAAATGGCTTGGCACTTCGTTGATCGAGAGAATACCAGTGTTGGAATCATACGAGTAGCTGTGATCGTTATCAGTGACTCGAAAAGAAACAAAATGAACAAGTGAGGGAAAGGTCACTTTGTAGTGGGAAGAGGATTGAGCTATGATAAAACTTACCGGACATGTTCGTAAGAAGGGCCCAGCTTTTGGGGGCTCGAGAGCACCTTTTCTAGCTGTAGAGAGTGGCTAGGAGACAGCAGAATGTGTGCGTTCTCGACCTTGGACTCGGTTGGGTGACAAGGAGCGATGCTGGCCTCGAGCAAGAAAGCGAGAGCTTTCTCAACCTCGGGGGCAAGCGGGGGAGTAGGGTTCATGTCTTTGGTCGAGACTGGTAGATCGGCAGTTCTGGGGGCGGCCGGCGAGACTGTCTTGAAGTCCGCCTGGACGCAAGTGTTGTCGTCAGTCGGCGGCGGCAACGGGTCGCCAGTGGTATTGGGGACGGGGCTCGCCATGGTGAGATGAGAGGTGATGATGGCACACGTATGATAGAGTAGAGTTCAGTCAACGAGGCAGCGCTGCTGGTGGACAGGTGTGCGCGCTTCTAGGTGTGCGCACTTGTTGGTGTCCGTAAGTGACGAGTTGGTGATGGTTTGGTGACAAAGATATTAGGGAGGAGGGATGCGCGGCGGGGCGCACGAGGTGTCAAAGAGAGAAATTTTTGCAGTGATGACGCCTTTGTCTGGAACCATTGCCTAGATAGATGACTTTCCTATCAGTCTGCCCTATCACTGGCGAACCTTGGATTTCCTTACGCAGTAAGCCTTTGCTACTTAGTGTACCTGGTCACCGTCACTGGAGGAACAGAGGCACACCAGACATGCAATGTTCGAGAAAGTTTTGTGCCTCTCAACGCAGCCTTTCGCTTTGGGATATGACCAGCACAGATTGACTCAGCACACAACCATGGTACAGCGCATACATATCAGAGGCCTGATTGTATTTTAAGTTAGCACGGGCAAAAGAAAGCAAGCGAATAAATACTATAACTAGATTGTGCCAACCCCCCGCCATCTGCGCAGAGGCATGCTTGGAGCCACGCAGAATGACTGTAGGAACCCTGTCCACATAACAGATCCTTGGTCAATGTTTCTGATCACAAAGGACCGGAAACTGTCGGTGCTGTGTGAACGTTGCTGCGAATGAGGAGTGCTGCCGGCCCATATGCATTCACAAGCCCACTTGGCCAATGCCGGCGGCGTTTGGAGACATACAGGATACTTACTTCACCATCGACAGCCGGGTTCCATGAAGATAAAAGTGAAAGCGTGTCCGCTCAAGTGAATTTCTTCCATGTTTCAATTCTCCTCGGCTTCATTCCAAACACAATTTACTCTGCAAAATACTTCTTCAGTTACCGACCGCATGGGAAATGCAATCTCACAGATCTTTCCACCCAAGCCCGGATTCACCGACAAAGATGTCCCAGATTTGCATCGAAAAGCAGGCCTTGTTCCACCATGCTTGGCTCTTCATGCATGGACTAACAACTTCGATAGGTCTACATTGTTACTGGATCGAATACCGGAGTGGGCTTAGAGTTGGCTGCACTGCTCTATTCCAAGAATGCCAAGGTGCATATCGCTGCCCGATCCAACGACAAGTCCCTCAAGGCAATTGAGACAATCAAGGAGCGTCAGCCGAAGTCAAAAGGGAAATTGGAGTTCCTGTTCCTGGATTTGGCCGATTTGACCAAGCTCAAAGCATCCGCCGAAGAGTTTCTCGCCAAGGAGAGCCGTCTAGATGTACTCTTCAACAACGCGGGCGTGTTGCAGTCCCGAAACGCTGAGATATCCAGAACACCCCAGGGTTACGAAATGCATCTCGGGGTCAATAACGTGGGAATATTCCTGTTCACCAAGCTATTGACTCCGATCCTTGTGGCTACCGCAAAGCTGGAGAAACCTGGCGCCGTCCGCGTCGTCTGGGTTTCGTCCACTGCCGCTGATGGCTTAAGCCACAAGCCAGGCGGCGTCGCCATGGATAATCTAGATTACCGCAGACCTATACCGGTACTTAATCTCTACGGCAATAGCAAGGCGGGTAACTACTTGCATTCCGTGGAGTTTGCAAGGCGGTTCAAGGCCGACGGCGTCGCGAGTGTTGCACTACACCCTGGAAACCTCGACTCGGATCTATAATGTGACCAAAGTGCCCTGTTTCATCTTGTTCCTGAGGCATACAATCCTGTATCCGTCGATCTTGGGAGCATATTCAGAGTTGTTTGCGGGCCTGTCGCCGCAGGTCACCATGGAGAAATCTGGAAGCTGGAGTGCGTTCACCTCCTGAGCACTGCTCACATGATCTTGAAGAGACCCTGCTAACATTCAGTAGTCGTCCCTTGGGGTCGTTTTATGCCAATCCGAAAAGACTTGGTTGCAGAATCCAAGACAGAGGAAGAGGGCGGTAGTGGGGTTGCGCAAAGATTCTGGAAGTGGACTGAGGATCAAGTCCAGCAGTATGCTTGAGAGACAACATACTAAACCCTGTAAGAAACTTCAGCCTTGAAGGGCCACGCGTATAGGAACTAGCAAGATCAGTCACGGAAATAAGGAGGGCATCACTGGCATGTAATCAAACCAGCGAATCCCGGTGGCAGGCACTACCATTCCTGCTTTTGGCCAAATCCCGCCGGGGTTGACAGGAAAGTCTTTCTCAAGTCCTTAAATCGTACACACTTGCCCTTCTCTATATGCTCTGCCTATCTGTATGCCCTGCTAAACTATGCATCATCGTATTATGAGACTGCTTTATAGAAGTCGTTCTCTAATGGCCTTTCCTTGGCCTATTCCAGACATAATTCCTTGAATCTGGTTTTATAGACCCTCTAGAGCTATATCGTCTTATACTTTATCTTATAAATCCAGTATAGTTTGTTCTTACCCTTTGTCAGAGAGTGGGGGACAGACAAGGTGAGGAGAGGTAGGCTTCAGGCTTTAAACAAGGTACTTGTATGCTCATCCAAAAGCGAGTGCAGAACAAATGTAACTTCACCCTATTTACGAATCTTCGCCGTCGCCCCTATGATTACATCGATCATGGGATTGAGAAGTCATCCTGTTCTGCAGCGAGGGAGAAGGTCTCATCAAGATATAGAAAACCATCCTGATTCCATATCCATCCCAGTTCAGCGCACTCGTGACTACCGCTGTGATTCGACTGGATATGAGCTTGGTAGTGGTCATCGAGGTTGAGTTTTAGCTCTACTTGTTGCCGCAGGTGATGAAGCGGGCCCCAGTACTCGTCTGGGTTTTGGCCACACAAACCTCGAGCTTGACTGTGACTCTCATGCTCGGTGATGACCAACTCGACGGCTCGCCAGGCACGCCTAAGCTTCTCTGGGAGACAACTGATAGCTATAGGTAGTTGGAGGAGTCCTCGCTCTGCGAGGCCGTCGATTCTAGCCCGTAGCTGAGACAAGACGAACGAGACGGCATGCCACTGCGTCAGCTGGTGCAGATACCACTTCCAATTGGAAAATGCACTCTCCGCCATCAACCGAGCATGGTCTTCCAGAAGCTTGACTGCAGAGTGGAAGAGGTCATCACACTGGGAATTATCATTGCTAACGTCGACCCCGATGCGCTCGCCTCGCAGCCACTGCTCTCGGTGGACCGAACTGAAGTATGTCTGGAGGTCGAGCTTCTGCCGCAGCATCCGACTCGTCTCCCCAGCAAGGCGGAAGAAGGGCAAGGAGCTATCTTGGGCAAAGGCCCTTGAATAGTTGCTGGCCATGTATTCATTCAACTCTTCGTTCCCTCTCCCCTGACCGCCTATGGAGCCGCAAAGCGGTACCATGACAGAAGACGTGCATGATGGTGCTGCTCGTCGAGAACATATGTCGAATCTCATGATGCTGAAGAGCATCTCTGTCGGCCCATCGCGCCTAGCTGGAAGGATTTCCGCCGAAGCATCTAGGTCCGAGTCCATAATGTTGAGAGGTAAACGTGTGTTTGAGTCTGTATAGGCACTCGCCACCGCTCCACGATCTTCTGACGTACGGATATTGAGAGCACATAGCTCCCACCACAGCCGACGGCGCATCTCAATCTCGAAAGGTGGGAGGTTATGATCTAACCCATCACGATGCAAGCCGAGAGACGTCGCGATACGGAGAGCTAGCCCTACCATTACCCAGGTGTAACTTGATCCATCACGTCGGCAGCACGCCTGGCAAGTGGCAGGCAAAGACGCATCAGTCAACCTAGAGGACTACGGCCTGTTTGGAGTTGTCAGGCATGCGTGGCGACTTACTAGAAATAAAGTAAAGGCCTGAAGGACACAAATGTCGTGCGTTTCCATCAGGCCAGCCTGCGAAAGTGCGGCGAGGACTGCTCGGCGCGACTCGGCTGTCATCCGCTGGACCGACTCGCCAAATAAGGCAAGACATCGATGAGGTTCCAGGCTTTGGATCGCTGCAAAGCAGATAGCTAGTAGCCGAGCCTTGAGTGACGCACCAAGTGAACTCAGCGGTTGCTTCTGAGCCTCAGTTAGGAGGCTCAGCATGCTGGGCTTGTGGAGGATGCGGATGATGGGATCAACATTGTCGACGTAGATGTACCAGCATAACTGTAGCTGAGCAGGGCTTGGCACCCAACCCTCAAAAGAAGCCCCTCCTAGCGAAAGAAAATCGCCGTAGTCCCCCGAGTTACTTGTCGGCCAGCAAAGCAAGCTGTCGTTCGAATGCAACAGGCTCCTGGAGAGATCTTTCACCTTTTTACCCGATGGTCAGCTTGACATAGACACGGAACACCCTGCCGGTCGCAAAGCTGACGGGATTAGGCTTTTATGCACCTCTTTGACGTTGGCCCATGAATCCTGTGCAAGCATTCTGCTTTTGTTCCCTTCACCGACAACCAGGTATCCTTTCATGTTCAGCAAGACGGTGCTGGGTATGGACGAGGACGACGCATCACTGAAACTCTGTCGGTGTTGTGACGATGAAATCGGCGAGGAGAGAGGAGGTGACCATTTTCGGCCATGAACTTCCGCCTCTGAACTGCGAGACTTCGCTTTACTTCTTCTGCGACGAATGCGTGACTGAGGATAAATGCACTGCCAGCCCAACTGGCTGCAGTTGTTGCAGGGCCAAGCGCGGTTACATCTCACTTTCCGATCCTTGCATCCGAGACACGCTCGTCTGTTTCCTATGTTGTTAGAAGACATGGCTCCTCGTAAAGTAATAATGTGTATGTATGTGAACAGTTTTACGTTGAGGTACAATGTTTGATTGGGAAATGTACCAATCCATTCAATGGGGATTAGCCGTGCTTCTGGTAAAGGACCGAGAAGCCCGAGAAGCCCGGTAGGAGCGAAAAGGCCGAGAAGCCCAGACGACTCAGAGAGCCCAGAGCATGGCATTCTTCAAATTCTAGGGGAATTTCAAAAGTTTAGAGTAGTTATAAATGTACCATGTGCTGGTAAGGGACTTGAGGTCTGTCAATATGAAGAATACATCTCAATCTTTTCGGTTTGTTTTGAGCATGGAGTCGATATTCAACAATTTCCCCCTTTCCGCAGCCGTGACAGTCCCGCCTGCCAGCCGCCTCATCATCACTTCCGGGCATGTGGGAATGGGGCCCGATGGAAAGCTCACACAGGGACTTGAGGGACAAATCAGCATGGCTTTTGAGGTACGAAACAAAGAAGTGTATTTCTGGAGAGCGAAGGACTAAGGCTATTAGACCCTGTATGCTAATGAATCACTATGATGAACCTCGTAATAGAATCTCGGCAAGGCCTTGGTGGCAGCCGCACCCCAGCTCGACTCATCGACCATCTGGCAACACGTGTACCAGATCAACATGTACTTGGCGGGTGAATTAACGCAGGATATCATTGAGACTGTTTTCAGGGTCCACCGACAAGTCATGAAAGACTGCGAGCCGGCGTCCACTATGGTTGGAGTCCACTCTCTGGCTTTTGGAAGCCTGTTCGAGGTATCTGTGGTGTGTGCTGTCCCCGAGTTTTGACTCATCCTGAGTCTGATATAAGAGGTTCCGTGTGACGCCTGCGCCATGTCTCAAAGCAACTTCCGACGGCATAAATTGCATTGCATTTTGTGGATTTCTTTCTTTGGCTCGCTACACTAGAGTCTTATCTCGTGGACAGGAGATCACAGCCATTCAAGGCGTCACAGTGAGTAAAACACCTGTTCAGCCACAGCTGTCAAGGAAAGCATCGAGTATAACTTGTTCCCTGTTGTGAAGTCAGGCCCAGTGGAGCAGAAGACCCTCAGAATATCGCGATAAAGAAGATGCTTGTTTTACCAATATGGCTTCTGCTCCAAGTTGCCCTTAGTAAGATAGTGCTGTCATATCCTGCAAGCTCCGCGAACACGAACATTCTAGGTAGGAACTAATTGCCTCAGAATCGACAATGAACCTCACAATATTACTTTGAACAAAAGCCGTATGAAGGGTCTACATCAAGTCCATGTTGGCCCACAAGCCAAGCACTGCAGTAAGTGTAGCCACAACGAGTCGTTGTAGGGAAATTACTTTGCCCGCATGGTGATATGTGGTGACTGCTGTATGCTGCCTGTCTGGCGTACATCATCAGCACTTGTTCAAAGGGCTATTTGGAAAGCGATATGAATGTGAGTGCTCCTCTGCGATCTGACAGGATTTGTTAAGATCTAGGCAAATTCGTCTTTGTGAATAACACCTGCATTGCCGGGACTGCACCTCGCAAACACAACTCTTGTGCCAGTGCTGTAGTAGATGTTACTGCCTCATCCACAATGAGTCCTCGACAAAGACTTCATCTTTCGCGAGCAAATGAAGTCTTTGTCGAGTATGCCTATGTCTGACAACCTGGTACTCTTGGATCGGTGACTCATTCTCTCTTTCAACTGTTAGGATGATTGCAAGTCGCCACCTAAAGAAGCGCATTGTTGAGTTGGTGTTCATTCTCATGCAGTTTGCTCCACCAAATGCCGCTTTCTCTGGTGCTCTCTCTGATGCGAGACTGTTTACGCAATGGCAAGAGATGGACAAAGAAACCCAATATGACTCCGCTCAGTAGCTTCCAATCATCCAAACTAGCATGGTGACTCTGGGCATCTGAGCCTAGAGTTGTTCTATTAAAGTGACAATACCATCTTGAACAACGTCTCTCTTTCAGAGACAAGTTAATTAGTGATCTGACAACTCTCGCTCTTCAATGGAGCTGTTTTATCTCCTGCCTCCTCAGGGCGCAACGTATATATAGCGGCACATATTCAGTTGATTCTTTTCCAGGTTTCTCCTCAACATGACTCCTCAGTACAACACCCCCATAGCCAGCACAGTCCCAAAAGCTGGATCTATTCCACATCCAGCCACAGCTATCCAACACAGCAACTTGCTCTCGTCGCTCAGCAGCTATCCACTCTCCGCTTTGTCAAAATGAGCTCCAATAGCCTTACCAAGTCACTCATTGACGCCCATGACAATTTGGAGAGAATGTACCGCCTCCACGGGGAATTCATCGAGAATAAGTGGCGTTCGTTCGATCGGAACCAGCGGGCGAGATGTTGTTATCAACTGTTCAAGCGGTTTGATCATCGACGGGGAGTGGACTACAGGTCTTTGATGCGCATGGCAGCAGACTTCCGGTTGGCCAGCGGAATAACAGACCAGGCTCGGAACCAGGCTCTTATCCCAGAACTCAACCCCGTCAACCTCGTCAACTCCGACCCAGAGTCCCTGGTGGACCTACTCCGGCACCGGGCCTCGGGGACTCTTATCAGCTTGTACGACTCTGGGCTCGATGGAAGCCCGGGAGATCGTCAATTCGTCGTGGAAATGACCATGCCCGCTGGCAAGACTCTATCGGATTATCAGGGGACTACCTACGCTGCGATTGGCCTCGATGATGAGGTGTATGCCAGGCCTTTTACTCGGAAAGCTGGAACGGCGGAGGCTATAGGATATCTGCCTTCAATCTCGAACAAGGATCTCGGCAGAGCTTTGAGAGACGGCAGCATTCTTCCACAGTCCATGGGGTTGCTGGTCGTAACACGGCAGTTCCTCCTAGCAAATTTGAGTTACAGTCTAATGGTCGCGATATTTGAGGCAAGCTCTGAAGCCGGCACCAAGTTCGACGCAGCGAGGCTCGGGGACCAGGCATTGGCGATCATGAAGAACCTGGACTCTATGCCGCGTCCAACCAGGATTGATCTGTCAGATCTCCAATCCTTCGCCCAGTTCCGCACACAGTCTCTCAGGGACATGTGGCTATTCATGGTGAAGGAGCCGGCCGTCCTGCTCGTAAAAGTTGGAGATTATCGTTCCACGACTGCTGCACGGGTCCCTGACTACACCGGATTCGCACACTCGACTTTTTCCCAGTCATATTCATCCAGATCATTCGTCGAAGCTCTCCACGACGGTTTATCCACCATCGCCATCTGGGACTACATGGACCGTCTCCTCCAGCAGTGTCTGTCAGCGCCAGAGAACAAGGCGTACCAGACAATCTTACGGCACGAGTTGTCTAGGGTGTCCTCCATGGCAGTATCCAGAGCTCAGGCTTTCTTCGTTCGGCTATTTCGCATATTCGCCGGGACAGGCCACTTTCAGCGCTCCCAAGCTAGCCTTGACAAGTTGGGTGACTATCGAGTAGTTATGACGACACACCCCGATGTCCTGACAATCCGAAACCCGCAGATGCACCTCCTGCTTCGCCTATGCCGGTCAGAGACCGACACCAGAGAGGTTGCACGCTTGGTACCAAGGTTAGTCAGGCGTCAGAGAATACACCCGGATGAGCGGGAAATACTGACTGTTGCCGAAGCTGAGGCGTTTGCTCAGCTGAAGGTAACTGCAGAGTTTGCAGCCGATCTCTCGACCCTGCTCTACCTCCCTCCCCCCAAGCCGAAAGCACAAGGCCCGTTTGCCGGCCGGCTTGAGGACCTAGACATGGATATCAGCAAGTGGAAGGAAGAGATCGACCTATTGGACTGCTTTGCTCCTCTCAATAACCTGCTGGAGCCTGGAGTAGCGCTCGCTGCCTTCAAGACCATCGACTCGTTCATGCTCGACAAAGCTGGGACGACGATGGGGTACCTCTATGAAGACCTGGTGCAGGATGCTCTGGAGGACCTTCAAGGCCGCTATGACAAAGAGATGAGGGCCAGCAACCGGGATCAGGCTCAAAGTTTGCTGCAGTTCTCAGAGTGGAGATCGCAGCCGCTCGAGGAACGAGTCAAGCTGAGACGGGAAAAGCAAAAGACTCGCCCGGTGGAACTGTCACTCTACGACTTGGCTGCGGCCCATGGCGATGATGAAGACCCAGCGGGCGATAATAGAGAAGACGAATCCGTCAGAGAACAGGCCTTCCAAGTGACGGCGTCAACGAAGGAGGTCTTCGAAAATCTCTTTCCCAAAGGGCAGCAGGCTCGGGGTTCTGTTAGCTGGACAGCTTTCCAGGCGGCCATGGTTGAACTAGGCTTCACCGTCACTCCCAAGTACGGCTCCGCGGTCACTTTCGAGCCGACAGAGGCCATGTCGCTGGCAAAGTCTGTGACAGTACACCGCCCTCACCAGGCCAAGATCGAGGGCCACAAGCTGCTGATGTTCGCGAGTCGGCTGAGGACTGTCTATGGCTGGGATGAAGGCACCTTCGAGCTGGCTTGAAGGCAAGAGGAGAACTGAAAAGCTGTCTTTTGGATGCTCAAAACCCAAATTGTAATAACTATATTTGAATAAACATTGGTCATGCCATTTCGGGATTGTGGTGGTCACATGCTTGGTATTGTGAATGTTTTTCTGCCAGTACTAGCAGATATTAAGGAAGCGGTATGCATGCATTCACCATGTGAGTTTGAGGTTTGATGCAGGTCGGCAGTGGTTGACAAATCAAGCAATCTATCAAAGGGCAGAGGTCTTGTCGCTTCTGGAACTCGGTAATGCTGGCCTTATGCCACACCCTGGAGGAAGTTTGGGATTTGGTGGGCAGGGTTGTTGACATTGACTACCTGCGGCTGGTAGATATCGGCCAGTTCAGCCACAGGGATCGCTCGGTCGGGGTCGTATGCAGGCTGGTCAACCGCGGCATTCTGAGCGTCGGCCATATACCGGGAGAAGCAGCAAGTGGAACTGAATCGATCATGTCCTGATTAACTGTGGTATTAGGGCAGAGAGATCTGTTCAACAACTCGAACTGAAGGCCTGTGGCTGAATGTGAAAGTAATGATGGACAGATCTCTTCCTTGGTGTGCATGAACAATCTGTTGTCTCCTATCCATCCTTCTGCAACCACCACCACTATTATCAAACATAATGCTACACTGACAGGCGCATACCATACATTAAAAATCTCCCGACAAGCACGGCTTTATTACCTAGTAACATAAACGTGCATTGGTCTTCATCATCTCCAGGTTTGGATCTTGCAGAATGCCATCGGTACTGATGTATCTTGACATCCAGGAGCACTGGATGATGCTTCCTCTGAACGACCCTTTGACAGCAATGATTGGGCCTTGTCTAGAGAGTTCCTTGAGGCGTCAGTTATGACACTCCATTTCTTTCGCGGTATTGGAAGGCTAGGGACCCAGTGCAGCCAGTGTGCAAAAAGAAGGGACCAATTTGTGGCTGGCATGGACATCTACTATGGATCCAGGCTAAAGAAACCGGGATCTGCAAGTTGCTCACTTGCTCACTGCCCATATCGTACTCCTCACCACACATTGAAGCGACAAGGTCACAAAGGTAGAGATTCAGGGAAGTTGGTGCACAGCCATGAACTAGAAGGTTCTCCTGTCTGACATGCTATCTATTCTACACCGCTAGAATCAGAGGTACTATGTTATATAGATGGCCTAACAAAGAAGTGGCGGGTCTCAGATATCAGAGCACCAAATTCCCATATGCATACCACACTCTTTCTCCCTCAAGAGGGCGAACAGTCTCTGGGACATCGGTCGACTTGATTAGCTTCCACCAGACACCCATATGGCAAAGCCGAACAAACAATGCAAGCCCAAGCATTACGGCCCCATCCCCACCTGGCTTTCCCTTTCCCAGAACGACAAAGGCCGTTCAGTTACCGTCGGCCTTGCCCTGGCCCTCCTCCGCAACTGCCTTCTCCAGCTTCTCCAGGGCACCGCAGCAGCACTCCCCGCGGCCCTGGGCCAGCCCCACGATGTCCATCGCGATGCCATGGGGGCTGATCTCATGGACCTGTCCGCACCAAGGGCAGAAGTCTTGTGCACCGGCAGCAGGCGGCCGGGGTACCTCGTCGACGCTATCAAGGGCCACTCGGGCCCAGGGGGACTCTAGCCGGCGGAGCTCCTGGTCAAATTCTTCTCGCATCTGTTGCTTGTCCCACTCGTCTCCGAGCAGCTGCCATTCCTCGGGGGCGGGCGCCGCCTCCATGTCTGGCAAGCCGGCAAGGCCGCGCTGCATGACGGCTGGATATCGGGAACCCACGAGGGCGAGCGGCACGGTGTGCAGCTGCTCCCAGTCGACGAGCGCCGTGACGCGGTGGGGCGGGAGCGGGTCGACAAGGATATTGGTCCCAGACATGTCCCAGTGATGCAAGACCGCATCCTCCTTGCCCAGCTCGGCGTCGGGGAGGGTATCAACGAGGGCGCCGAGCCGGGTCAGTAGCACTTGTCGCGCGAAGGCGTCGTTGTTAGTGGGCGTCATGTACCCCCAGTACCGCGGAACGGCGTACTGGTAGCGGCAGGTCTCGAAGTCTACTGCCGAGTCGTCCGCGGCTGTGCTCGACGACACCAGGTCCTTGTACTTCGCTTCGAGCTGCTGGACCTGCTCGTCAAACTGGGCAGAGGCGACGTTGTCTTGGCCGTTGTTCTTGCTGCCCTTGACGTCTAGGAGCTGATTCCGTCGGATATCGATGGCATACCTAATGCGCTGGCGGGGATCGAGGAGCTCATTGGCCTGGCAGTCGAGCAGGGACCGGATGTAAGAGTGGAGATCGCGGAAGGGACCTCGCCAGTGGCGGTAGCTGTGGCGCCAGTCGGACATGAACTGCTGGAGAATGGGACGGCCTATGTTCAGGCCGTTGGGCAGTGTGTTTTCATGCTCCATTGTGGCCGTAGCTCCGTCGCCATCGTTCACACAGTTATTGTTGTTGCGGTGGGTGTACAGACTGCCAACTGAGTCAAAACGGTGCCGCGAGAGCTGGTCAGCCCATCCAGCGAGCTCACGGGCCATCGCGAGGTTGTCGGCCTGGCTGATGCCGTCTTGGACAGAGTCGTATGGGACACCAGGCATACGCTGCATGAGGATCCACTCATAGCCTATAGGGTTGTCTGCAGACGAGTCGTATGCATAGACATGCGGCGCTGGGATGGCGGTGTGTGCTGTGACGAACTTGAGGGTAGCCACCTCGGCCTCTGTCTTGTACCAGGGGTAGACAGGGAGAGACACACGGAAGATGAGCTCGCGGACCGGTGTTGCAGTCTTATCCAGGACCAGAAAGACCTTGTTCCATGCTCCCTGGGCGAAGAATGTAACGTCGAGACATTCGTCCAGGTTGGTGATGTGTTTGTCCGGAGGATAGCCGGATAACTGTCGCAGGCATGGAGCAAGTACAGCTTTGATGTTCTCTATCTTGGGCTGATCAGCAGGCCACTCAGCGAGTGGTCCGCAAAAGTTGCCCTCCCAGATCATCTTTGCTCGTTGCAAGCCCGTCATGTCATAGTCAGCGGGTGGAGGGCGGCTCCCTGACATGGCGAGAGGAGGCGGTTGTTGTGTGTCGGACATTCTGACAGAGAGTCAGAGCAAGTGTACTTGTTAGTTGTGTCGTGTTGATTGATGTCCGTGAGAGTAAGGGATGGTGATGGTGTTGATGAGAAAGACGAGAAGGTTTCATTTGCAGTGTGTGTATGAGATATTTATATATTTGACAACTCTTGTTCGTTTCTCTTGACAGTGGTGCTTCAAAGAACAGGAGAATATACTACTGAAGTGAAATTCAAGGACTTGTTCTTTATTGTCAAGTTGTAGACTCCAGAGTGAGGTTGGGTCATCTTGAACGTTCCAAAGCCCAGGCTCCTTCTGTCTTGTTCAGACAAGTGTAACCACCTATCACAAAACGAAGGTTAATCGTGTTGACCAACTAATCTGGACTTTAGCCATGTTATATAATTCACTTTTCCTGCGACACCCCAATGTCGTTCTTTGATAGTTTGTTCTAGCCCTAGACCATCCTGGCACTACTCGTTCGTGTTTTGTTGACTGCCTGAAAGACCACTCATCTCGCCATTCACTCTTCAGACTGATCAAACAACCAGCAAGCACCTCAACTTGTATGAGTTTTCAATGGCAAACTCACAAACAGCAGGTGTCTCACAGGTACAAACTCGACTTCTAGCATAGGATTATCTGGTTGAAAAGGCAACCAGAAGTCTATACTCAAGCAAAGGTTTTCTTGTAAATTCTGGGTTCGGGCTTTGATTTGATTGACGAGGCCGGCCTATATCATGTAGAGGTGGGTTCATGGTACCATCCTTCAATAGACACGCAATGATATTTCATGGTCCAGACGCGGTGACCTCGCGTCTGGACAATAGCAACTGCAGTCCTACATCCTCCTTGTAGCGATGCAATGCGACGGCTTTCCACTCATCCCAGTCTAGGCCTTCATCCACTTTCACAGCATTTCGAAGACCCTGGAAAAGGCCAAGGAATCCTCTCCAGTCCGCGAGATCGTAACCGCAACAGAATGAGAACCTGTGCTGTACCCGGCCGTTCCAAACAAACGCCGCTAGGTCCTGACGGCCCTTCTCTTCGAGCAGACGCGCAAAAACGATTTCATCGTCACCCAGATCATTGACGCCGTCGTAGAAGCTTGCGACTGGCAGCAGACCGATTGGAGAGTTGAATGCATGAGCTGGTGGTGCAGTCTGAGCCCACTCCCAGTCGATGATGCCGGTGATGTTGAAATCGTCATCTACCAAGATGTGGTCTCCTTTATCATCCGCGTGCTTTAGGTAGTACTTCCGGCCGTTCTGCATTGAAGGTGACGATGGGGATGGCGATGGCGATACTAGCGGGATCAGATCGACGAGGAAGCGGTGGATGAGATAGGCGTCTACCGCGTGTTGCGAATACATTTCTCCTCGTAGAATGAGGTCCAGTATAAGCTGAAGCGAGGAGTCGTGATACTGCTCTGAGGAGGACAACGGACCGATGGGACGCATTTCGGACTGTGCAAAGGCGGTGAGCGACTCTCGCGCAAATGCGCCGATATGGGCGTCACCTGGGCGGTCGAGGGAGCCGAGAAGATCGAACGGGTATTTGTGCAGTTCAATAAATACATCTGCAAGCTGATTCATGACAGTCTTTTTCTGTTGTTGTGTTGCGAGAGACCATCTCAAGGACTTGCCGGCAAGCTTCTCCATGAGGATATAACCAACCCCGACAGGATTGTTTGCATTTTCTAGTGCAAAATCAAACACCCTTGGGGAAGGCAGACCAACTGGCTCCAGGAATTTGAGGGTTGCGACCTCGCTCTGGATGATGTAGTCTCGCAATGCTGCGGGCGGGGATGTGGCGTTGGACCTGCGAATACGGGCGATCCATTGAATTCCGTCGTCAAAGGTCAATTCGATGTGATAATTCATGCCGCCCATCACAGAACTTCGCGTGGATACGTCATACTGAAGTGGGGGGATAGAGCAAGGTATCCCACCGCGTAGAGAGCTAGCTCGCGCCGCGAGAGCGGCAACATTGATCTTCCCGAACAGCTCCGTCAGCTCGCGTGCTTCTGCCGCTCTAGCTGCTGGATCATAGATATCTGCCTCCTAGATGACGAGATGAGTAGGGGGCCGTGCGGAGCGAAAAACTGCGAACTAACCTCCCATTTGGGACAGCTATGAAATGCAGGTTGGAGATGGACGGAGCAAAGGTGGCGATTGCAGAGGATGCAATCCCCAAAAGTGCGAACGGCCGGCCTTGGGCAACCCTCAAAGTCGCAGGGCCACATAGGCATCGTAGCCGGAGTTGTCAAAGAGTGTGGTACTTTCGTAGAGGGCTGCAAGTCGAAGACAGGATGATTACTTTGGCCACATGGAATACCACGTTAGAAAACGAGCAAAGGTAGGAAGATACATTTTCATCGACGTAGCATGCATGGTACAGACCTAAACTTGGTACGCGTTCATTGGCCAAACGGCGAACGCGGATATCTCCACTGGAGGGTATCGTGACCGACTTTCAGTTGCATCACTTCCAATATGCCTTCTCCCGCGATCCGATGCGTAAAGGATGGTTGCAACGACTGGGCAGTCATGGGCTCTCGCTATTGTTCTGCCCGTACGTTTTGTCCCTCTTCCAAATATTGTCGTTATCTAGCTACTGACATAATGTGTATGCCCAACCAGACCAGTAGACTGTTTCGATCCTCGAACATGCGTCTTAAGGAGGAGTAGGTCAGCAGGCCAGCGTGCGAGCATGTTCTTGGCCTTGATATCAGATTGGTCGAGACTCTGTCGAGCTTTCAAGGTTCAGGCAGACCCTTATGCATGCTAGCACTTTGCGAGTAGGCTATTTAATTCAACAAGCCTTTGCCGTTGTCATTAACAAATTTCTTCTTGAGTGTTGTAGCCAAAACGTTCCGAGAGGTTTATGAATGGACTGCGGGATGCAGAACAGGCAATGCTTGATTCAAAGTGAGATTAACAGTCTTGATACTAACCATCAAGGGTACAGGCTCTACTACATCGACGGTTTACAGTAACCTGGTACCCAAAACCCAGAAGGCTGTAGGTGTTGGCGGTGTCGATTTCTCCGGCGAACTCGCGCAGCTTGCCCAGACGGTGCCTGGAGAAGGTGAACTCTTTGGCCTTGCCAAAGAACCCGCCCACTCTCCTTGTGGGTATATACATCTCTCGATTTTCAACCATTAGGGGGTTTTCCCTCAACCAGATAGACTCTCAAGTTACTGTAGATGCTATATTCAATTCATACCAGTGTCACCCCTCTTTGTCAGAGCAGCAACATGTGGCTTTCCTCACTCAAATGGAACAAACAACTAAAAATGTACGGAGTTCTGATTAACAAAGCAAAGCAAGACAAAATGGCGAAGGGTATGTAGTAGGTATCCAAGAACAGAAGTAAAACAAAACAAAAGACCGAATCTCTGGTCTGACCAAATTATGTCCAAATCCCCCTCAAATCCGCTCCGCTCAACATCGAGCCCCATACACTCACCCACAAATCCCCCCTCACAACAGTGCTCACTCCAACCCCTCAATCCTCATCATCAAACGCAAACTCCCCATACGGATTCCACTCCTGGCCGGGGTACGACGTGGCGCTCATCTGCGGCACCTCCTCCTCCGCCGCGGCACCACCCTTTTTCACCCCTCCGTTCTGCTGCAGGTTCGCCCCTCCGTCGGCGGGCTCCTCGGGGAACACGGCAATCTTCTCCTCCATGTCCCGCTGCAGCATCTTGCGCTTGTGCTCCTCAAACACCTCGGCCGACGTCGCCCGGATCGTGCCCGTCCGCGCCACGCCGCTGCCGCCGTTGGCCTGTCCTCCCGCGCCCTCGGCGTCGGCCACGTCCGGGCTGAGCAGGCGCTCGGGCGGCTCAACCTGCTCTTCGTGCGTCAGGGGCGTCGGCTTGGGCAGCTCGAACTGACCGTCGACCGGGGACGGCGACTCCACGGGGGAGGGCGGGGTGATGACCGTCTCGGTCGCGTGGACCGGTGCGGGCTGCTGTATTACAGGCTGCTGGTGGTGCTGCTCTTGCTCCTCATGCTGCACCGGCTGCGGCTCATGCAAATTATCCTCCTGCTGCACTGGGACCTGTGCAGGCGCGGCCGTCGCCGGCTTCCGCGGCGTAGCATCATAAATATTCTCCTCCTCCGGCAGCAGCGCGTTCGCCCGCTCAGTATCGATAGCGACGACGGGACTCTGGAAGTGCTGCTGCTGCTGTGGCGGCGGCGTGTGTACCTGCTGGTTGCTCTGCTGCACGGGTGCCGGCTCGGGACTGACAGTGCGGTCACCCACAGGCGGCGACGAGAACTGCTGCTGCTGCTGGCCGTGCTGCGCTGGAGGCACCATCGAGTGTATAGAAGAGACCTGGCTCACAGCGCTGATCTGCCGCTGCGGCACGTCCGTCGTCCCATTGACAAACATGTGCTGCTGCTGGTGGTGCTGGGGCGGCGCGGCCAGACCCTGTTGTTGGTGTGGCTGCGGCTGACCGGGCAGAGGCGGGTTCGGCATCCTCATGACGGCGGGGTTGATCGGCGAGAAGGTATTGCCCGACTCTGGGAGCGGGTAGGACTGAGGCGACTGCTGCTGTTGTTGTGCTACATCCTCCATGTTGGTGACGATCTGCGCCGGCTGCTGTCTCGGCGGCGCCGCCGCCATCTCGTTCGACACGTTGCTCAGCTGCGTGATGCGCCCGGAGTCGGCCGAGATGGGCGACAGGCCAGGTGTGCCTTGAGGCGAGGAGCCCACATTGAGGCCGTGGTGTGCTGCCTGAGGAGGAGAGGGCTGTTGTTGACCTTGTGCCTGCGGCGATAGATGTTGAGCGCCAGGCTGTTGCTCCTGCCCCGGTTCCTGCGGCACCATCCGTATCTGTTGTTGCGACTGCTGCTGTTGAGCAAACTGCGCAGGCGGCGGCTGAACCTGCTGGTTCTGCTGCGGCGGAGGCGAGACCTGGTGCAGGCTCTGCTGCGGCGGAGGCGGCGAGACCTGCTGAGGCGGAGTCTGCCCCGGGTATCCCCATTGCTGAGGCATACCCTGCGATCCCATAATGGGCTGCTGCTGCTGCTGCTGCTGCTGCTGCTGCTGGTACGGCATGACGCCATACGGATGGGCGTGCGCAGCAAAGGCCTGGTGCCTGCTGACAACGTACGGCGACGGCGCGACCATGCCCTCGCCGTGCACGACTTGGTAGCCGCCCGGGATCGGCACGGCCTCGTACTGCGGTTCCGACGGGTACTGCGGCTGCTGCTGCTGCACCGACTGCTGCCGCTGGAACGGCAGCGGCTGGCCGGGTCTCTGCTGCTGTTGAGGTCCAGGACCACCGGGGGCACCTTGCGGCTGGCGCTGCATCTGCATCGGACCTCCGGGAGGCTGCCCCATCGGACCCGGTGCCGGGGCGTGGGTAGGAGCATTAGCTTGCTGCTTGAGCGCCTCACGACGCTGGGCAAACTGGTCCTGAGACGAACTCACGCTGGCGGCTGCGCTGCCAGGGCCTTGCTGCTGCTGCTGTTGAGGCGGCAGACCCTGCTGCTGCATACCCTGCGGCGCCGGACCAGGCCTAAACTGCTGCTGCTGTTGCTGCTGCTGCTGCTGAGGCACCGGTCCTCCCATCGGCGCACCACCGCCCTGCTGCGGGTATCGCGGACCACCGGGCGGCGGGCCCTGGGGCTCGACCTGCTTCGACGAGCGGCGGAACGCGCTGAGCAGGCTCTTGCCCGACTTCTTCTCCTTCTGCGGCTGTTCCGGCTGCTGCTCGCCGCCGCCGCCGCCGCCGCCGCCGCTTGAGAAGCGCCCTTTGAACATCTTTGTGAAGCTGTCTGGCTTTTCAGACTGCTGCTGCTGGGCTGTCTGCGGCGGCGGCGGTCCAGTAGCAGTCCGCGGCGGTCCCCACTGCTGCTGCTGCCCTGCTTGTTGCTGAGGCGCGCCAAAACCAGGCTGCATCTGCGGCTGACCCTGCGGGCCTTGCTGCTGCTGCTGCTGTTGCTGCAAAGGCTGATGATGCCCCAGAGCACCCTGCATCATCGGCGGCGGGCCCGAGGCCTTCCGCAGGTCCTGCAAGCTAGGCCGATCCTGGAACTGCTGCTGCGGCCCCGAAGGCCGACGGATATCCTGCATGCTAGCTTGGCCCTGCACCTGCTGCTGCTGCTGCTGCGGCGACGAAGCGCCCGAGTCCCTCCGCACGCCCTGCAGACTCGGCCGGCTCGGCTGCTGAGCCAGCACCGACGGCGGCGGGGACCCAGCGGGCGAGACGACCATCTGCTGCTGCCCCTGCGGCTGCCCAGCAACCCTATCCAGCGGATTACCCGGCGTAGGCACCCTGGGCGGAGCCTGCTGCTGCTGCTGCTGCTGCTGCTGCCCCTCACCCTGCGCCTGCGCCTGCACCGCCGCAGTAGCAGGCCGGACCTGCGGCGACACCTGCGCCTGCTCTCCCAGCGGCGCGATGCTCGGCGTCGACACGCGCCGCATATCGGGCGACCCCGTCTGCGGCGTCGGCGTCTGCCTACCGTCCTGCTCCGCGGTGACCTGCTGCTGCTGCTGCGGCTGCCGCGCCTCGGAGAAGCGCCTCGGCGACGGCGTCGACCCGACGGGCTTGCGCGAGGGCGCGAGCCCGCCCTTGGCGGCCAGGCCGGCGGGCGGGAGCGCCATGCTCGCGCGGCGGGCGTCGACCTCGAAGGAGCCCGAGCGGGAGCGGTCCTGCTCCTGGAGGGGCCGGGGCGGCGGGGGCTCGGCCGTGGGGTCTTGCTGGTCGGCGAGGGGAGTGACGGGGTGGGACGAGAGCGGGTTGCGGGACAGCGCCGGGCGGGAGTCTGAGCCTCGACGGGCGCCGGCAGGGGTGCTGGGGGCTTGTTGCTGTTGCTGTTGCTGCTGCTGCTCAGGGGTAGGAGATTGCTGTGACGGAGCAGTCGTTTGTTGCTCTGGGGATTGCTGCTGCTGCTGCTGTACCAGCGCCGGGTTGGGGCCACCAGGAAACGCCCCTTGTGGAGGCTGAGGCGACATCGACGCCCGGCGGCCGTCTTGTTGTTGTTGCGCAGCCTGCGGTGGAGGCTGCTGCCCCGCCTGGCCCTGGTTGACCATGATGCGTCCGCCGGCGAGGAACTGCGGCGGCCCAATTGGTCTTCCATCAGGACCGATCTGCTGCACCATGCCGCCGCGGCCCAGGCCGGGATGCCCAGGGGGACCGAACTGCTGCTGCTGCATCATCATCATCATCGGGCCAGGAGGCATGCCCCGCCCCCGACCCATCGAGCCAGGCCCGAACGGCTGCCCCTGCATCGGCACCGGCCCGCCGCGTCCCATCGGAAAGTTTTGTTGCAGAGGAGCGTACCCCTGCTGCTGCACAGGTCCGCCACGGCCCATCATGGGCAGCCCGTTCGGTCCCGGTTGGAACTGCGACACAGGCGGACTTGGTGAAGACTGCGGCGGCGTCTGCTGCTGCTGTTGCTGCTGCTTCTGCTCCTTGTTCTTACCGCCCTTGAAGATCCCCGAGAGGAACGCGCTCGCCTTCTTGGCGCTGCCGGGCGCCTCGTCCTGCGCCGGCCGCTGGAGGTACTCCCTCGGCTGGTTCTGCTTCTGCTGCATAGACTGCATCTGCGCATCCGAGGTGAATGGCCGGGGACCAGACATGCTCGGCCGCGGCGCTCCGCCATTCACCTGCTGTTGTTGTTGCTGCTGTTGTTGAGGCTGAGGCTGAGATTGTTGCGGGCCGAACTTGTTCATCATCTCCGGCGGGGCCGCCTGGCGCTGCTGGCCCTCCATGGTCGGCGGGGCCTGCGGCGACGACATGATGGGCGCGCTGATCTGGGGCGTCTGCCGCTGCTGCTCGGCTTCCTGGTTGCCGCCGGGGCGCAGCATGTGGCTGAGGTTAGAGAAGCGCTTCTTCGGCTGCTGCGGCTGTTGCTGCTGTTGGGACGGCTTCGGGTCGGTGCTGTACTCCGAGCTGGACCGGCGGACGAGACCTTGCCGGATGAGCGTCTCCGGCGCCGGCTGGGCCGGGGATTGCCGGCTCAGTCCTCCCGCAGAGCCCGTGCGAATGAAGCTGTTCCTCGGGTCAGATGGTGGTTGCTGCTGCTGCTGTTGGGGTTGCTGAACATGCGGCGGCGGCGACTGCTGACGGGGTTGTTGACCTTGCTGCTGCTGCTGCTGCTGCTGCTGTGGCGGCTGCTGTGGCGGCTGCTGAGCACCCGCAGCCGCAACGACGCTCTCCCTCCGCGAGGGAGGCGAGTGCGGGAACTCGGTGTTGTCCCACGTATTAGGCTGCGTCGCGCTGCCGCGCAGAGCTCCAAATACGCTCCGCCGCTTGTTCCCCGACCCGGCATCGACGCTGGCCTCCGAGACCTCGTCCCCGGCGACCTTGTTGTTGTGACCCCCCTGATCCACGCTCTGCCGGCGCGCCGCTCCTGCGGCATTAGCCTGGTGCTCCTTAAGCCGCTGGCGGATGCCGTGAAAGATGCCGTGGTGCTTATTTACGTTGCTCGCGTCGTCCTGGCTCTGGTTCTGCCCGGCGGGGTTGTGGTCGTTGGTCTGCGCCCGCGCAAGCGCATTCGGCATGAAGCCTCCCTGCTGCTGCTGCTGTTGGGGCGGGATCATCCGGCCCACCGGCGATGTCCCGGGCCGCTGCAGCTGCGGGTTGAACGACGCGGGGACCTGGGGCACGGGCGGGGCGTCCTGCTGCGACTGCTGCTGGGCGTCGAGCGCCTGCGTCACGCTGTCGATCGTGTTGACCGTGCCCACCGTCGCCGACACCCCGGTGTCCTTGTCGAGCTCGTACTCGCCCGCGTCGCCGGAGCGCCCTCCCTGCTGTTGCTCCTGCTCCTGCCCCTGCCGCAGCGAAGCATTGCTCGACGCGCGGTGGCGGGGGAGCTGCAGCGGCTCCGAGAGGTGCGACTCCTCGAGGATCCAGGCGCTGCCTTGGGGCGGGATGTGCTGCACTGGGTTGCCGTTGGGGTACAACTGCTGCTGCTGCTGCTGCGGAGGCTGCTGGCCCTGAGGATAGTGGTGAGGAGGAGGAGGCTGGAATCCGGGCCGCATGTTGGGCGGGACGAAGGGCTGGGCCTGGCCAAACTGCTGCTGCTGGGTGAGCGTAATCTGGGGGTGCCCGGGGCCGCCGCGTGGGGGTTGTTGTTGCGGCTGGCCCTGGGGGAAGAATTGTCCGCCCTGCTGCTGGGGATGCTGCTGGCCCTGGAACTGCTGGTGCGGCATGCCCTGGTGTTGCTGAGGATGCTGCTGCTGGTGGTGATATTGCGCGGCCGGATTGGTGTTATACTGCTGCCCGCCGGGAGCGCCGCCGAAGTTGACGGGGCTCTGCGACAGCTGCCGCTGCTGCCCGATGTACTCCTGCGCCACGTGTCCCGGCAGACCCATCTGCTGCTGCTGCTGCTGCTGCTGCTGCTGCTGCTGCTGCTGTTGTCTCGGGTTCGGACTCGGCGTCGACCGTTGGCTCGGCAGCTGCGCCACGGCGCTCACGGGCTGCTGCTGCTGTTGCTGGTTGCCTTCGGCGTCGCCATTGCTGCTCCCGACGGCGGCGATGCTGTCGCTGAAGAAGGTCGAAGACCGGCGGATGGGCGGCAGCCCCACGAACGAGGTCTGGCGGACGGGCGAGGCGCGCTCCTGGTGCTGCTGGTGCTGGTGCTGGTACTGGTGCTGCTGGTGCTGTTGCGCGGCGGCCGCAGCATTGGCCTTTTCCTGCAGCTGGTTGAACTGCTCCTCGCCAAAGGTGCCCCCCTCCGGCAGGGGCGCCTCGGCCTCGGCGGCGATCATGGGGTCGTGGCTGTGGTCCGGATACGGCTGCGGGAATTGGGCGGCGGCTCTGGGGTCGGGCGGATGGTGATGGTAGTGGTAGGCGGGCTGGTGGTGGTATTGAGGGGACTGCATAACAAGAGGCCCGGGTCTTGCCCCCTGAGGCGCAATAGGAGGGGAGAGCGTGTATGCGTGTGTCTTACGGTGGTTCCGGTCGGGAGGAAAGAGGTTCAGTCGGGCGAGTCTGTCAGAGCTGGACCATTGAAGCGGATGTCTGGGGCCGGTCGGTGATGTCGGGAGATCGCGCGGTGCTTCGATTCGATGTCCCGTCCCGCCGGAGATTGGAGCGCGGGAGAGGCTTCTGTCAAGGATGGCGCTGTGAGCTTCTTTTACTTTTCTTCCGTCGTGTTGGCTGACCTGGTCGGAAGGAGACACAGGAGGACAGGGCCAATTTGAGCAGAGCTGAAGGACTGGTGTGTGTGTGTGTGTCCTCGAGGGTCGAGTTTCTTACGTACCACAGCAGAGACAGCTCCTCCTTGCGACACTGCAATTGAGTAGTGCACTGCTACACTAGCTCTAAAAAGAGATCGAGTAAAAGAAAAGACATAAACAATCGGGCTCGTGATCCGCGCGCTGCAAATATTGATTTTGCACAGCACAGCGCAAGTGATGTCCGGAGCTCCCAGCGCAGCAGCTAGTAGCTACGGAGTAAGGTAGGAAGCTTGGATCTGGAGAGTCGAGGGAAAGTTCGTCGGTGGCTTAGACCGAGACATGGGCGGGAAAGGAATGTGGAAAGAGGCGAGCCTGCCGAAAATGGGGGATTGGCTGGCGGCGAAACATGGCCTAGTCTGGCAGGAAGTGTGGAGATGCAGCGAGGGAGGAGCGACCTACAGACCCGACTGCTAATATTAGGAACTCTCAGGGTGGGGATAGTTACTTGGTCTGGTCTAGGTGCACGGAGAGAAAGCAAGGCAAAATGACGCGCAACAGCTGGTGCTAGAGCTTCTCTGTTCATTGAAATAGACAGCTGCTGCGCCTACCTAGCCCTGGCCCCCTGGTCCCTTGTCCCTTGTCCTGGCTCAGCCCTGGGAAAACATCCACAGCACAATGGGTGGTATTGTACTTGTACGGAGTACCTAGTTCGACAGCACTAGGTACGCTAAGAACCCGCCCACCCGTTGAAATTGGGCTGACATCGCGCACCGACAACCTCTGTGAACACTGAAGGCGCACCAACAACCAGGGCTTCACAGAGGTTGTTGGTCTCCAGGTCGTCTTCTTCATTTCGTTAACAGCACAGGACTCACTCGGATCTGTTTCACGAACCACCATCCCACGAACCCCCCAGTGCCATGTTCCCCTCCTTTTGCCCACGATGCGAGGTCAGGTCGAACCGGGGCTGCCACCCGACAACCGTTGAGTCCCACTGTACCAAGACCACGGTTCGAGCAAATCCGCTACCTAGTTAATTACTTGACCTGAAGGACTTGGTTGGCAGCGTTGCACCAGCTGAGACTTTCTCCATCTCAGCCACAGCACTCCGCCACCAAATCCAGGTGCGTTGCACCGACAGTTTGGAAGACAGCCCTCCCTCTCAACTCTGCTGCAAGCCTCTCTCTCTCTCTCTCTCTCAGACTGCACAAAGACCCCCCAGGATTTCAGAAGCCGGCACAGTCTTATCACACATTGTACCCTCCAACAATCCCATCCACCAAAGTGTCAGGCTAGGGTGTTTGATTCCCCCACCACTCCGCACGCACTCTGCCACGGGCCAATCGTCAAATGTAATGTGGTGGTCAATCATCGGCCTCGGCGGCAGCTGCTTCGTGACCTCGACGGATAAGAAGACGGCCCTCAAGAGCCACCAGGTCTGGGCGGGCGGCGAGCTGCGCGCCCTGTGCCAGCACGACAGCGAGGCCGTCCTGGCCCCGCGAGGCCGCCGTCTACGCCCACCTCGGCCCCCACCCGCAGGTCCTGCGCTGCCGCGGCCTCGAGGAGGTGCACCCGGGCGTCCACGCCCTCCGGCTCGAGTACGCGCCCCTCGGCGACGTGCGCAGCTTCGTCAGGGGCCGCGGGGGAGGGGCCGCCGCGCCGCGCCCCGAGGAGGGCGTCCGGCTCCGCATGGCCCTCGACGTCGCCCTCGGCCTGAGCCACGTCCACGAGAGGGGCGTGCAGCACTGCGACCTCACCTGCCGCAACCTGTTCCTGTTCGACGACTACCGCCTCAAGATCGGAGACTTTGGCGGCTCCCTGATCCGCGGGCGCGACGAGTTCGAGTCCGTCATATTCGAGGAGTCCAGCTACGAGCTCCCGCTCCGTGGGAGAGACTTCTACGGCCGGCCGGCCCGGAAGCGAGAGCTCTTCGCGCTCGGCTCTGCCATCTACGAGCTGATGGCGTGGGCCCCGCCGTACGACGGACTGGAGGACGATGAGATTGAGACAAAATATGCCATGGAGGCATTCCCCCCTCTAGAAGGTATGACAGCCGGCCACATCATCCATATGTGCTGGGACGAGAGCTACGAGAGTTCAGAAGACGTAGTGGATGCGCTGAAGGAAACCATCGCTTCACGACACGAGGTAAAGCCAGTGCATGGTGCTCAACAAGTGACTTTGACATAGTTCCAAGCCAGGGACGGGGCATGATGTAGGTAGGCAGTGCGGGTCTGTTGTGATTCGTAGGTAATCCACCGATCCACCCAACTGCACAGCCCAGCTCTTCCCCCGGTCCTAACTTGTCTACCTTTATGTGAACATCCGCAGAATGCCAGGCCGTGAAAGCGGAAAGGGCAGCAGCTGGAGTTGACCTCTCAAGGTAATGTGCAGCGGAAACCCAGGCGTTGGTGCCTTATGACAGTGCGCCGACCACGCTGGGGGGAATCACCAAATTCTTCTAACACGGATCGAGCCGTGATCACAGAGGTCCATACGTCACTCTGCATCCTGTAACAGTACTCTAGCCCAGCCTTGACAGGGCTGACAGGTGACAGTAATTGACAAGCCAGACTACCTACCTCCTAATTGGCTGGAGCGTACAGTGGAAGAAGCACCACAGTTTCACACATCATCAACAGCCTCACATACCAGTTTCACGCATGCTCACAAAGCACAACAGAGGCCTTCATGTATTTCATACATCTGTAATCACCACCCAGCCCACATCTCCCCATCATCAATCTTGATATGCAAACAGCGAGAATAAAGCCACATACCGGAGCACAATCTGGAGAACCAGCCCTCACACCCAGTCTCGTAGTCCAGTGCAAAGTGATCACACCAACAACATACTCTCATCCAACATCAACATGAAAAAAAGTCCAACACAGAGCAAAAGCTCAAATGCGAAAAAAAACAAAAAAAACAAAGAAGGATGATTCCCCGCCAAGACCCCTTTCCCCTCTGCAATGATAGTGATGCCAATGGCCCTGTAAAACGAGGAAGAAAAGAAAATGATGATGAAAGCCGGTGTTGCTTGCCCCCAAGGCAAAGGCACCCCGAAAATGAATGCTACAGAAGCATCAATATCCCGCTTACCCCTTCTCTTCCCTTTCCCCACCAGCCAGCCAGTCCACCACCACCGACCAAAACCTACACCTACAAAGCCCTCAGCTTATTCTTCCCCTTGTTAAAAAGCCCCTTGCTCATCTTCCCCGCCGTCTGCAAGAACTCCTTGCTCTTGGCCGCCGCCTGCCCGCTCGAGTGCCGGAACTCGCTCGACGGGCCAAACTGCGACGCAGCATTGCCGTGGCCGTGGTGCAGGTGCCCCCCCGCCGTCGCCGGCCGGGGGCCGGACGGGCCCGCCGCCGCCGTCGTGGGCGAGCTCGCGTTGAGGTACTGCTGGAAGTACGGCAGGGACTCCGCGCCCGCGCCCCCCGCCGCCGTCGGCGACACCAGCGCCGCCACCACGGCCTCGCGCATCGACGCCGACGCCCCCGCGTGCTCCGGCTGGCTCCGCATGCCCCCGAGCCAGTCCGCCAGCCCCGAGTTGGCCTCGGCGAACTGCCGCCGCGTCTCCTCGTACGTCGCGATCCGCTCCGCCGGCGTCGGGTACGACATGATCTGCCGGAAGGTGACGATCCTGTCCAGGTCCGTCGGCGGTGCGGCCGTCACCGGCGACGCGGCGCTCTGTGGCGTCGAGGATCCCTTGGAGAGGGCCGGGTGCTCATAAGGGGGAGGAGCGGGTGATACGAGGGAGGAGCCGTGCTGAATCTGGGACTTCTCGTCTGCGAGGGAGAGCCGGTGAGGCTCAGTAGACAGTGGCGGCGATTTCTGTTCTGTCATGGCAGAGACAGGCGACAGTTGGTCCGGGCCGACGCCGGGTCCTGGTGCTGCTGAGCTTAGAAGAGATATCTTGGGCGATAGATCTTCGGGATCCCGAGCGGCCTGTATTTGAGATGCTCCCTGCTCCGTAGGGCTGCCTGCTGGGGGTGTCATCGAACTCGGTCCAATACCTAGGCTCTTGGGCTCATGCTCTGCAGGATCTTGTTGCGCTGGAGGTGCAGGTTGCTGCGGGGCAGCAGTCTCCTCAGTATCCATCTCCCAAGAGAACCTCTGGCGGCCGAGTGTGAGCTTTTGCGGTTCAGGCTGTGGCACTTGATCCCTTTGCGGGCTTTGTGGGTTCAAGGCAGGGGGGCTGAGCACCGGAGGACTGAGCACTGGGATGGCCGCAACCTCTGGCTTGGTTTCCGTGGGAGGTGGAACCGCGGGAGCTGCTTCCCGTAATGCGGTTGCCGGCTCCGAGCTCTTCTCCGATTCAGCTTCGTCCACCGTCTCAAGAGCGGTCCCTTCCAGGGCCTCGTCTTCTGGCCTGTCCTCGGCTGACCAATAATCGCCGTAGACATCGTTGAGGTACGTACTCTCGCGCGTAGTGTTGCGTCCGGCCAGACCTGCGTCTCGGGCAGCACTTGCCTCGGCAAAATCATCAGACGCCTTGACTGGGCTCAGGGTCCTGATAATCTCCTCTCGCAATTTGTCGCTCTCCTTCACCGGCGAGTTTGTCGTCGTGCTCATCGTCGAGATCCGCTCTAGGCTCTGCGGCGGCACGTAGTCTGAGGGGAAGATCTCGCTTCGGCGGGTGTTCAGGGGTGCCGTGGGAGGCACCTCAGACGTAGCCGTGGTTGGCGTGGCGTCTTGTGCCTGTGGTTTCGTTGATTCTGCAAGCACCGGCGGTGGCATAATGGCCTTGTCCTCCACCGCCGGCGCAGGCCGCGAGCTGGTGTTAATGGGAGGAAGGGCGTCTGGAGACCTGGTCGATGTCAAACCGTCGTCATCGTCACTGCTCTCGTCTGTGCCAATATCACCAGCCTGCACTTGGCGTGCACCAGGTGGGTTGGCTGTGTCGGCATCCCGAGCAGCAGATGGAGCGCCGATGCCAGACAGGTCCTTGGACGGCTCGCCGGGCGTTTCGCCGGGTGTGGCACCAGTCTCGGTGACCCACTTGCCTGGCAGTGATGGTCTGGGGGGAGCCAGAACATCTGCTGCGCTTGTTGTGGTGGTGTCTACTACATCCTTACTCTCGACTGCCTTGGCAGCGTCAAGAGACTTTCTATCTGAGGAGGTCGTCTGGGCTAGCTTCAGCCCTCCTTCCTTAGCACTAGCTTCCGATGAGGTATCGGATGCAGCCTGGGTAGGTAGAACGACGGGTTTCTTGCTTATACTCGGCGTTTCTTGCTCTGGCGACTCGGAGTCACGATCCGGTATGGTGGGCATCGGCGGTGCATCGGCAAGGAAGCCCGAGGGATTGGAGAAGAGATCCTCTCCAAAGAGTGACATGCGGGCCAGATCGGGGAGCTTTGGGCTCGTCGAGAATCGTCGCAAGTCGCCATCCTCGTCGGCACCAATGACTGGCTTCGGCCCTTCGCTGACATTTGGTTGCTGTGCGCCACTCACCATGCCATCAAAGCCGTGCTCACTCTTCCTCTCTGCGACAGGCGTCAAGACCTGGTTCGCGCTCCGAGTCCTGTCCGCGCCGTCCTCATCTCTACCAAAACTTGCTGGCCTTTGGTCCGAGTCGGTTTTTAGTGGCGAGCTAGATCGCTCGCTCCCTCGCGCCCCAAGGCTGTCCAGGCTAGGACGGTTCGAATCCATAGATAGCCGCTCCTTCTCCTTCTCCTCTCCCATCCTCTTATAGATGTCGGCAGGCCGGATAAAGCTGGGCTTGTTCGGCTGCCCATCTGGCGACCTGGGCCCCAGGGGCGAAGCAGGCCGTCCTTCCCTCCAGGGCTTGCCCTGCACCAGGTCTGGGCCCGAGCCGGGGCGAACGATCTCGGACAGGTCGGGGGCGGCTTGCTGGCCCATGCTCGACTTCCTCGGTGGGAATCGGGTAGGCACTGGGCCTGAAGCAGATTGTGGTGCGGGCGACATGCGCCGGTCCGTCACGGGCGAGCTTACATTGCGGGCGCTGGGCTGCGAGTAGACGCTGGATGCAGTGGCCCCGCTCTGTGGCACGCCAGCAGATTGTGGTGAGGCAACCTGCTCAGCGGAGGCACCCGACGGCGCAGTGATAGGAGCAGGAGCGTTCGAGGGGCCTGCATGATCAGGTCTCGGGTTCTCGGGTGCCACGGTAGGCGACTGAGACTGAGCCTGCGTCTGTATCTGTAGCGCCGGCGGGCCTGAAGGACCTTTCAGGCCAGGTGATGGAGCGGGTGAAGCCGAAGCCGAGTAGGGCTTGCCGGAATGGATGGAATGGACGGCGGACTGCGGTGTAGGAGGTTGGCTCGAGGGATTTGAGCCTGGCAGTCGGGGTCCGAGTGGTTTTGGTGGTGGTGGAGGAGGAGGCGGTACTTCATCTTCGGGCGGCTCATCGTCGTACTCGTCGGCTCCCCAGTCGTCGCCGTCGTAGCTCTGGACCTTGGCTTCGACCCATTTCTTGGTCTTGGTGCGGTTAACGTTGGTCTTGTACTGACCGCCGGTCGGGGTGTTTGGAGTCCTGCACAGAGGCTCGAGTAGTTAGCGCCGGTCAGAGAGGAAGGGAGAGGCATCACGATCTCAGGCAGCACCGGGCATGGAGGAGACTTGCATTGGTGACTGGATGTTGGAGCGGAAGGCATTGCCATAAGTGCCTTCCATTGCGTGCGTAGATGTTGGTTGCCGACAGCGCCTCGTATTAGGTTCAAAACATTATTTCCAGGAGAGCGGCAAATGCGATGACGACTGCTCTAGACGAGACCGAACCACAAGACCTGCGGGCGAGCCTTTGAGAACGGGGTCGCAAAGTCGTTTGCTGAAGGCCAGAGGGTTGCGGGAGGCGAAAAAAGGGCCGAGGAATTCGCACGCGTGGCACCCTTGGCGAAGAGCGCAGGACAGACAGGGCAGCAGGCAGGACCGTCTGTTCCTTCGCGAAGCTCGAGGTTATCTGATTGGGTTGGAGCTGTTCAAGTGTGTGCGGTGTCAGCACACAGCGCACCTGTTTTTTTCCCCCCTGGTGTACTGAACTGCAGATCGATGACGGATGAGAGGGTGGTGGTCTCTGGCACGGTTGCAGCAGAGAGACAGCAGCAGCAATCCAGGCAATAACCACACTGCGAGATGCACAGCAGACGGTTCCTTGGTCAGGCAGAAGAGTCAGGGGCGGGAAGATCTCAATGAAGTTGCGAACACGATGACAAGAGGCGGCCTCGCACTAGTCAGAAGTTCCGGCTGCTATGGCCTGCAGTATGGATCACGGCGGTGGCGCGAGGCACACGGACAGCGGGCAGCACTGCGGTCTTTGGGGAAATTTACAGGCCTGACCTCACAGGGTCGCACCAGAGATCAACTGGCTGGCGGCGCTAAAGACACGCTAGAACAGCTGGACTCCAGTTTGGCGGGGGTCCAGCAGGGGGAACTGGCATGATGGGCATCTGAACAGTACCTCTTGTAAAGACCGCGGGCAAAGACGAAACCGCCAGCATTTTTAGGAGAAAGACGGGCTGCCGCTGCTGTGGCGGCGGAAGTCCGGATAATGTCCATAGTCCATACACTCTGTGTCTCTTCTTGTTCGCCTGTTCTCCTGCAGCGGTCTCACATCGCTGCCCGCTTTAGCCAAAAGGAGCCCTCCGGTCTTCCTCTGAACCCGCACTCCATTCTGCATTAAGCACTGTCGACGGAGATCCAGCGTTGCCGTTAGTGGTGTGCACATGCCAGGGGAGGCTAGGCTAGTGGCTTGTAACATTGCGTCACGCTCACCCGTACATCGTTGTTGGCCTGTTTTGTCAAGCTTCGCCCCCCGAACATGAGCTTCCACCTCGGGTTGAGCAGCAGATAGTTTTGTGCGGGCGAGGAACTCACTAGGTATTGGGCAGTATGTTTGGGTCAGTCGACTCCAGGCAAGCCATTGGCAAGACACTCACTTGGCCAAGTAGGTTTCTCATGTCTATGGACAACTTATGGACAGTAATACCACGGTTGAATATTAGACAAAGTGGCACTTGCAAGTAGGAGTCTCACGTCCACATCTGAAAGCCTCGCACACCTGGACGGTGCGACAACCCGTCTGCTGCGATCCGTTTGCAACACGAAAGGCCGTGATTCGAGGTGGTTATCTGCTGGGAGTTTAATTGGAGTGCGTGCCTGTTGCCGTCGCCCTCGCGTCGCCCTCGGGAGGATCTGCAAAGCGACAGGGGGTGCCACAATCCTGGACATGAACCAGATGGGGCTAAAGATGGAGAGAGAAACAAAAAAAGAAATTTGAAATGACATCGCCCAGTCAGGCTCGGCCAACGGCTCTGCTGCAGAACTCCTCCAATCTATGCTTGTCTTGGGCATTTCAAGCCGACCTACTCCCTACTTATCTCCCAAAATGTTTCCGGCAAGTCACTCATGTACCTACACACCCGCTCTCGTTGAATGAAGGGCGAGGTCTTCACTGAAACAAGACGAAGGCTTCTGTGCACTTGTTTCATCAGCAGTCAATTCCTGAATGGAAAGTACTTTAGGCACCTAGGCAGTATAGATCATACGAACAACCACCATCTGAGACAATGCGCTTGCCAAGGTCAATGGTACAAATACAAAAGGAGATAGAAACGGCAAAGTCAGCAATACGATGCCAAATGTGACTCCATGTGAATGTGAATGCAGTTCGGCAGGTTGTGCTTGGCAAGGGAATATTGGTGCCTGAGGCACTCATCAGCCCATCCCTTGTTCGTGTTACCAATGGAACCGAGCCAAACGAGCCAGAACTAAAACCACGTTTCCAAGCCAGATCCAGGCGAGGAGGATGCGCTGCCATTTGCATTTGGCGACATCACAGACTCCACTCTCACAACGCAATCCTCAACTGTCTGCTCGTCTGCGTCGTCCTCCTCTTCTCACACAGGCTGCTTTGGCCCTCTCTCTTTGTGCTTGCGAATATACACTTTAATCAACAACTCCCAAACGGTCCAATTCGTCCTCTCCTTCTGGCACAACGATCTGCTACGCGCTATCCGATAGTCTCCGGGGCTTCCAGACCCCCTGAACGACGACGCATCATCTTCCAGACCCCCCATACTACGAGATAACTGTTGTCAATAATCACAGAAACTCTATACTCCGGCGCTGGCTTCTTCTAGAGAAAGGAAAAATAAAGAGCTAGGAGGACCTGGGGTACAAAGTCCGCGCCGGTTCGCATCCCACTCCCACACGAGTTGCACGCCACGCGCCACATCACCACCACTGCACTGCTGTTCACGATGGCCGTCGCATCCGTACAAGACCGGACCGCCGAGTTCAAGTCGGTCCTCGCCCAGGCCCAGCGCAGGCAGGCGCAGTCCAAAGTCGGCGCCCAGCGCCGCTCCCTCCTGACCGACGCGCAAAAGGCCGAGGCGAATGGCGACCGCAAGCCCACGAGGTCCGAGTTCGCCCGCAAGGCCGCCGAGATTGGTCGCGGCATCTCCGCGACCATGGGCAAGCTGGAGAAGCTGGCACAATGTAGGTTTTTCCTTTGTTATTGTTGTGAACTTTTTTTTTTTTTTTTTTTTTTTTTTGCCGGGTATTCCACGTGTACGGCTGGTTGGGGCAACGGTTTGCTGACGAAAGGCTATCACTTTCTCGCAGTGGCGAAGCGAAAGACGCTCTTCGACGACAGGCCCGTCGAGATCAACGAGCTCACCTTCATCATCAAGCAAGACCTCTCCTCCCTGAACCAGCAGATCTCCGCCCTGCAGGCCCTCTCGCGGCAGCAGCACCCCAAGGCCGACCAGGAGGGCGAGCACAACAAGAACGTCGTCTTCCTGCTGCAGGGCAAGCTGTCCGACGTCTCGGCCAACTTCAAGGACGTCCTCGAGGTGCGCACCAAGAACATCCAGGCCTCGCGCTCCCGCACCGAGAACTTCATCTCCTCCGTCTCCCAGGGCGTCAACCCGGCCCTGCAGCAGTCGGCCTCGCCCCTCTACGGCACCCCGAACCGCGGCACCCCGTCGCCCGGCGCGGACCTGCTGTCCCTCAACCCCGTCGGCGACCAGCAGCTGCTGCAGATGGAGGAGGCGCAGCCCCAGAACCAGTACATCCAGCAGCGGGGGGAGGCCATCGAGGCCATCGAGAAGACCATCAACGAGCTCGGCAGCATCTTTGGCCAGCTGGCGCAGATGGTGTCGGAGCAGACCGAGGTCATTGAGAGGATCGACGCCAACAGTGAGTAGCATACATCGCAAGCCACAGTGTTGACGTGTTTTTGCTCTGGGGGGGGGTAATCCAGCTAACCGACTGTCTTTTCCAGCCGAGGATGTCGTCGACAACGTCACTGGCGCCCAGAGGGAATTGCTCAAGTACTGGGGACGGGTAAGCGGCAACAGGTGGCTGATAGCCAAGGTGAGTTTCCTCTGGACTTCTTTCTAGCGTATAAGTGCAACCTTGTGCTGACCTCTCTGCTCCAGATGTTTGGCGTCCTCATGATTTTCTTCCTGTTATGGGTCCTGATCGCAGGTTAAAAGCTCTGCGAAACAGACGGACGTGCATCACTACTGGAGTTTTGGTTCCGGGGGGTGGGCTTTGTACTAATACCACAGCTGCTGTTTTTTTCTTTTGATCAGTTCTACTCAGAACCCGCCTTTTCGTCACGGCGGCAGCAGAGCATCACTTCTAGACATTTCACATCGGATGTTTATCTTTCTTTTGTTTGTACTTTCTTGTACTTTTTGCCAGCATACAATGTGGTTAGGTCTAGACCAGAGGAGTCTCGACGGCTCGGCTCCAGCTTGGGGAGCCAACACCAAGCAGAATCAATGATACTGCAGAAGCAGTGCGATCAACCAGTTGCAACCTGCTTGCGCTACATCTTTCAAACTGTGAATACTCCTCCATGAGAACTACTTGGCGAGCCGTTTACGGATCAACGTAAATATTGGCCGACACGCCGGCCATCATGGAGAAGCCGGCCACTCTCGCCCCCTCGGCGAGCTGGGGATCGAAGAGGGAGAGTGCGTGAGAAGGTCCAAGATTCCTGATAGTATCTCCAACTGCCTTTGCGCCGTGTGTGGTTCTACGTCTGACTGGAGGGCGATTCTGCTTGTCGAGGGTCCCGACCAGTGTGTTGATGTCAATCATCCGCAGCAGAGTTGATGTGATGCAATGATATGTTTATATCATACTCAAATAGATAAACACAACATCCCCTCCACGTGTATTTCAATCCTCACTTTCTTAAGAAGGCCTTGTGCCGTTTGTTTAACGCCATGTGTACGTACACGGCCCCCAGCCCTTGACCCGCACCGAGTCGAGTCGTCTTGGGTCGGAGCAAGTGTCGGGGCAAAGCCACCCGATCTGGGTCGGGCCAGTTTTCCCACCAACCCGACAACACCAAAATCGACAAGTCTACCTAGTCTCTCTCCTTGGCTGGTGGCCCTTGTTAGTCACCACTCTCCACTTGACAACCCGGAGGCTGGGCCCGAGGCTTTGCCCGATCAATGCGCCGGCGGGCGGCGGCCCTCAATCGCACCCGCACAGGCATCCCAGTGCTCCCCCCAAAACGAGCGGGGGATCCAGGCGGGCGGGGTTCATCTGTGTACAAGTACAAGTACAATGGTGAGAGGCTAAAACGTGGGGTGGGTGGGCAGGACTGCCGCGCCCCCGATCGGCCTTCGCTCCTCGCAAAAGGTTTACGTGATAGAGGGCTTGCTTGTCTGTGCTGCCACGAGCTTGGCGCGGGACGCGGATAGCCAGGGTCGTTCTTATTTGCACATGAGTTTACCCGGGGCGAATTGGGGTAGGTAGCCAGGTTGATCCCCCATATTTTTATGTATTAAGCTGTTGGAGCTCCCGGGACCTGGTATTTCATTTCTAGAATTTTGCATTTACATCAACCCACGATACCCCTCCACCGCCTCAGTCGAAGGAAGGAGAACCAACACTTGAGCAGAAGCTCGCGGTAGTTCGTAAGAAGAGACGCCGCCACTGCCGTATTCTGCCTAGAGTCGAAGCCAGAATCAGGGTCATCGATCGAGGCCTGAGCCGTGCAGACCTTTGCTTGCCACGAGCTTCTTGTTGAGAAGACACATTGACCTAGCTATCCATCACAAGAGCTCTTGAGGGAACACCTGAGAGCTGCATGGTCCTGCGCCTACTCTCTCGATTCACAATCTCTTCTACTCCCGCCGCGCGACGATACTTCACCGCCGTCAAGATGGCCGACCAGACATACACCCTCAACAACGGCGTCAAGATCCCCAAGCTGGGCTTCGGTGCGCACTTCCCCGAAACCCCGCCCACTACTCTCCCGATGGCGAGATGGAGGGAAAAAAAGACTAATCTCTTCCTGCTCCGGGGCAAAACAGGCACATGGCAAGCCGACCCGGGCCAGGTCAGCAGCGCCGTCGCCGTGGCGCTCAAGGCCGGCTACCGGCTCATCGACGGCGCCTACTGCTACGGCAACGAGGACGAGGTCGGGCAGGGCCTCAGGGCCGGGTTCGACGCCGGCATCAGGCGCGAGGACGTCTTCGTCGTGAGCAAGGCGTGGGCGACGTACAGCTCGCGCGTCGAGGAGTGCCTCGACAAGTCGCTCAAGAGCCTCGGCCTGGACTATGTCGATCTGTACCTCGTGGTGAGTTCTCTTCCGGGAAGATCCACATCGAGTGATGAGCGAGATTGTGCTCACAAGAGAGGTACACGGCTTGCTTGGCTGACATGAGACATATCAAAGCACTGGCCCGTGGCCATGAACCCCGACGGCAACCACGACCGCTTCCCCAAGCTGCCCAACGGCGAGCGCGACATCATCTGGGAGCACGACCACACCGACACCTGGGCGCAGATGGAGGCCCTCCTCGGCACCGGCAAGGTCAAGGCCATTGGCGTCAGCAACGTACGCTTCCCCTTTCCCCCAACCCTTATCGATCCGGTGAACGAGAGTTAGTGCATGGCTGACTTATCGTCTGTCTTACAGTACAGCGTGCGCTACCTGGAGCAGCTGCTCGCCAAGGCCAAGGTCGTCCCCGCCGTCAACCAGATCGAGAACCACCCGGCGCTGCCGCAGCAGGACGTCGTCGACTTCTGCCGGGCCAAGGGCATCCACGTCATGGCCTACAGCCCGCTCGGCAGCACGGGCGGCCCGCTGTTCAAGGCCGAGCCCGTCGTCAGGCTGGCCGAGAAGTACAAGGTCGCCCCCGCGGCGATTCTGCTCAGCTACCACAGTGAGTTCTTGTTCCCCTCCCCCCACCCCTCCCTTTGACTCCGTTGCCGCGTGGTGAAATCATGGATGTGTGTGTGATGCTGACAATGTCCCCGTGTCCGCCAGTCCCCCGCGGCAGCACCGTCCTGGCCAAGTCGGTCACCGAGGAGCGGATCAAGGAGAACCTCAAGCTAGTAGACCTGACCGCCGAGGACAGCAGGCTGCTCGACGAGTACTCGGAGAAGCTGGGCAGGGAGGGCAAGCACGAGCGGTTCGTGTACCCGCCGTTCGGCATCAACTTTGGCTTCCCGGACCAGCCACAAGGTGTCGTTGTGGAGGGCGGCAAGATTATCAGCAAGGCCTAGAATGGATGGTATAGAAATATAGGTAATGCATAGACGGGCGCTCTGGTCCAAAAATTTATTCTGATGCGAAGTTTCCACCGTTATTTCGGGTGAGGTATTGCCCAAAGCTCGAGGAAGAGCCCAGGCAGTGCTAGCAAAACAAGATAATAGACCCCGGCGAGTGGAATCTTGACACAGCCCAGAGGCTTGATCATCCGACAAAACCACATCCTAATCCCATACCCATGGCAGGTTTCCTTCGCCTTTCTAAATACACCTCTTAGTACAGGAGTATAGTTCTCTGCCAGTCCAGGACCATGGATCAAGGAGCCTGCGAGCATCGCTTCGTGCAATCTCAATATACCGCTATTATAAGTAGTTTGGGAGCTGGTATTGCTTTGAAGGCGACGTATAGTACCTGAGAGTTGAGTTTCAATGTTCGGAATGTATATACGTGTCTTGAAACTGACTTTCATCACTGTCGAGAAGGGTTGTTCAGAAAATCTAGAGTCTATCATTGTAACATCTAGTCCAGTATGCTAATGAAGTCATGATAAAATCATACACACGTGTCCATCATCCGCATAGCAATAGCTTCGCCGCATTCCCCGTATGGGCTCTGCTCTACTCGCCCCAGAACTTCCGCCAGCCGCGCACGAAAACGTTGGAGCTCTTCATCTCCTCCACGTACGCCCTGTTGGCAGTCCCGTCCTCCCAGTGGCGGCACTCAAAGTCCACGGCCTGCTTGCGGCCGTTGAGGTAGATGTCGACGTCCTGCACCTTGATGAAGCTGGTGCCCTTGTACAGCTTCCAGAAGGCGAACATGCCGCAGAACCAGGCGAGGCCGAAGTAGCTGGTGATGAAGCCCCTGTAGGAGAAGGGAGAGAACACGTCGAACCCGATGAACAGGGTGATGACGCTGCCCAGGACGGCGGAGGTGTACGGCGTCCAGGTGCCGCAGGGCGCGATGTACGGGAAGATGATGGTGTCGTCGGAGATCTGAGGGGGCTGAGCCGAGGAGCGGCGGAGGAAGGAGAACCAGCCGCCGCCGTTCATGTTGTTCTTCCCGATGCGGGGGATGCCCTTGTGCTTGAGCGCCCGGTGCCAGGCGATCGACACCCACGACATGGCGGTGAAGTTGACGATGAGGGAGACGGTAGTCAGGTCCACGAACCAGCCAAAGACGACGCTGGAGCTGTTGGAGGCGACCAGGAAGGCCAGGAGCGAGATGGCGGTGACGACCGTGACGCACACCCACGGGACGCCGGCCTTTGTGCACTTGAGCAGGATCTGGGGCGCCTTCTTGTCCCTGGCCAGGGAGTAGAGCGTCCGGCTGGAGCCGTACAGGAAGGCGTTGCCGCACGACAGGCCGGAGAGCATGATGATGAAGTTGATGAAGCCGGGGAGGAAGCCCGAGATGCCGACGTTGAGCAGGCCGATGACCCAGGGGGACGCGGCCGAGCCGGCCTTGCCGGACTCGATGGCGCCCAGCAGGCGCGGGTCGACGGAGGAGCAGATGATGCCGACGGCCAGGACGCCGGTGATGTAGATGCCCATGATGCGCGAGATGACCATCTTGGCGACCTTGGGGATCGTCTTGCGGGGGTTGATGATCTCGCCGGCCGAGAGGGTCACGATGTCGGGGCCCGAGATGGTGAAGACGGCGTACCGGACGGAGATGCAGATGCTCAGGAACACTCCCGTGGCGCCCTTGGCGTAGTACGAGTGGACAAAGTTGCCGTCGGACCAGTTCCGGAAGCCGTAGGCGTCGTGCTTGGGGTTGCCGCCGGCCATGGTGATGATGGTCGCCATGACCAGGCCGATCAGGAGGAGGATCTTTGTGGAGCCCATGATGAACTCGCTTTCGCCGTACCACCTGTTCTCGAGTGGTTAGTTTCAGATATCTCACTCCAAACCTTTTCTCTCACGGGTCTCTGGGTGCTTATTGGGTTTTAACTTACTTGACAGCAACCATGTTCAAAAAGTAGCAAATCGCAATGGACATGCCGATCCAGATGGCCGGGTTCAGGCCCGTGTCCCAGTACTGCATGACGGTCGCCACGGCCGAGTACTCGGTGCACACGAGCATGGCGCCGGCGAAGAAGTAGGTCCAGCCCATGGCGAAGCCGAGCGCCGGGTCGACAAAGTGGGCGGCGAGCTCGTAGATGGAGCCGCGGATGGGCAGCCAGGCGGCCATCTCGGCCACGTTGAGCGACGTGGGCCAGATGAAGCCGAGGCCGTAGATCATGTAGCCCAGGAGCAGCGGCAGGGGCCCCGCGGAGCGGAGGACGCCGCCGATGCCGACCCACAGGCCCACGCCGACGCCGCCCGCGATGACGATGAGCTGGACGTGGCGCGGGGAGAGGCCTCGGTGCGTCTCTTCGTACTGGCTCACGATGTTGGTCCCCTCTGCCACCTCGTCGACCGAGGGGCGCTTGAGGTCCTCCTCCTTGACGGGGTCGGAGGGAGGCATCATGATGGGCACTCTGGGGTGGGTGTGTGTGTGTGTGTGCGCGTCGCACCGACGAAGAGGACGGGGTCAACGGGCAACGGGAGCAGCGATTTTTACTCGCAAGACAAGCACGAATGCAATGAGGGAAGACAAAACCCAAAATGAACGATGATGACACTGGGCCACGAACCGGTTTCTGCCATCGAGGACAGAACCTGGGGTGTTTATATGTCGTATGACGGGGCCCATCGCCACTTAGACGGCTGTCCCACGGGGAAAGGGAGCTGGCCTGTGCACCCACTGAACAAGACAATGGTGTCGACTTGCCTGATTCGGATGATAAGGTCAGATCAACGTGTAACGGTGTTCCCGGGGAAGGGGGCTGTGGTGATTGGTTCAGCCATGGTGAAGGGGCTCTCAAGGCCGTTCGTCCCCGGCTGTCCCTATCAACTCTCCACATGGACTTTTAAGTCTCGGCAAATCAGAGAAACTCAGTCCCACATCGCCTTAGCACGGGAATTGCCTCGTGTACTAGTCTCAACCAGGCAAGACGGCCGGCTCTTTTGGGCGCTCGGTAAGTTCCTCGCTAAGGGTTTCTCTGTGTCATTCATTACATGTCCGGACCACGCGATCTGTGTTGCACTGAATCAAGCGCCTGATGCTTGGTTGGGATAACGCTCGCTGGGGCTTGGAGGGTCTGCTGGGTCCGTGTACGGAGCAGGACCCCAGATGGTAGAGATAAAGAAGACGTTCCCCATAGATCTTTGAAGATTCGCGATGTAATTCTATCTACAGCATTATCAATGGACGCAAGGCAGAGAGGGCCAGCGGGCTCGTGAAAGCCTTTCCGGAGCCGCAAAGTCAATCCCGACTTCCGGCTTCCACCTGGGTTTTCCCCTGCCTGCGCTCACAAACCAAGCAGCCCTCCGTGCTCCTAGTGCTCCCCAAAGTGAGACTAACAATAAGACAGGGCAATAATCTCTGTACGGCCAGCCCAATCGCAGTTACCTATTCAGCCCTCCCCTCCCATGCTCATCCCTTCGTCACAGGCTACCTACTTGTGCTGCCAAGACGTTCTAGAAAACCCCGATGTGGGTGGAGCCCCGGTCCTCGACGCGCGCACGCCGGGTTTAGTGGCGCGACGATGGCTGAGCACCTCGTGTCGCCGGGCATAAAAAATCATTCCATAAGTCTTGGCAGACTTCCCCAAGGCGGTATGTCGTTTCGATATTTCCAGCGCCGGAGAAAAAGTCACGAACTTGATAAGGGAAGGGGCGCCCAGTTTAAGAAATAGGAGTGCGAGCTTCGGGGAGAAATAACATGATCAGAAGCGGCTCCGGACGAATGGGCCTCCAGTGGGTTCATGCCGTCCCTCGATAAGATACCCCAGAGCGTTCCTGGGCTTTCCGGGCGCCTCGTTGGCCGAACTCGCAAATCAAGTCTTCCCACCTGACGATCCCTCAGCCTCGAGGAGTCATGTCGTCTCACGACCAATGTCTTACGACCAATGCAAACTTGGAGGAGCACCATCACTGGAGGAGCCATTCACGCAAAGCAAGTAATTAGTGCACTGCATCAAGACATGGAGATCGCCGGCTCCCGCGGACTGGGGGCTCCTATAAACACATATGCAGTCTCGAGGCACGACCGTGCATGCGTAACGCCTATCCTATAACGACAGCGGACTCAGGCGGAACGAATAACCAAATCGACGTCTTCCGCCCCGACCTGAAGATCCACATCGATGTCGCCTCTGGCCTGATCGACTTCAACTGCACGCTGCAGTCGACCAGCAACATACACGCCATACTTTCCGGGAGGCAGATTCCTGACCACCGCCCGGCACGAGACCTCGCTCTGATCCCAGGTTCTGAAAGAGGCAACCATTGTCCTGCTCTCCTCGTCCCACTCGCCCCGGAGACAATCGATGCCCAGATCAAGACCGACGTCATCGATCCACGGGCGAGACTCGACGTCCTCTTTTGTCCATGGGTGATCCCACATCTTCTTCTGTCCGTCCTTGACATTCAGTCTTGCGTAGGCGATCCCGGCATTTCCTGTGTGCGGGTCCACGTAGGTGTAGTTGCCTTGCTCGTCCCAGCCCTTGTCACATCGCTTGTAGTACAGACCTCCGTTCGACCACGACGGGCCGAGATAGGTGTCGGCGTGCCTCAGCAGCAAGTCGAGGTCGGCCGGGCCCGCAACTTCGGAAAGCCATTGCGCCACATAGCCGAACACAGGAGTCCTGTACGGGAAATGCCTGATTCTCAATTGCTCTTTGACCGACTCGGACTCGGCCGCGCGAGAGACGACCGAGGCAGAGTCCGGGTCTGCACTCTCAGTCTTAACCAGTCGCCGTATCTCATGCGCGACCGGAGCGGGATTCACGTTGATGCGATCGTCCATTCTGTGAAGGAACCCCTCGCCGATCTTGGGGTACAGGCCCTGCACAAAGTCGTAGTTCCAGGGCATGAATGCCATCACCCTGTTTATCTTCCGTCAGTGCTGGAGCAGAGGCTTATTTTAAGCAAAGGCGAAACCCACCAAGCAGAATGGCCGATCTCCTCGGACTCGACGAGTCTCTTCTGCCTCGTGGTGTAGAACCTGCGAAACAAGCCATTCTCGCCAATGAACCCCCTCTCTGCCCACGCTGCTTTGTACTTGGCCAGGACGTCGTCGACGACGTTGGTGCCGTTGCGCACATCGTTGTACCTTGTGGCGATGATCTTTTTCCAGCTCTGTCAGTTGTGGTATTCAGGCAAATCGGGGCATTTCCGAACTCACGGGAAACTGGTTGCAAATGATAAAGACCAAGTTCGGCTCGCAGCAGACACCCACCCAGCCTTCCTTTTCCATCTCGGCGAGGATGACCTTCTGCAGACCGCTCCGCGTATACGTGAAGGTTTGGGGACCCATACCCCAAAACATTGGGTCAAACTTCAACACGATGCCATCCGCTTGGTCGAACCTGTCGTCGTTGAAGAGCCAGGAGAAGAGAGAGACCATGTTCAGCAGATGGCCCGAGTACTGCCCGCATGATTGTCAACCACCAAGTCATGGAATCCAACAAGTCTGCTCTGGCCAGGGTCTCACCATGATATTCTCCTTGACGACCGGGTCTGCCCATGGTTTGCGAAGCTCTTTCAGATCGGGATCGAGTCGGATCCCCGACTGGCTCGTGAGGTACCAGTAGTCCCAGACATCGCGCCGCAGCATCTTCCGAATCAGATTCTCAAACATGGGCTTGAACACGGAGCGCATGGCGGGGAGCCGGTGGTAATGCGCGGCGCCGAGAGCGTACGCCATCGTGGCGAGCTGGTAGCGGCGAGCAGTGTCCCATTCCTGCCCGGGCTCCTCGCTTCCCATGAACGACCAGTCTCCGTCTAGTGCCGAGGCCAGGTTGTGAATGTGTCGTATATGGCCGCATTGCTCCTTGCTGAGCTTTGGCGGGTCATGCGGAAGCGTCTCGAGGACGTCCGGGAAGTTGATGTTTTCGGCCTTCATGGTGATTTTGGGATTCTTTGGCTTACTCCGATAGGAATAGGGAACAGAGGTAAGAAAGTATGATTAGCTTTGGGGGAAGAGGGATCTCAAGACCCCCGATGCTGCCCTTATCGAGATTATTTATAGATGACGTTGCGGAGCCCACAGATCGCAAAATATGGCCTCAAATGTCGATGCACGTGTGTGGGGAGGTTTGCTGGCAGGATCAGTCTTGGCCCTGTTTTGTCATGGCGTAAGCGGTGGAGCGGTCACTGCACATGTTGATGCCTGTTCGGGAAGCTCGTCTGAGCTGGGCAATCTCGGCTTGGATGCGTGACTGCTGCATTGGATCATGGCGACCTGTTTGTTGACGACACTAAGGGCACCGACGAGCTGATGCTATCAATCGCCGAGAAGACGCGAGTGCTGTCGACGCGGCATCCGCCCCCATGGCAGCTCGGGCCTCGGAACCCCGGCTTGAGGTATTCCCCGATTGCGTCCAGGCTGAGCCCGTGGATGTTTTGCTGCTTGATTATGGCGTACGCCTCTTCGCACACGATGGTCGACTCTCCGGGACGTGGCGGTGGAAGCTGAGAACACTTTCTTGCTAGAGCGGCAAAATCTTGATCTTCCTGCACAGCCGGGGTTGTTCGACAAGCAATCGGAGAAGAATCGACATCAGCATCGACGGTCAACAGAGGTTCGTCCTGGTAATTGTCTGAAAGACGGACGGGGCGGCTCTTGAGATTTGATGTGCTGCTACCAACCTCTGAAGCTTCGCCGGCGGCTTCCGCGACAAACCCGAGTTCCCTATCGGCGCGAAGTCGGCTCAGCTCCGAAGCAAGTGACGAATTCTCAGCCAAGGCTTCGTCAAGGCGTGCTCTTACGTCTGCCAATTGCGCCTCGAGGCTGGCGATGTAGTCCTTTATCCTCGCGCGGTGGCGGCGCTGATTCTCACGGACACGCGCTGCATGTTGCTCTTTTGATTTGGATGGCCACTTGTGCATCATTTCCTCCATGGCCGAAATGATTCTGAGAGACACAACGCTGGTGCGTATACTACGCAAACGCTGGCTGTGTACTCTGGTTCACGTGCAGGAATGCAGGACGTCGCTCCTTGGAAACTCGCTGGGTGTGAGAATGAAGCTGGGGAGAGAAAAGGCGAGTGCTGTGGGACTGGTGACATATCGACAAATTGCCGCTTCTTGCTTAGCGCCACGCCCCCCCCCCCCCCCGCCGCAACTTTGCCCAACTAGGAAATTCGGCACTGACACTACATGTTGCATGATTGTTGTGTGGATGGTCGATGCATCGCCTTTAAATCGAGAAGTGCTGTTTCCAAGGCCATGCATATTCGTAAATTTCAAACCTCTTCTGTCTACAACATAGCTGTTCGAGGACTCTGTAGTCTCGCAATACTCGCTCGTCCACATTGAACCTCGTCGCTTTCGCCATGAACGCAAAGGAGATCTACGATGCCGTCACGCAGCGCTATAGTTCTCTCGGAACGAATCCCCTGGGGGCCGGATACGGCAGGTCTGTCGCGCAAGCCTTTGGGTACACAAAGGAAGACCTCGACAGCATCCCCACGGAGTCGAACCTCGGCCTGAGCTGTGGTAACCCACTGGCGATTGCTAGCTTGCGAGAGGTACTTACACATACACAGCTCGCTCGTTTCTAGATTTTGGCTAATTAAGATAATTAGGGGGAGATTGTTATCGATTTGGGATCCGGAGCTGGCTTCGATGTCTTTCTCGCTGCCAGGGCGATTGGTCCGACTGGCCGTGCGGTCGGGGTAGACATGAACAAGGCACGTTGTCAGAACATTGTTGACGTGTACCAGGCGAGACTACTGACCCTATCTCAGGATATGCTTGAACTAGCAGACAAGAACAAAAACAAGTCTGGAGCCAACAACGTAGACTTTATCGAAGCCCGGATCACAGACATCCCGCTCGATGATGGCGTGGCAGACGTCATCATGTCCAACTGCGTCGTCAATCTCGTTCCCGAAGATGAGAAACAGCTCGTGTTTAACGAGATGTTCCGCCTGCTGAAACCGGGCGGCCGAGTTGCTCTGTCCGACATCTTAGCAAGAAAGCCACTGCCTGAGGGTTTACAGAAGTCTGTGGCCGCATATGTGGGCTGCATTGCTGGTGCCAGCCTTGTCGCGCAGTACGAAGAGTATCTAGGAAAGGCCGGATTCTCTGGTGAGTCATGTCCTGAAAGTAATTTTTTTTTTTGAGGCAGCAGTACTAAAGAGTAAAAACAAGATGTCCTCATCAAAGATGCCCAGAATGATCTGAACGTCTACATTGACGCCCTGCCGGATGACTCGAAAGGTGATACTGCCGAAATCCAGACGGGTGGGTGTTGTAAACCCGAGAAGAGCAGCTCTGGGTGCTGTACACCTGGGACCACAGCGGACGCCGATCTTGCAAAACTCGCTGCCGACCTGCAAGGTGTGGACCTGAATGAATGGGTTGGTAAGTGGCACTAATTACTCTGAGACCTGGCTGTTACAGGTGCCGAGCTGACTAAATTTCCATTATTTCTAGGCTCTTTTAAGATCTTTGCTGTAAAGAATTGACTATACTATGTCCGAAACCAAGTGTTGTAGTTATGAGAAGAGAGTTACAATCTGAGATTCTATGCCTCGTGCCTCGTCAAGAGTAATGTTCCACTGAAGCAGTAATTACGTGACGCTCGCCAATCTCACTGACTCCCAGTGAGCCATCCATGCACCCTCCATTCTACCCCTAAGTCGTGCCTGCCAAAAGACATCATGACGCCACCACGGCAAGTCCTCACTCCTTCCAGGCCCAGCGCTTGCCAACCCACCGAACGACATAGACCAGAGCGATGAGGACAGGAACCTCGATCAGCGGGCCCACAGTCGCCGCCAGCGCCTGGTCGCTCTCGGGCCCAAAGGTCGCCACCGCGACGGCGATCGCGAGCTCAAAGTTGTTGCTCGCGGCCGTGAAGCTCTGCGTCGCCGACAGCGCGTACCCGAACCCGAGGCGGTAGGCCGCCCACAGCGTCGCGGAGAAGACGAGCACGAAGTAGACGACGAGCGGCGCGGCGACGCGCACGACGGCGACGATCTGGTGCACGACGGCGTGGCCCTGCGAGGCGAAGAGCACGAGGATGGTGTAGAGCAGGCCCACGAGGGACCAGGGCGAGGCGAAGCGGACGAAGACGCGGTCGAACCAGGCCGGCCCCGCGGCGGCGCGCAGGGCGAAGCGCGTGAGCACGGCGGCGCCGAGCGGGATGCCGAGGAAGACGGCGACGCTGGTGGCCACGACCGAGTAGGAGACGTCGACCGAGCCGGACTCGTGGCTGATGACGCGCAGGAAGAAGATGGCCATTGGGGCGAAGAGGATCATCTGAAGGATCGAGTTGATGGCCACGAGGATGGCGCAGTACTCGCCGTCACCGCCGGCCAGGTTTGTCCAGATGAGAACCTGGTAGAATCAGCACCCATTCGGGTGGCCACTGAGAAAAGGAAGATTGGATTTTCTTTTCGTTCACCTACCATGGCAATGCATCTTCCAAGTCCGACCAGGATCAAGCCGGCACGTAGGTCAGCTTTGTCCGGAAGGAAAGCCCACGCCAGAGCGAGCTACCAAAGTTAGCATATGGCTGCCTTCACCATCGGGATACACTGGACTCACCATGAGGAACGGGGCCACAATCCAGTTAACGAAGACACTGAAGGCAATCTGCTTCCATACGCCGCGGTGTGTGAACAGCTCGTGCAACGATTCGTAGCGAACCTTGCACAGGATCGGGTACATCATGACTAGGAGACCGATTGCTATCATGCCGCAAAATTTCAACGAGAGTCAGCAAAACATTTATCCCTTATATAAAAGGCATCCATCACTTGACGGTAGAGCCAGTAGTACGGCTCAGTTGGGACGTGACATACCGATAGGAACAGAGACGCCAACGAATTTGCCCTTTTGCAGCGCGGGCCCGGTTTCGGGCACAAAGTTGCCCAGCAATACGCCCACGACCATGGCGAGCAGGATCCATACGGCCAAGAAGCGGTCTAGCCAGCCCAGAGACTTGAATGCCGAGGTGTTGATAGGCGTCTTTCCTTTTTCTCCAGCTGGATTTTGGGCTTCGACATCTGTTGTGGCAGCAGTCGCCGGTGAGAAATCATTGTTCAGCATTTTGGAACAGACACCACTGGTTGGTGGTGTCGGTGCATGTTCGAGAGATGCCATAGTTGCAGAGGTAGGATAGGAGAAAATTCGACTTCGTGGCCGGATTTGTTCTGTCGTGACAGGAAAAGACTAACAAAGGGGATGGGAAGTTAAAGTCGAAGAGAGAGTAAACAAATGATATGACTACACCGCGGACGAGAGCTATCGAGGCGTATGTCAAGTATAAGGCATCCTGTATCAACCTAGATTTGAAATATTTGGGTTGTTGCGAAAGTTGAGTAGCAAAGTCATGTCGTGGAGGGTGTATGGCGGGCTCGAGGGAAAAAGAGCACGGGAGGCCAAACTAATTGACCAATCAGATCGTGGTTGTGACAGCGTCATGCAGACCAATCACGGCTCGGGAATCACCAAAACTGCCAACTCCACAGAGGGAGGAGCCACACTTGCCAGATAATTTCCTCAGGCAGAAAGTCTTTGCTATCAGGCCAGCCTTTCCTGCCTCGCAAGTGAGGATCGTTATATTCTGTAGTCCACTCTCCAGATAACACTCGCCATGCCCGCCACAGAATTCATTCAAGGTTCGCGCTGTATCGTCTGGAGACGGGTGTCGTATCGAAACGCCCGGTGAAAGTATGGAAACAAAGCCACGCTTATCATGAGCTCACTAAAGACATTGCCAATAGCTTCGTTGTCGAACGGAGGATATTAGAGCGGCTGGGGATGCATCCCAGGATTGTTAGGTAGGGGTCAAATCCACGATATGCACTGCTTCTGATTTTCAATTATTTCCTAGGTATCTTGGCCCGGAAGACTGCAAACAAGGACTACTCCTCGCTGAAGCCAGCCATGGGAATCTCCAACAACGTCTAGACGAGCACAATGCCAGTATATCTCCATCTATTCGACGAAGGTGGTGCCGATAGATCATTGAGTCGATCGTATATATACACAGCCGTGGTGTTGTACACTCCGACTTGCGTCTAGACAACTTCCTGGTTCACGAAACCGAACCCGATGTGCTCGACTTGTGGCTCTGTGATTTCGGGGGCTCCACGTGCGAAGAGCTAGGTCTTGACGGCAAGCATCTTCCAGATCCTGGCTTCTTTGATCCTAGTCTACCTTGGGAATCGCAACCTATGACCGATATATTCAGCATCGGCTCTCTCCTCTACAGCATCCTGACTGGACACTGGCCATTCCGAGAGCCCGGACTAGGGTCGTTTAAGACGACAGAGGAGTGTGACTCTTACCGCACTGTTGCTGATCAGATGTTCAATGTTGACGGAATTCTCGGAGGAGATGTAATCTCAGGGTGTGGGATGAAGCGCTTCAAGAGTGCCGAAGAAGTTTTGCAAGCATGGGATTTAGCAGTGAAGACGATGGCTAACTAGATGTCCCTCCTTCGACAATGACGAGGCGTAGGGTGTGGGGGTCTTGCAAGTTGCCACACAGCTCTCAGGAGTGACCCAGTGGGAACGAAGGCGCCACGAGTGCAACGGGTCGAATGGTATGCGCTCACTTCAATTGCATGCTCGTCCACATCCATGGGTCTTGGATGAGTTGGTTTTGTTTTCCTGTAGGATTTGATTGGCTCGACCAACCCTCTGAGCTCTGAGATATTTTGAGCGTTGAAAGCCAGCTCTGGTTATCTTCGCAACCAGACTTTGCGTATCAGGGAGAAGACCCATTCTTCATTACCTATATGTACACGTAGCCCGGAAGCTTGTCAAAGTCTTCTCTTCTTTTCAGTCATCTCCAACTCTACGCTACAATCCGAGACGTCGCTACTGCCTGACGGTCACTATCCTCAAGAACACATCCGTCAATCTACCGACAGGGATTGGCTCTAGAGCGGCCAGACTCGAACCGCATGGGACTTCTACTGAAGCTGATCTCGAAGATATTTTGCTGGTTATTCGCCAGACTCCTTCTGTCACCGACATTGCCGCCACGTCCACGTGTGTGTGAAGACGAAATGCACGTCCTCGCCTTACCAGTCGACATCGTCAAATGCATCGCCGACCACCTGCCACCAGAATCGCACGCTACCTTGGGGCTGACGTGCACGGCATTGGCGAATACCATCCCTTTGGACAAGGCCTGTCGACGCCTGCGTGGTGATGGGGTCGCTCGCGGGGCATTTCTTGAACTCCTCGAACGCGATGTGGCAGATCGATTCTACTATTGCCCTGAATGCGTCCGGCTGCATTGGTTCTCCGGGAGCTGGGATCTCTCAGCCGCCATCATGGCCCACAGCGATGACACACCGAAGAATAGAAGTAACTGCATATACGCGTCGAGTCACCTCAGCTCTATGTTCTTTATTCCCTGGCTATACGTCCGTCTGGCCACGAACCGCCACTTGTATGGAGGTTCCAGCGGCCTGCCGTTGAGCGCCCTCAACATCCCTAAACGTGTCGAGCAACGGGGGTTCGAAATTGAGGGGTGGGCGGCGGAGTGGACAGCTCGGATCATCGACCAAGAGCTTTTCCTCTGCGGAACACACACCTTCACGGACGGTCCAGATTCGGATGGGAAGATGATGAAGGACGCGGTAGCGCAGTTCCCGCATGAGCTCTGCTGCCACCTTGTGACGCGACCCCAGGCTCCTCTGCACCCGCTGCCGCTGCAGTCCATATACAGGGGGCTTCCTTACATAAAGCCGGCGATTGAACATCAGGTCCCTCACCGAAAAGCAGTAGGGTCGTGCCGCGTGTGCCTGACAGATTTCGGTATCGAAGTCCGCTGGACCAAGCACCCTCGCTACCGCTTCGCCCGTCCCTGCAAAATCCCCGTGAAGCATCGCATGTTGGATATCGTGATACACACCTACCATCAGCTCGGCCGTGGGCGATCTCCATACGATACGGACTGGCTCTCTTTCACGGGGACTGGCCTCGTGCCGCGGCGAGACTTGGAGAGGCACGGCGTGGGAGCTGTGAGGGATAGATGGATAAGTGCCACGCCGCGGGTTGAATGATGAGTCGCTTTGAAACACAATTGGGCATTGGATTCGAGACTGGTCACGCGCGCATTGCTTTTTTCTATGGATCAGGTGGGCTGCCGGCCACTTCATGGCTTTTGCAGTGGGAGCATCCTCGGATCACCGAGCTCTATCCACTAGGGTGAGCCAGACGATACTAAGCACAAGGAACTCACCCCAGGGATTTACGTACTGGTGAGCCAGGTGAGTGTTGGGTGATTCGTAGCTTAGAGTTGGGGCAGTCGACGCAGATGATATCCGCAATAGACGCAAGAGAAAGTGGTTGACTAGGGAAGAATGACGATCAATTGTATTTTATCTGGGATGGCTGCGCTACCGGCCCTCATGCCATCTATAGAGCCTATTTATCTTCCCCGAAATCAAAACTGTATCATGAGGGCTAACACGCTTACGCGGTATTCCCGCTCTCTCAGCAAGGAGAGAAGGTGCCCGTTCATGATAAGGTAGGAAGGCCAGCCGGCCTCCAGACGCCAAACAAGCTAGGCACCAGTCTCGGGATCCTAATCCTCATCCTGGGCGTCGAGCTTCTCCTGGCGCTGGCGAGCCATCTCTTCGGGGTCGAGCCGGGTGAGCCACCCCGGCATTCCGGTCGTGTCAAATTCGATATCCTCCTCCGGCGCCGGAACGATGTTCTTGCCCTCGTGCGCTGCGGCTGCAGAGGCGGCAATCTCGGCGAGCTCGGTGTATGAGAACGATATGATGGCGTTAGGGACGCCGTCACGGATGTGCCGGGGCACAAAGTCGTGGAGACCGAGGGTGAGGGTCTTGTCGCCGTTGATAACGGCGCCGGCAGAAGATCGGAATTCCTATACACACGGCTATGATTAGCTAATTGGCTCTTTCTCTCTCTCAAATGAGGAATCTCTAATGCCATCCTGCGGTCCCGTACCTCCTGGCAGATTTTAGGGCAGACGCCCAAGGTGACACGACCATCAGGACCCGAGTTGGAAAACTTGGCCTGCCAGAGGGAAATGGTGGCCTTGGCAAAATTGCCCTTGTTAAACTCCGGGTAGTCGATATTAAGCACGGTGGCGATGTCGCCACGCGAGCCGAGGATCAGGTTCCAGGCAATTATCTCGACAGCCTTCCACTCCTGACTGCACGAAATCTCAAAGACAGCACCCGGGTGTTTCGCGTAGGAGTGTGCAAAAGTCGCATCTGGAAAGCGAGAGTAGTTCTCAAGCTCAGCGGTAGGCCGGATATTGGGCTCTATGCCGCCTGCGATATCACCAACGTGGCCACCACGTTCCTTGATGAGCTCGAGCTTCTTCATGGTCTGGATGACCAGTTTGATGGTGGTGGCCTCATGGAGGCTGCTAGGATTCATTGTGAAGATCAGGAGGTGTGCCTTTGAATCATAAGCCCACCTATGTCGCATTTGATTGTCAGCTACAACGGGGCGGAACGAGAAGAATTTGAAACTGGGGGAGTTTCTTCGAAGGTGATGATAACTAGGAATCAAAGGTGACACTACTAGGGGAAATGATTTGAACATGACTTACTTGATCTTGCCGAAAAGCATGAACAGCTCGCTGCTGTCATCGATCTGCTGCTTCAGCTGCGCAAAGTGCTCCGGAGCAAGGAAGGTTTGGCTTGAGATCTCTTTGACCTTGGACTCGGGTGAGGTTGAGGTGCTGGTGGTCTTGGCTTGAAGTTTGAGGAGCCAGATGATGACCTTTTCAACCTCGAGGTTCGCCATGGCTGCCGTGGAATTGAGGACAGGCCTTGTGAATAAATGGAGGTGGGATCGCGAGATTCAGTGCGCTCTCTGGTTGCTGGGCGCGAGGCCGATCGTGGGTTCCGCCTTGGGCTGTCGGTGGGTTGTGAGAGGCAGTCTTTAGGAAGCGAGGGAAGGGATGTAGGAAAGGGCTAAATGCGAAGCTTCAATTTAATATTCATTCAGGGGACGTGCGCAAATAGAGTTGTCACTGAACTTTGGTATGTCTGCACAAAGGCAAAGTATCTCTGCGCTCACTTTTGCGCTAGATCTTAGTTATCTGCGTAGGTTGAAGGCCTCTATCCTTGGGTGGTTCTGGTCTGCTACACTAGATGTCACACCGACCTTAGACATTAACAGCCACTACTCTATGTTGTTGGGAGCGTTGAGCCCGCAGCGGACAAGCAGAAACGCCAGCCTTTATATCAAGAGGTTTCCCACAGACTTTGACTATTCAGTCTTCTCATTCGAGAGCCTAAGAGAATTAGCCTGAAGCTGAGATATGCTGAGACGAAGTAAGTGTCCACTCACTCGATCAGATTTCCGTCAGGATCACGAATGTAGATGCTCGCCAAAGCGGACTTGGCTCCCGTGCGTTTGACCACGCCACCCCCTTCCAGCACTTGGATCCCGTCCTCGCGCAACCGCTGCAAGACCTGGCCGACGTCGTCCTCGACCAAGAAGCACAGATCGGCGGAGCCCGGTTGGACGGTCGCTGCTTTCGGCTCAAACTCCTTGCCGCTGACGTGCAGGTTGATCTTCTGCTGGCCGAAGCGCAGTGCGTGCCGCTCCACCCCGCCGTGACGGAAGCTTACGTGCTTCATCCCTAGCACTGAGGTGTAGAAGCCGATAGAGGTCCCGAGGTTCTTGACCGTGAGGACAAGGTGGTCAAGCGATTTCACAGTGGCCACGGGCGGCATGGCGATGGTCTCTAGTCACCGGCGGGCGTGATTTGATCACTGGGAAACGCCCTCAGGCCCTGAGCAATTTACTATACCGAGACCGACTGACCTTAACAGTCCGCGAGATGATCTGTGAGGGCAAGCAGAGCTTCTTGGAAGCTGTTCGTGAGAACCGTGCCCCGAAGTGCGGGGGAGATAGACGAAAGTTTGAAGCTGGTGCTTATAAAGCTCGCAAGGTCCACGTCAACAGTCGCGCGCTAAAACTCGGCGGCGCGAGACGAGCAACTGGCCTTCCGTAATCGGCTCTCGAGTTTCACATTACAAGATGATTGAGCAAAGGATAGTCAAAGTCAGATAAGAACTCTACATGAGGCCCGTCACTTATGGCCGACAATATGATCCCCGAGACCAGCTTAGTATTACGAGTATGTAACGCAACTGGCAACATGGAGCCTGCAAATGCCGTTGCGAGAGCTTCATTATCAACTAATCAGGTTGCAGTTGTAAATTAGAATTATAACCTCTGATCTCTCAAGGTGCTGCTCACTCACAGCCACAGAGGGGCTGAGACAGGCATTGGTCTTTATTCTCCCGGCTCCAAGTTGAACCCTACTCCAAGTCCCGCTACTCCAAGTTCCACCCTACTCCAAATAGCTCCGTCGAATACGCCGCTCCTTCTCAGACTGAAGGCTTGGGGACGACCCAGAAACCAACACCGTCGTCCGTGCCTTGCTTGAACTCGAGGTCCAAGCCGCGATCATTCTGGATAAGGAAGTCGATAGTCTCGCCAGCCTTGCCGCAGTCGAACGAGCCGACCTCGGTCACAGCTCCCGGATAGACCTGGGTGATCCAGTTCGTCTGGAGCCTCTCGTCGTCGGAGAAGTTGATGACCCCGCCGACGTCGCCGCCGGGCATGGTGTGGAAGCCCCGGCTGTTCTGGGCTTCGCTCAGCAGGCCGGACCACCTGTAACACGGGTACCCCTCGGGCAGGGTGACGCAGGAGGGCATGCGGAACTGCAGCGCGCAGCGCGCGGTCCCGGCGAAGGCGTCGGTGAAGAGGAAGCGGAACAGCGAGCTCTTTTTTGATGACGGCCTGGCGGTCCGACTGGGAGACGAACTCGTTGCCGAGGCGCGCGCCTTGCCAGACGACCTGCGGGGCGAGCGACGGCGTCATGGCGACGGCGCGCTTGGTCAGGAAAGCAGAGCCGTCCGTTGCTTCGGGGCTGCGGATGGCGGCGGCGGCGGAGAGGGCCAGACCGGCGAGGAAAGTAAAGAGCGACTGCGACTTCATTTTTTCGCGAGTTGGGCCTGAGGCTACTGAATGGGGATATGATGTGCAAAAGAAGGTGAACACTGAGGGTCGAGACTTGAATCATGATCTGGAGGCGCCATTATATTGTCCAGAGCTGATGTATACAATCTCGCTCCTTTATGCTTGGCAACACCCTGAGGCTGGGTATGCCTGGTGGCTGTGTGGATCACTTCCTTAATTCGGTAGTTGCTCTGGCTTTTGGAGGATTCGACAGGCGTCTGCTGTTAACAAGATTGCATTTAAATTTGGTCGTCACGGGCCCGTTCCCTCATGTTGGCTCAGATAATATGTAAGCGCTACTACAGCCCACACTCAGGAGCCTCAGGATCAGTTGACTCGGGCCGCTTTCCAGGAGCCTCATTTGGCAGCCTCATTATAGGCGATTCTAGGCAATGATTGCTGGTACATACCGGCGAAACCTCGCGAATGATCCAATTTCACATTGTTAGATTTGGGCGTGAAGGATATCAACCCTGGAGGTAGACCCCAGCACGCAACTTGCGCAGAGAGCCGAGACAGGGGAATACATGTACGCAACCACTGACGGCAAGCTAATGTTTGTCAAAAGGTCTTGAATTCACGTTGTAGCTTCTGTTTTCTTTTAGCAAGAGATCGATCGTCTGGAGAACAGCGATCAGTGAACCTGGAATGGCATTGCTTTTGTACTCGGATGCACCCTGGACGAACAGTCTTTCGCTTGAGATGTTGTGGGCTGGACACTGCCTCTCGATACTTCGAGCCCTGGACTCTACCATCATAGCATCACGGTTCACTGCAAGCCATGATGACTCCACCCTCTATCCAATAATTATTGGGCAAATTAGACTTTGGAAAATCTCATGTGCATCTGCGGGTGATCCTCACTCTGATATCCTTCACCGGCTTCTTCACACCGGTGCCCGGTATCATGTCCGGCAGCCGCCATGTCCCACCCACTTGCTCGATATCCCAGAGACTGATGATGGCAGCGCCCACAGCCAGGATCTCCCTCTCTGCAAAAGTCCGCCCCTTGCACATGGCAGCGCCTGCGCCCCACGGCCGCAGTCTCCCGTAGCGAGCGACCGGCCGGCCCTCCGAGTCGGTCTCGAGAAATCGCTCCGGGATGAACTTCTCTGGCTCGGCAAACACGGAGGCGTCGTGGCTGGTTACCGAGTGCGGGACGGAGATCCAGGTCCCCTGCTTGAGGCTGTGCGTGAGGCTGCCATCTTTGATAGTGATCGGCCGCTCGAGGTACCGGATCGAGGCTGCCTCGTCGGTCAGGCGGTACGTCTCGAAGACGGTAGACTTGAGCAGCGGACAGGTCTTGGCTAGAGCGTGAATATCCAGGGATGAGATACACCGAGGGTTTGTATCGGATAGCTTCACGAACGGTGCTATTTCTTTGCGGATCCGACTGATGAGACCAGGGGTCGAGTAGGCATAGGTCAAAAACCAGAATAGCAGGGGCTGCGTGTTGGCATTTTGGCCCCAGAGGATCGGCATGTCTGCAACTGCTCGCTCGGCAAGCGACCACCCGTCCCGTGCGAAGATCTTGTTTTTCTCAAAGAGCACAAAGCTAACGTCGGATACATCGTATTCCGGGTCAGCTGGCTCGCCCTGCTGCACCTTGTCGACTTGTCGATACACCGTCTCCAGCGCAGCCATCAGTCGGGATCGTGATGCCCGTCCTTCCCGGATGATATTGAGAGGTGCCCATGACGGCATGCCAATCATGAGCAAGGGGAACAAGTCGTTGTCGAACTTCCAAAAGTCGTTCAGCAGCTCGGGATTGCGCTCAAGAAAGTCCTTGCCGTACAGCTGTGGCACCGCCATACAGAAGCCAAAGTCCCTGACCAGGCTCTGAAGGTCTGCTTCGACCATTCCAGAGCTTCCGGGCGAGTCCGGCTTGACCACCTGAACGTTGGAGGACAGCTCCCAGCGCTTCATTCTCCCAGGGTCGGTACAGAAGGTGACGAACGACGCCGCGTGCTCGCCTATGCCTGCTCTTTCCACCGCTGCAGTGGCAGCAGCCTCGTTCAGGAACAGTCTCTCGATCGGAGGACCAAGCTCCTTGATTGACTTGACCATCTTTTCTTTCAATTCTGGCGTGTCAACGCCGCCAAACACGCGTGTCAGGAGGCTGTACTGAACTGGCTCGAGGTTGAGGGTATGCGCGGGCTGGGCCATGAGCCGATCTAGGCCTGGAAGGTCGACGAGGATCTGATGCTCTGACATGATCCCAAACAAAGAACCTCCATAGCGTCGTATTACAGAGCTGGGTTGATCCTATCAGCATCACACCCTTGACTTTTTGAGCGGTGCCTTCATGATGTGATATCAACCTACAAGAGACGTCGACTAGGACCATTCCCACGTAGAATGTAGGAGGCGAGGCCTAGTTCGATGGTGGCCCAGACTGGGAAGTTTTTGTATGGCTTAGAGTTGACGGATACCTTACGTAGGATGATAACGAGGACACAGGTAAGTACGAGTTTGTAGGCGAACTGGAGTTCAGAGAAGGCCGCCAAGGGCTCTACAAGGAGACCCATCTCTCGCGTTATTATTGAAGAACTGTGACAACAAACCAAACATCCTATGGTCATAGGTGGATTTGGATGACACCAAGTGAGGTCGTGAAAAGAGCGTTTGTCGCTTGCTTATGAGCAAACTTTCCTTGTCACTGTTCTGCGAAGCAGGGGCTTCCCGTATTGCAAGTGGGTCATCAGGATTCAGGTAGGATTTTGTTTATTGGCCACTGGTATCGCATTACGACATAACGCCATATTTAGTGCTGACGCTGTTGACAAATAGGAGATTGACTGCTCGTTCTCGTTTGGGCGTCTCTCGAAATGAGAAAAGAACGGGCCCAACCCTGTCGTTCCGAAAGGAAGGCTGGCAATCCTGGCTCCTTCTGAACTCCACTCGTGAATGTGCCAGCGTCCGTCTCTCCTTGGCCTCTCACGAGTTTTCTCTGCAAAGTCCAGGCGGAGTCAAAGAGCGTTTGTCTCATCGTGTGGAACGATCAGACCTCACCTCTTACTGCATGACTTGCTACCCTTGTGTACATGTATCGCAAATGAATCATCCGAGCTAGCTACCATGAAACTATTGCCATATGAACAAAGGATATAACACGACTCACCCACCCGGTTCGATCATCATCATGGCTATGGTCACTACCCTTCGCCAAAGGTATAAATATCCCTCCAGATCATGGACACCCAGCCAAGTTTCAAAATCATTTTACCACTTCATTATTTTTATCACCGTCATAATTTGTAATTGCTTCGTGTAAATCAACACCCACGATGGCTTCTTGTAACGAGGAAAACGCGCTCACGGTGGAAGGACGGGCAGCGCTCCCGGCAACTGAGGTATGGTTCTGGAAGGAGATGGAGCAGAAGTACCTCAAGCAACCCGAGGTACTCTTGCAGCGATGGAAATATGTCACCGCGGTAGGCTATGCGGCGACCTCTACCACACGCCGCAAGGTAGAGTTCTTTACGGAGTCTCTCGTTCCCGCCGACAAGACTTCTGCGGTTGTGAAAACGCTCGAAAAGCAGCTGCCTAAGAAGGATCGTGGCACGGTAGATGTCAAGTTCACTGTTTGGTAGCTGGGAAGCTGAGTGCACTGCTATGGGTTCCATGTGCTAAGAAAACGATCTAGGTCTATTTGATGCGCTGAGTTTCATGTCGATAATAACAGTGATTAATTTAATTTACCACACCACTCAACTTTGATGCAAGCAGAATATCGCTACCTGAGGTGTCAGTGAGTCGATGCGTGCGAGGAACTAGTGTGGACTCGCATATGGACGATGGTAACGTCACAACCCTACAACAGTCACAGACAAGGCCGCGAAGAGGAGCTGATGTACTTGCATAGGTCACAAAGATATGTTCTCGGGTATAAATTTCGTCGATCCAGGGCCATCTCTTGCTCGAAGCTTTCCTCTATCATCAAAAAATTTCACCAAAGTTCTGAGTCAAACTTCCGAATTCAAAATCTTCGAACATCCATCCCATTGAAGCTCAGATTTTCCTACTATGGGCAACAAGTCCAAGGACCGTGGCCGACTTCACTCCAGGGGAAAAGTGTACCTGGTATTTGACGTTTTTGGTAAGTCGGAAAAGAAGAAGGGCTCTGGTGCGGCCAAGAAAAATCCTGAGTCTGTTCCCGTCGACAAAAAGGCAAGGCCCGATGCTGCCAAAGAGCCCGCCCCGGTTCTTAAGCCACAACCGGTCAAGGTCCCGGCGCCTCAGCATAGTGGCGACTCCAACGAGCACCAGTGCCGCCTATGCTTCTCCTGTGGCTACTGCTGCCGCGGGACTTTAGAGCTAGGACACACCGGGTGCACGCTCTTCATACCGCCTGCTTTGAGCGTCGCTGAGCATCCGCCGAGGGAATTGCCTCTACACCTTCGACTACCTCCACGAGTGCGGCCTTTTTCTCCTGCTCTGTCTAATCCGCCGTCGTCTCCTCAAGAATCCCCCGAGATAGTGGTCGACTACATTGACTTTTCCCGCCCTTCATATGACAACATTTTCCGCGAGGGCGTTCGTTATGAGCCAGAACATGTGCTGGAGCCACATCCAGCTTATGTTTCGCGGTATCATTACTAGAGATTCTCTGTATACCACATCGGTGATCATTTGGTAGGGGAATTTTGTCAGGATAGTGGTAAAGGTGTCATAGATGGATGCTTGTGGTGACCATGTTGTTGTTAGGGAGCGGTCTTGTCACGTAATACCCCGGTCTGAGTTGGATACTCGGAGGTAAACTAAGCTATGATAATTTGTGTTGGACATCCGCTTGAAGAAATGTGATGCCACTGGAACCATCCTTTACCACAGTGTCTCACCATTTCACAATTTGGGGGAGAACAGAACGGTTACATGTCGCTACGAGAGAAGCTTGTCCAAGTCCTTTATTCTTGCCACCATACTGGAGATACATTTTGCGTCTCCAAGCTGCGTCTCTTCTTCAGCAAGCTCCAACCCATCGCTACGTCGAGGTCTCAAGGAACACCTCAAGATTTTGCTTCATCCCGGTAATGTCAACGAGGCTGGGATGTCGAGAAATGAGATTCTATTATATCTAATGGACCATTCCTTTAGCGTGAGATGCTATTTGCATGTGGGGATAGTTCTTTGGTGGGATACTTGCCGATGTTCCGCCCAAGGCCTCAGACAGAAATCTTCCAAGCTCGGACCAAGCCCCCGGTTTCCGGTTCGGTTTCGCGAATGACCGACCATACACTGTAGCCACAGATTAGGCTAGAACACAAAGGTAAAGTACGATTCAATAATATTCATCCTTTGCGACTCGGTTTTAAAATCCTTTGCTCAGATCCTACGGAATAGCCATGTCGGAGGCAGAGCCGAACCCTTCAGCCAAACCCGATCCGGAAGCAATACTCCGCGCCACCTCCTACTTCAGGCGGGACTTCCAGAGCATAGCTGTCAAATCCAACAGCGGCCAACACGATGCCATCCGGAGATTAGTATTCCCGCCCCTGAGCAACCATAACGGCTCCGGTTTGGGCCATCTCGACCGCCTACCGCCTGAGCTGATGCGGGCAGTATGCCTATGCTTCGATGTCCAAGCCGCCCTCAACTTCAGCCAGGCCAGCTGAAGCGCCCACCAGCACATCGCAAGCATTCCTGAATACAAAAGACGGCCTAAGCACGCCTTGGGCTCCTTGTGGGCATTCTATCGCACAGGCCTCGCTCCACACACTACTATCCTTGCTCTCCATGAAGCACTCACAACAGAACACTGCGTGGTCTGTCATGGCTTCGGAGGTTTCATATTCCTCCTGACAGCTGCCAGGTGCTGCCTCCAGTGCGTCGAGACAGCCGCCATCTTCCAAGTCGCACCTCTATCAATCCTCAGCCAGTCTTCCGGCGTCCCGCTTCAACAGTTGAGAGACTCCGGGCCTGTCTTGTCCGGCATCTATGGGACGTATGCGGCTTTCTTTAGGAAACCCTGAAAGAAGTCCAAGTACTTTGTGACTGCCAGGCGAGCCCTAGAAGTACTCCAAGAGCATGGAGACACAACGCCAAGGACAACCTTGAGCCAGTTCCCCGACTGCACGATCTGGAGAAGCATGGCTTGCACAATGTTGCCATATTCTGACCCCTCTACAGGCGTGTGTGACTATGGACAGTCCTGCAGAGGCTGCGTCGTGGCATACAGGAACAGTGGTAGGGATGGTAATATGGAGAGGCGGGAGCGCGTGAATTCCCGTGAAAAGTTTCTGGTGCATTTCGAGGGATGCGAAGAGGCGAAAAGGATATGGGCTTCGCGACAGGCGGGTACGTTCGAGGACAGAAACCTAGCATGGATTGTATTTAATGGGTTGCCAGTAGCTTACGGGGGTGTGATTGACGCACAGCTGAGGGGCTCAAGAAGCAGCTCAAGATGCGATTCGTGACTCCAGCCTTTAGTCCCTGGTTCCCAACGACAAATCGAGGTGATGAAGAATGTGCTTCGGGGATATTGAAATCTGCAGATCTATTCTACACTACTTCTCTAAAGCTGATGTTCTTTGATCTGAGGTGGCTGGCTGTTCTCCCTCCGTTGCATTACTACTCTGCGGCACACTGGTCTCAGTATCCGTCTCTGGCTTCTTTTTGATGTTGATGTTCGATATGAACAGCGCAAACAACAACGACAGGACATTTGCCGGAACACCAATGATGTAGACAATATCGAGAGATTTCCTGGGAGTGGAGATTAGCTTCGTGAAAAGGAAACAAAGGGGGAGGGGAAGAAGGAGAGGGAGAGGAATGGACTTACACGTATGCTCGTACGACTTTGGGAATTAGTGCCTCCGGCACAGCACCATTATAGATCGATGGAGGAGATTCCTTCAACACCTCGAATGGTGCCCCGGGCGCATATTTGTGTAGGTTTCGCGCCAGCTCGGAAGAGAATGTCGTTTGCGCGATGGCCAGACCAATTGTGCCGCCGAGGAACTGACAAAAGTTCACCATGCCAGTCGCTTGGCTGATCAGCTTAGGGGTATCGTCAAACTCGGCTTGCATCGCAAACAGGATGTTTTGAAGAGTTGTGCCGATGCAGACCCCGACGAGAATCTGGTAGCCGATGACATTTGCGTTCGAGATCGACTCGCTGACCGTGAACATGAGCCCGGCGCCAACAGCCCCGACGACTGGTCCGCCAACCAGGTAGGGCCAGTACCGGCCGAAGCGACCAACGAGCTGCCCAGACACCACGATCGAGACAACAACGGAAAGCATCAGTGGGAGCAGATCCACGCCACTCATGGTTGCGGAGCGATGTCGACCGGCTTGGTAGTAGATAGGAATGTAGTATGTGAAGATCAGATAGATGAAGCGGTTGAAGATGGCAAAGCAGCAGATCGAGTAGACAGACACCCGGCCACGCCTGAAGATAACCAACGGAACCGTGGCTTGGTCTCCCATATGGTGCTCCCAGAAGACAAAGGCGATGGTGAGCACGGGTGCTAGAACGAGGCAGACAATAACATCTGCGCTGTTCCATGGCTTCTCGTTCCCTCCCCATTGAAGACCGAGAACAAGACTGGTGATGGCAGCGAGACTGAGGGCAGCACCGGCCCAGTCCAATGTTGCTGTGCGCCAGAGCATGGTCTTTGTAGAGCGATCATAGGTTTCGGATCCGAGAGGAGGCGGAGCATCGAGGAGAAACATGATCGCCACGAGAGAGACGCCACCAACAGGTAGGTTGATATAGAAGCACCAACGCCAGGTGACATGGTCTGTGAGGGCACCACCCATCAGGGGGCCAATGATCGAGGCAAGAGCAAATACTGACTCGAAGAGGCTGAACAGCGTAGGCCGGTCCTCTAGCCGAGTAGCCTGCGCCATGACCTGGAGGATGCCGACGAGAATGCCAGCAGCGCCAACGCCAGAGAGTGCTCGACCGCCGATGAGCATGTTTACATCTTGGGCGGCTCCACAGATGGCAGAGCCAACCTCGAAGATGACGATACAGGCCAGGAGCACATATTTGGCGGGGAAGACGCGAAGGACTTGGGAAAAGAAGAGGATGAACGCGGTCTGTGTGAGCACGAAAGAGGCGGCAATCCAGCCCTGCTGAGAGAAAGCGTTGAAGTCAGAAGCAATACGCGGTAGGGCCGTCGACAAGATGGTTTGGTCGAGCGCGATGAGTAGTAGAGCTAGCAGCATGGAAGTAAACGCCACAGCTAACTTCCTGCCTGTCAGGAGATGACTGTCCGCCACATTGTGTGCTGTTGTCGTTGCAGCTGCATCATTAGCTGTATCGGCTGCAGGGCCATGAGAATGCGTAATTTTGGCCGTCATTGTCTGGTGGCTGGATTTCGAATCAAATCGGCGTGCTGAAGACAGCCAGACCAGTCGCGAGGTTCTAGGCAGGAGAGCAAGGCCTCTGTAAGTGAAGCAGGGACAAGAAAAGCCAGGGGGCAAACAACACCCACATCCGATTCCGGACGCGGTGAGATGGCTGCGCGATGTCGATCCCAGACGGGACAACCCCCAGTCAGCTGACAACTGAGTCAAATCTCACCGTTACACGGCCTGTGAGCCGGCCTGGTACATGACATACCAGATTGGGAAATAACGCGTTCATACTACGTAATTCTTCCTCTTTCAATCTGCGGTGACCCCCGTGAAGGCCAAGTGGCGCAGGCTAGTGGCATCACGGAGGTTGCAAGTTTGCTTCCCATGCATGTGCTCCGCAAGCTGCTGTAGCTTGTTATGCACGTCGAATAAAGACGAATCGGATCTCTCAATTCCAACTCTCTTATCACACAGTGTTCACAAATCAAGAAGGAGGCCGGCACTCGAGCGCCTATGACGCAGATAAAAAGCGTCGCCTTGTGTAAATTCCCAATGTAAATACAATCACTACACTAGCAAACACCCGCTGTCTCTTTACCGGACTATGATGCGCTTGAGTCCTTTACGAAACAATATCGGTCTCCGTTTGATGCATAGTAAGCAGGCGAGCAGTATCCTACGCCGGGCCCCGTCCTGACGCTGACCGCGAGTGTGCAGCCCAGCGCCGCAGGCCACCGCTGGCCTTTGCCTTCGACATTGTGCGCTCGTGTTTGACTCTGCTGCAGCTCCTGTGCACCGCTGACCATACACAGGATGGCGTGCTGGTTCACGGACCCTCCGTGCTTCCAGAGGCGAAACGTGCGCTTGCAATACTGAATGGCGAGAACAAACAAAGAATGTAAGTTGAGTACCAAACGGCTAGTCCCTTCCATAGACCACTGAAAAATTCGATAGCAAAATCCCATATGTTTTGGTATGTGCATGATGGGATCCGTCATTCTCGCTCCATGTAGACTAAAACGTGACGATATGAGATGACCAACGGAGGAGGCTCTACGGAAGCAGATCGGGCTGCAAGGTTGAGCCAAGACCTTGGTCTTCCAGTGAGCCTCGAATTCCGTTTGTGATTGATATCCCCTCTAACATCTACCAGGTTCAGTCAAGCCAGGTGATCCTTTCGCACACTGTAGTACGCTCCTTCGCCCACAAGTATGCCGATGACCCTGTTCTTGTTCTGGGTGGCATCAACGACGCAATACGCAAGGTAGCGGAAGAGTGCGTCTTTCTCACTCCGTAATATCAAAAGCTGTTGCTAAATAGGTCCTAGTTACGGCTTCAAGAAGGCCTACAGTGCACTCGATGTTCTTGCGTCTAACCCGAGGTAGTGTATACTCGACCCCCGAGTTTGGCTACTGCTAATTAGGAACCCAGCGTGTTCCCGCACTACCATATGACATCTGAAGAGATGCGCGCTGCCAAGGTATGCCCATCGTGCTTGACTCTCAAGAACCATCTGACTTTCCTCCCCTCAGCGGTTTGACCTCGCCAAAACAGCGTTTCGAGCTGTATTTCTCTTCTGCGACTCGCGTAACTGGGGTCTCGATACGCAGGTCATGGTCGATGTGCTCCGGTCGAGAGGTGGAGTCATCGGCAACCCATACCGTGCCAAGGGCGACCTTCCGAACGTCGAACTCGTGTTTTGCAACCCGGATCTGCTCTGGCGGAACGACTTTACGAACCACCGCTTCTCGATGGGGCTCTTCAAAGAGTCGTTTCAAGCAGTCTACAAAGTGCGTAGCAATTTACCAGCAACTTTGTCACACACCACTAACCATGCTTAGCTCCTGACTGGGGAGACATATCCGTACAAGCAATACGGCAAGCCGGCACCGCAGACATATTCCTTTGCGAAAGACGTATTGTCTACCCAGGCTGATGAATTAGGAGGACTCGAGGAGCCCTCAAGCTCCGAAATAAACATGTGAGTAGTCAGATCCCTCCTTCCGCCTATGAATTGGACTGATCAATACTGATACCGTTGCTTAGCTACATGGTTGGAGGCGAGTTAGCTTCAGATTAACATCTTTGTGGTATGAGATACTAACCATTACGGCTCTGAGCCAGATAACCCAGAGTCAGGTAAGAAACATTCCAGTCCTCCTTCAGTGAGTCTGGTGTACTGACAAAAGAGGAACAGATATTGCCGGTTAGTGTGAAAGAAAACCCTTGTGTCATCATTGTCTAACATGCTGACAGGTGCCAATGCTGCAAATTGGCCATCCATCTTGGTCCACACCGGCGTTTACGATCCTACACTTGGCCTCCCACCGTCAAGTAAGCCAACGATCGAGTTACAGAATGTGGAAGAGGCTGTGAAGTGGGCGATGGAGCGCGAGGGGCTCAAGATCTAAGAGATAGTGAGATTGAATAGGTATATATGGACTTTGAGTTAGACATATTGCATTCAATGTTGCCTCATAATCCATCGTGACTTGAACAAGAATGTGGAGATGAACCACATGCATTTTTTAGGGCACTTTTCTCACTGACATGGGTCGATTTGGCATTTATTTCTTGTAGAGATAGGCAACCCGCGTATCAATTTGCATTGTCGTTCAAGATGTGTAAATGCTGCTTCCTGGAATACTGCTACTGCGATGCATCAGGCTTCGTCTCTACCTTGACATCAACCTCCACCTTCTTGACCTCCTTGGGCACCGACAGCATGTGGCCCATCCTTTCCACCTTGGCCTTGATATACTTGTCGAGATCCGCCCCACGAACCGCGTCTGTGCCAATCATGGTTGCGCCGGCCTCACGGGCGGTCTGGCGTGAGTTGTGCGCACAGTGATCGTGATCATGGTCGCACTGCCAGCTCCGGGGTACCATCTCCACACGGTCGAGCACATTGATGCCGGCGGCGGTCATAGCCTGCATCTTGTTTGGATTGTTGGTCAGAAGGCGGATGCCCATCGCTGTATTAATTGAATGATTAGCATTCTTTTCGTCGTCGTGTTGCTGTGGGGGGAACTCACCTTTGTCGGTACTGACAGTGCTCCCAGTGGGCTCTGTCATGCCCAGATCGCGCAGAATAGCGGCAGCAACGTCGTAGCTGCGCTCATCAGCCCCGTGACCGAGCATCAGGTTTGCCGAGAGGGTGTCGTGGCCCATGTCCTGGAGGTTGTACGCCCTCAGCTTCTCAGCAAGTCCGATCCCGCGGCCTTCTTGACGCAGGTAGATAACCGCGCCCCGGCCGGGGATAGTCTTGGTCTCACCGGGGCCCGTAGAGATAGTCATCGGCTCAGCGATCTGCCGCATGGCCTCGTCGAGCTGCTCGCCGCAGTCGCAGCGCATGCTCCCGATGGTCTCGCCCGTATAGCACTCCGAGTGGATCCGCACCAGCGGCGCGGGGACGGAAGAAGCAGAGACGGAGGGAGTCACGCTGACATCCTCTGATACCGGATCAGACGGCATCGCTACATCTTCTGTCAGGCGTCCGATATATGCGCCGCGGATGAGCCTGTCCATGGAAGTCTCCTCGCTCCACGTCGAGTCTAGGGAAGCACTGCGGATGGGTGGAGCAACCATGGGTCGGCCGGATAGCTGAGCCGGATCCAGAACTATCGCGAGGTGCTCCTTGGCATCGCGATTGTTGTGGTAGAGGTGAAGGAAGGCTGGGCCATGCGGGGTGGGGATACGGGCTCGCGCAACGCACTTCACCTCGACCTCGTGCGTCGTGGTTGTGCTCTGTTTTGAAGTGTTGCTGATGACTGTGGCAGGCTTGTGCGGACTGACGCTAGCATAGGCTCGCTTGTCTTTTTGAGGGTTCCGTTGAGGTGTTGATCGTCTGCGGAGGCATGAGCATCTGATGGCCTAGGATGCTGCTGGTGGACTTACTGAAAAGCTTCTTGGAAGGTGGACACACGGCGAACGGGGATATTAGCTACCGAATATCCGGTTCGGATAATGGTACGAGCCTTGAAGGCTGATGACCTTATGCAGCGTTGGCTGAGCATGATGTGTACTGTTGTTTATGTCCGATCAAAATGGTGATGCTTGTATGATTCTTAACACAGTTGGAAGTCTTGAACATATAAGTTCCGCAAGTAGCCAGCAAGCCAGGTATTGTGCCACTCCTGAAACCCGAGGGAGAAAAACTAGGCGGGGTTTCCTTCGGATTCAGAGCTGAAGCCGGGCATAAGCATCGTGAACTCGCATATTACGGCAGCTGAGACAGGTCGAAAGAACTTTCCTTATGAAGATCCTTAGCAGATACGGATCACCGGGAGCACAAGGAGTAGGATAGTAGACGGTGACCCCGTATCGGGGAGCACGTCCGGTCACAGGGCCGATTACATCTCTATGAACGCTTACGTCTACATCGTGAATTTGGCTGGCTGCAGCTTCACCAAGGAAATGACGAGAGTCTCACTGATGCAAAGGCGCCACTGACGTATGAATCTTCAACGAGATGTGTGGTGAGACAGCTAGTAATTTCTTTAGGCTTCGGTCGTCTTAGTATCAATGCTCGAGAGCCATTAGGATTGGCTGTAATGCAACTAGGCACCAGGGGTAGTGGCGCATTGCAGGATAGACCTCTTGATGGGAACTAATGACAGTCAAGAAACACCTCCGGCTGTCGGCCGCATTGCACGAAGCCCTGCGAAAAAAGCTGGGGATTTCTTGGCAAAGAGCTCCAGGATGGTTACACACATGAAGCTTACCTCCGACATATTGACGACATTGGCCATCTCCACAAGCTTACGTCGTCTAGTGTTTTGAATAGCTTACCTGAGGGCATATTCGTTTTTCTCAGACATGCGGTGTGAAACTGGCTTGCCACCTGCATCGACCTAGCATTGAACCTTGGCAAAACGCAACACTAACCAATCGATACAAGGCCAGAAACCACCGCAGAAGAACGCAACTCAAGTGGTGACGATCAAGAAAGTATCCAAGCTCCCGTCATATGGGAGTTGTGCTGGAGCGCTGAGCGCCTGCCTTTGTTGAGCTTTGTGTCTCGCATGCTATTTCGCTGATTTTCCGCGTTCAAGAGAGTCACGATATTTACCACTGTAGGCCGTGAATAAAGAGCCAGTCGGCATCGCGATCGACCAACAGCCACAATCCTCAGCTGAATTTGTTCGTCAGATTTAGCTCGCTTGGGGTAGGACAAAGTGGCCCATGACGCCGATCTTTCACTGCAGCTGTAATTGAGTGCAGGGACGGAAAGATTCGTAATCCGCCAGCTTTCAATAAGGATCTTGAATGCATGTAAGACATGCAGAACTACGCCTTAAGCCGTGATGGCGCTTTCCTCTTTCACAGAAGCCACGCGAGAGGTTGCATCAGTTGCCCTGCTGCGGTAATGGTACCCGATTGGCTTGATCTTCTTGAAGAAGCAATTTGACGCGCCAGAAGTCTCTTCTCGACGTGCATGTCGGTGACCAACACTATTTAGTCAATGTTGCCTTCATCTCCTCGCTGAAGAAGAGGAGCGCCCTTCGTTGTTGAAAATCCTGTCCTCATTCCCCATTCCAGCATGAGGGCTTTTACCATCCTCACCAGTTGCGCCAAGGCAGCCAGGCCACCAGGCGCGTACATTCTTAGACAATCAGCAAGAAGCACAGTGCAACCTCCTCGGCCACACTCATTCGCTTTTCGCCGGGACGGAATCTCAACAGCTCGTACCCACAGCACTGCATCTCTACGCCAAGATGTGACTGACAAGGGGTGAGCAGCTACTGGCCCTGAGATTCTCATATGCTTTCCAGCTGATTTACCCCACAGTATTGCTCGTCTACACGAAGACGATGAGCTCCTTGTGTGTACCCAATGTGGTACACAACATGGCGCGAGAGCTACTGATGGCCTTAATGAGTGTCATATCTGCAACGTGAGGTGGCACCTCTGACACCCACTCGTCATCCACTGACCACTTCGACAGGATCCGCGAGAGTCTGTGCCTGCCACAGGCCAGGCATGGACAACCCTCTCTCAAGCTCAGGCCAGTGGCAAGTTCCAGAATGTCGTACGTCAGCAATATTCCAAAGAGCCACACATCTACACCATTCAGACTGAGACGGTCCTTGGCATTGGCCAACGCTGTTTCTTAATCAGGACGCCCAAAGGTAACATCTTGTGGGACTGTCTTGCATATATCGATGATGACACTGTCAAAGCGGTGAGTGAGCGTCTCTCTTGCCTTGTTCAGGGGCTCGGTCTTGACAATTGTAGATCAACGCTTTGGGTGGAGTGGATGCCATCTCCATCTCACACCCGCACTTCTGGACAACCCACCTGACCTGGTCTCGGGCATTCAACAACGCTCCCGTCTTCCTTTCCTCTGAGGAAGCGTCGCTCGTCTCTCGGCCCGATGCGCACGGGGTTAGACGTTTCGTGAAGGAGAAAGAGTTTGAGTTACTCCCCGGTTCCGGAGCAACACGTATCAAGACGGGCGGCCACTTCCCTGGTAGCTCCGTCTTGCATTACAAGAATAGCATGTGTGTGTCTGACAGCTTGCATGTAACTCGAGTAAGTGGTTTCAGAGACTGGCTTTCTGGTTCATGACACTAACCCGAAGTGAGTCTGCTCTATGGGACATCAACAGGAAACCTGGAACGGCCTATTACGCGTTCCTTTGGTCGCATGTCAACACGGTAGGCACCATGCGGACAACTCCTCATTGAATAGAACATGGCTGGTTGACGTATGCTGTAGATACCGCTCACTCCGGATGCCATCGCCGGTATCATATCTGCAATCAAACCTTACGACTTTGAGGTTGCACATGGCATGTTTCCAGATCGTGACCTTCGCAATGCGAAGAAACGTGCCTTTGACTCGGCGCGAGTAGTGATCAACGCGATGGGGCATGATGCGGATATGTATCTTAAAGGACTTGACTAGTTGATGGACTTGAATATTTCCTGACTTGATTAAAGTAGAACCAAGCAGGTAACTTGTGCTCGGGAACGTTGAATGTAGAAAGTCTCAAGCAATACCCCAATAGTAACAGAAACCTACATGTCAGTCACTCAGAGGACTCAGAGGAGGGTGGTTAGCTTAACAGTCGAGTGCATGAAGAAGGGGCAAATTACGTATGTGTAAGCAGTACCAGAAACCATTACGATGTCTTCTTTGCATGGAAATTTGACGAACTGACCGTGCAGTCTACATTTAGCGTCTGTCCATGCCATTCCAATAAGCGTTGTATGACAAATTAGGAAAGTAAAAAGCATGCGTGGAGCATTCTGACGTTGTGTTTCTTCCGTCTTACAATTTTCCATCTCATTGATCATCTCTCACGTTCTCAGTCCTGACTTTCTGAACCATTCATCTGGTGTTAACTTTTGAAATCCTTTGACGGACGAGAAATACGCTATTACAATCATGCCTCCCTCCATAGCCGTCTCCGCAAGCCCTCACAGTACCCCCTCCAAGCTCAACTTGCACGAGTCGACTGCTGTCCGCTTTGCCAGTGCCGGTAAGGTTTAAGCAATATTCTCTATGTGTACCTTATTGGCTAATATGACCCCCGCAAGTTCAGGTGCTGCTGGGTTAGCTGAGGTCATCGTCTTTCACCCCGTCGATACTATTTCCAAGCGATTGATGCGGAATCAGAGTCATATTAGCTCCGCATCACAGCTCAATGCGGTGGTGTTTCGGCACCATGCCTCAGGCTCTTTGCATCGCCGCTTCTTCAGCCTCTTCCCTGGACTTGGATACGCTGCTAGCTATAAGATTCTGCAGCGTGTTCACAAGTATGGCGGTCAGCCTCTCATTCGTGTCTATCTAAAAGAACACCACGGGCCGTCATTTGACCAGATGTTTGGTGGCCACAATAGCAAAACGATGATCCATGCTACGGCTGGCAGCTTGGTCGGCGTTACCGAGATTATCTTCCTTCCCCTCGACGTCCTCAAGATCAAGCGCCAGACGAACCCTCAAGCTCTAAATGGTCGTGGTATATTCAGTATCCTACGCGAAGAGGGAGGTGGCCTCTATCGCGGCTCGAGCTGGACGGCTGCTCGGAACGCCTTGGGCTCATTCGCACTATTCGGCGGCTGCGCCGCAGCCAAGCAGTACCTGTTTGGCCTCGAGGACTACAATTCTGCCACATGCACCCAGAATTTGGTCGCTTCCGGTGTTGGCTCCTGTGCGTCAATCATCGTCGCTTCTCCACTTGATGTCGTCAAGACGCGGCTTCAAAGCCAGGGATTTGGCTCCAAGGAGTCAGGGTTCCGTATTGTTGGCAGGATGGCTCGACATGAAGGCCCAGGGTCCTTTTTCAAGGCCTTACTCCCCAAGCTTCTCACGACAGGACCAAAAATCACGTTCTCTTTCTGGCTGGCCCAGACGTTGACTTTGGCTTTTACTGGTGAAAGATGAGGTTTCTCTGCACTGGCGCATCCGAGTGATTCTCTGGGTTTGAGAGCAAGTGGGCAAACGATGTTGGAATTCGACCTCAAGCCGAATAATCAAGAGGCTGGGACCGCTGTACTTAGTCTGGGAAGGCCCAAGCCTTCCCAACTCTCTCCTACTTTCTTTAATCCAGCAATCATACCACCATTTCTGACAAATGTTATAACACGATGTGATGTTCTTGCTTGATACAGCCGTCTCCATGAAGGTCAAGAATGTGGGCCCCGAATCATGTTCTGGTGACAAATTGGTCCGTCCGTGATTAATAATGCTAAACCCAATCGGCAGGCACAATGGCTTTATTTCGGCCAGAGAGTGAATCTTGGCCCTGTCTTCCACTAGAAAAACTAGAATCCTTTCTCATTCTAAAGGCCCCTGATCATGTCTCACAGAGTCCTCATTACCGGCGCTTCTGGCTATCTCGGCGGGACCTTGTTGGCCCGCCTCGAGTCCGCGAACCTGCCGCCCTACGATAAGCTCTTCGCCCTTGTGCGGACGGACGCTCAGGCCGAAGCGGTCAAGCAGTACGGTCTCGAGCCGCTCACTTTCGACATTCGGAACGAGGCAGCAGTGCAGGACGCCGTCGTCAGCAATGCGATCACGGTGGTGTACTATCTGCCCGACGCTCTCAGCCCGGAGCCACCCTCGTACTTCATCAAGGCACTCGCCAGTGTGAAGGAGAAGACAGGGTCGACCGTACACTTCTTGTTTGTATGTTATGAGCCGCCATTCACAGACACGGAACTAATCAAGTGTGATAGACGACTGGAGCCAAGATGTTCTCCTCTTTCACCGGAGCACCGACCGACCGCCCCGTACCGGATACGGACCCGAGCTGGTACGAGATCCAGAAAGCTCAAGTGAACTCACAGAGCATCCCGTTTATGTTTAAGGTATGTGTTACAGAGCCCCTTGGTACTGTTTCCAAAGCTAACAATCAATCTTTTAGGGGGTGGCGACGAACAACAGCATCGTTGAGGCGGGAGAAAGACTGGGCGTTCGGACATACATATTTGCTCCTTGCATCGTCTGTAAGTGCACATTCACCAAGCTTAAGTCTTTATCAGATTTTTAATCCATAGGTCGAATCTAGACGGAGAAGGGGAAGGCTTCGGCAAGAAGATCTCCATTCAGACCGTGGCGATCGTCAAGGCCGCCAAGGCATTGGGCCGCATGTACAAATTTGATCAAGATAGCCCTGTATGTGAACTCTCTATGGCTCGGGCAGCAGTATCGCCGCCTAAAAACGTAGCGGGATTTGTTCTGCTGACCGCATCTTCCAGAGTTGGCCCGTCTGCCATGTCGCTGACAACACGACCCTTTACCTCGAGATGCTGCGCCGAATGATCGCCGACGAGCCGCTCGACCACGGCAAAAAGGGATACTATCTTGCATCTTCTGGCAGTGTGGCCTGGGACGACATTTACAAGGCCATGGGCAAGACGTTGAAGAAGCACGGCGTGATCTCCGATACCGCGGTAGCAATCGCGGACCCCGGGATCATAGAAAAGATTGCTGCATTCAACAACGTTCCGAGAGATGTGATGACCACTTTCTTCGGTGGCAGGTATGTGTAAACTCGGCTTCGCCTGGAACGCAGATTTCTGATAGCTTATCAATGCTATAGATGCACTTTCACTGCCGAGCATGGCAAGGGCCTTGGGTGGAAGCCCAAGTATGCGCCCGAGCATATTTTAGAGACGGCAGAGCAGGAAGTCGAGTTGATCTTGAAGCATCTTGACGGAAAGCTCTAGATGCCATTAGATAACTAGCTAGAATCGTGCTAGCAAACCGATTTTCCTCATTGCTCCTGTCGATCCGATAGTCTCTTGAACCCCATGTTGCAAAAGATCCACGTCGTCACCTTTGAACCATGGGCGTCAAATTTGCCTAGTTGGCTCTGTTGCCACCACTACGACCACGAGCTTGTTGACTCCACCCTCCGCCACGGGTATTTCTCATATAGAATCCATGAGTAACGGCTCGTTCGGAGATCGGTTGTCCCTCCACCCATGCCAGCCCAATTATTCTCTCAATCACATCGAAACCGGATCGGATCAGGCCGTTTTGTAGAAACAAACGATACTGATCGAGCATCCAACCGGTGCAGCCCCTGCCTTCCGTGGTGAAGTCGTATTCGTGATGACCGGCGGCAACAATAGCATCGATGAAGTCAGCCACCGCGCGCCCCCGTGTTGTCGGAATTGTCACAATTTGATGTCGGTCCTCGCTGACGCCAATTTCCCGGGCACTGACTTGCATGACGCCACGGTACCCATGACCAGGTGCCGGAGCGCCACGCACTTCCGAAGGCTCCATGTTGATCTGAACGGACCTGCCCGGGCTGGCTTGGAGAAACATGATCCAGTGGTTCCCACCGTTGGCAAGTAGAGTGTGAGCGACGAAATGAACGCATTGGACTGGTAGGCCACGAGCCTCCGTTCTGTCGGATTGATACTGGATAGGTTCGTAGCTGCGTAACTCGTGGGAAGAGACCCTATGACCGCTGCTTTTGCGGGCACCGTCACTCGGGCTACTGAGGCAGTTTCCCATCAAGAAAGATGGAGCCAAAACTTGGGTCGTGAAATATGCAGATGCAGAAGAAACTAAATACTCGGTTCTGTAGTGAGACTCGAAAGTTCCGATGCATATCTGCCACAAGAAGACAACTTCTATCCTGAAATCATCTGGTGTTACGCGTCGAATGCTCCTCAATCGGGGGCTGCCTGATTGTGCCGGCAAGCATGCGAGGACGGCGTTTCCAGCCGACCAACATGAAAGTGCGATGGCCCAATCACAATACGCACCGCGTGCCAATCCTAGGCAACCCCAGGCAACCTCAGGAAACCAGTGTGTTGGTTTGTATGAACTACGTAGCGTCTTCGAACCAGAGTATGATAGAATGTTGTGACCCTCTGAAGTGTTAAGTCTTCAGTGTCTGATCATGGAAAGCGTCCCTCTCTGAGCCCTAAAAACAGACAAGATCAGCCGGTACACAGTTGACGCAAATGCCCAAAAGCATAGCTGCAGGTAACGATATATTCATCGCACTACTTGGACACATTTGAATTCATCAAGCATTTGATCAGACACCAGTGCAGTCTCCCCTCGACAATCCAGTCTTCCGGCATCATTTACAGGACAGCTGACCAATCGTTAAAGCGCCACCTATTGCTGAACTTTGGGGACAGCAGGATGGTTTGGAATGAAATAATTATCTCCACCAGCCGCGTTCCGAGATTGCGGTAGCCACAGAACCAAGAAGGGGCTCACACGGTCGAACTCGACTCGCGTTGCCAACTTGGCGTCGAAAAAGCTCCGAACCGGGTGTTGGTGTTGACGAGCAGACGCAACGCTCTGCCCAAGCGGGACGTTCTCGCCGAGTCCGCGGTAGGCCAGCTGAACGCCGATCCGCTGCTCCTGCGGGTGATGCAGAAGCCAAAACGCGACTGCTCCCTGGGCTTTGGATGCATCCCTCAGCCGGGTATACATCTCCCGCAAGGCCGCCTCTGCATCGTCGCCGGCGTACTTCCAGCGAGTGAACCTCCCAATCGCGTGCTCGCCGACGGGCGCGAAGTTGCAAGCTCCGACGACTTTCCACGGGAGGCGGGCAGTAGACTCAAAGGCGGGCTGGTCCCAGAACTTGGTCTTGGGCTCCCCGACTTCGTACTCGTCTGTCGTCCAGCGGCCGTAGTCTTGCGCATGCTCCCAGGTGTCGAACAGGTAAGCACCGCCGGTGAGGAACTGGCCCGTAGTTTCGTCGTACTGGTACGGGAGATACTTGATGTACATCCCCGGGCGCTTCATCATGGCTTGGCTGTCCGGGTACTGCATATTGATGACGTCCTGAACGGACGCGCCTAGGCCGGCGATGTTGATCTCGGTAGTGAAAGCTGCCTGGGCCGGGATTTCCCCGACTTCATAGCCTTCGATCGTTCGCGGTGAACTGGACGTAGCAACTGTGACGCATCAGTGAGATATGTATCGAGAGAGATGGACTTTTCCCGCGGCTTACCCATATTGCAGGTAATAGCTTTTACTTCGAAATACTCCACAAGCCCGTCAGATTGCTCGGAAATGTGCAGGACGATCAACAGAACCTTCTGCCACAAAAGACTGCTATCATTGTTATATACAGCAAGAAAAACAGGAACCCAGCGGCGCCCGAGGTGATGTCAGCTGATGGAAAGCCAAGGCTCTATCGGAGAGTCGAAGAAATCGAGACCAAACTTTATTGAAAGCTATGGCACCAAGGTTTCTGACAAGAGTGTGGTCATGCTTGGTGGCGCACAAGCCACGGGAGCTCTAAGATGCAACTGATGGTGTGGACATGCGGCATTCACCGCAAGTCGTCCACTAGGAACGCGGGGCAGGACGTCGGCCTTCACAACATGGCCCCCATGGCTTTTCATAAGCTTTTGACCCAGCGGGTGCATAATTCACAAGGACACCAAGGGCAGCAAAATGCATTGGTCGAGCCGTGAGGCGTGAGGGTAGGTAGTTCACTACGATCATCTCAAGGCGCGCGGGTGAGTAGATTTTGCAAGTGAACGCAACCACTCCAAATGAATGAGCGTAAACAGAATGTGAAGTACTGCCTTTGTGTTCTCTTCTTTTCTATCGGGCGACTCTTTTTCGAATTCATTCTCTGACTCCGTACTGGGATACGATTTCTATCGAGTCTTGCATTCCTGCTCCGTAAATCGCTCGAAGCCTGGAGCTTCATTTCGTCGTGGTTCAGTTTGTCAAGCCAAATCGCCAGTCTGCCTTAAATCAACCTTGAAGGAGTTTCGTGCTGAAAATGGGGCATACCGCTCTGGAGCACCAATGAATGGCGGGATGTCTTCGCAGAATGCAGTGCACCGCCGCCACCACATGCAGGTTCTGCATGCAAGGGCTTTTGGCCATCGCGAACGCTGCAAGCAAAGCCTCAGCTGGCTCTACGGAAAGGCCTCCCAGTCGCAATGGCTCCACGGAGCAGTTAAAAGGACCTGAAGATGCAGTAGAACATCTTTTCTGGCACGCTCCTCTTTTTCACATTTGGACCACAATTGATCAACTACTCGATCTTCATAATGGAAAGATACACCTTTGACGGCGCCCCAGAAGAGATCATCGCCAATGTCACGGCGATCCTTGCTTCCCAAGCTGCATCCAAAGCGCCTCTGTTGAAGCTCGCAACGACAACACTGTTCTACAAGCTAGACATCAGCGCCCACAACACAACTCTCGCTGTCAGCGACTCTGCAGAATGGTGTCCGCGTGAAGTCACACATTGGAACCTACTCTTTTGGATGATCGGATTAGCAACCAACGCTCTGAGTCAACCGACTGGGCGCATCCTAGGTCTTTGGTACCCTCATCACGCTATTCTTCGAGCATCCCCCATTCTGTACGCTGCCGACGCTATCACTGTCATCGTTCGCTGGGTGGGAGGCGTAGCCTCCTTCCGCGGCGTCCGAGGATCCGCTTCATACATCCTGGCTAGCCGGTTCGTCGATGAGCGAGGTCTGCCGCATCTCGACGCTATAGGAAGTGCGAAGCGCCATGCGTGGATCCGCCTGTGGAGCTTTCTCTCCGGCGTCACGCCTTTGTTCATCAAGTTTTGGACAAATCGTCGCCATCTTCCGGCTCTTGCCCTGGCCTGTGGCACGATGTTTGTCGTCCCGTGGGCTGTCTTCGAGCTCCTAGTTCTAGCAGCGGATCCTGCAGAGATGGCAAGACTCAGGAGAGACGCTTCGAAGGTCCTCGATAAGCGTCAAGAGCAGGTCGAGGATGACAAGGCCAACGGTAGAGATCCCAGCTTCACGCCGCACCAGCTCAGGGCTGGCCTGCTCGTCAGCTACTTCCCGCAGACAAAGGCTTTGAGACTCGGCAGGGCCTGGGCCACGGTTGCCATTGCCGCCCACTGTGCTCCGACTCCGTGGCTTTATGACAGACTGTTCTTTGGGAGGAGGCATCTATCCGACGGATGGATGATATTGATACGAGCTGAAGTCGTGCTACTGCAGATACTGTTGAGTCTTCTTTACTTCTCGCCGATCCTTGTCGACCAGTCCATGTACTCTGCGACTCTCTCTGGCTCTGTCTCGAGGCACTTCCATCTCGAACCGATTCAGAGGATCATCATGAACAGTCGATCCTACCTACCGTCCATGGCCAGCATGGGCCCGGTCACCTTTTCCGTCGGACTTTTCGTCATGATGGACTTGTTGGATCCAGGAGACCTGTACATTGGGTTAACGTTCGGTTGCTCGTTCGGCACAATCTTGGCGAGTGTGTTTATAAAGTGGTTGTGGAACAAGGATCTCGCCCCTTATATTCACATCGGCTTTACCCTGCTGTTGTTGATCCTAAGCCATGAGTCCCAGGGGAGTTCTCAACCGATCTGGCTCGATTATCTTGGATAGTTGGCTTGTGGTGACTCAGGGTGGGATTGGATTAGCTCGACACTGATTGGGTGTTTGCATTGGTTGTCAATTGCCATCTATTTCTTCAATACGTTGTGTGGGAATTGTATCTCAAGGGTGACTCCGGTTGAAGGGATAAAGATGTTGGACACGTTGCATATAAATGTTGCATGGCTGCTTCAAGGCCGGTCTTGTGATGTCTTGGGATGGAAGATCCCAAACAGCCATTCAGGCCTTTACCTTGATACCCGGAGACAGGTATCAGCCTGCATTATATGGCGAGTTCGACGAATCCGTTGCAGCCAGCTGCTTGTACCTGCTTCCACCACAGTCACCCGGCACTGCTTTGGCCACGATGATCGTGGCTCGCCATATTGCTGGCTTTGGCCCCTACTGATGATCAGATTAGTTAAGGGGTTGCTAATAGAAGTGCTTGGGCATCTATCAGCCCCGGCAATTCAAGATAATGAGACAATTTAGGTTTTAGGATATCCGTTGTTAATTCTAGAGTATGCATTGTACCCTCAAAGGAAGAGGATATCTACTCCTGGTCATGGCCACACTGAAGGAGGAGCTAACAAATCTACTCGTCCTGCTGACGCATCTGCTCGCCCATCTGACGCACCAGTTCGAACAGCTGATGAATCTGCTCGTCCATCTGATGAATCTGCTCGTCCTTCTGACGCAGCTGCTCGTCCTTCTGCTCGTCCTTCTGACGCATCTGACGAATCTGCTCGTCCTTCTCCTCGCCCATCTTGCGCATCTGCTCGCCCATCTGACGCAGCTGCTCCTGGCGCTCCTCCTCCTGCTGCATGCGCCTCTTCTTCTTGTCGAGTCGCTTCATCTCCTCGTCGAGTCGCTTCTTCTTCTTGAGGCGCGCCTCTTCCGCGCTGTGCCGGATCAGATATGCGCGGTACCGCTCCTTGACCGCCGGAGGGGTCAGCCTGGATGCACGGAGGACTTCACGAGCCATGTGGAAAAAGAAATCTTCCGAGAAGGTGAAATCGGTGTCCGAGCGGGCTGGGTCTTTGGGGCAGTCCAGCACGTCCTCGAAGCGCAGGCGCATCGGCGCACCGGTCACAATCCACGCGCTGCGCTCCTGGGGCACCGTATCGTCGCCCAGGGGCTTGGCTAGACGGACCGTCACGGCGGCAATTGGCTGGTCGGGGCTTGGTCGGCTCCACAGCTCGACTAGGATCTGGCGAAATTGATTGCGATACAGCTTGATCAGGACAACGAGGTTGGCCGAGTCGCTCTGGCGGAACTGCTAATTCTTGGCCTTGAGCAGGCTGGGCATAGTCTGCGAGTTGCCACACTCAAAGACGAGGGTAGGCGTCTCGTAAGCGTTGACGCCGCGGTGTATGGATACGGTTGTCTCGTCGGCGGTCTTCGCCGAGACACCGTTCTTACCGGACATGGTGGCCTCACCTATGAATGTTATCTCGTTGGAGCGGCCCATGTCGCGAGCTTGTTGAAGCATGTGATCAGCCATCAGCCGGCCCGGCACGTTGTGTACCGGCGCCTGCATCTTGAAGGATAACAGTCCGCCCAGCTCTGATGGGACGTATGATAGGTGGAAATGAGGTCGCTCCTCGACGAGCTCGTAGAAATCGCTAAAGACGTCGGGCGAGATGTTGTAGAACGCGACTGTGCCAGAGTACTCGTGGGAGGGATCCCACATGAGCTCGCGTATGGCCGTCACGATGTCGAGTATGGTCTCGGCGACGTTGCTGCCGTCGGGGGCCCGCAGCATCAACACGTCCTGGTACTGGTCTTGGTCCTGCTGATCCGAATCTGAGTGGGACGCACACCTCGCCGTCAGTTGCCATTTGGCCTGCTTCCTAATCTCGAGGGTTGGGCAGCCGGAAGGGGTACTTTACCTTTACCTTGGGGGGTCGACAATAGGGACTCGACGGTCGAGAGCAAGACTGGAGGCCAGTCGGAGGCGGCAGGCCAGTTGGAGGTTGAAGGCAGTAGGAACTGGGGAGGGTTCATTGTCAGCCAGGGCCCAAGCTTTGATCAGATGGTCTTCAGATTTCGGCCTACCTGACCAGACGATCCAGTCGGACCCGCCGGGCTGGCGGGGCTTGCGGCGTCGAGTTGGTCCATGAGGAAGACGGGAGACCGCGCGGGGCAGGATAGATCGTGAAGGCCAGGCGTCGGGCTGCGAGGGCGCGCGGTGTGGCTCTGAAAAGTGCGCGGGCAGGCTGATGTGGTTTAGGTTTAGGCTTAGGTTTTGAAAGACTCCCACCGCGGCCGCCTGATCTATTTCAATGAGAGACGATGGTCGGTGCGCAGGTGGCAGATGAGCAAAGGCTGAGACGGCACGTCAAGTTAATGGTCGTCTTGGTGAACTGGGAATTCATCTCTGGCTTTGGAATGGCTTTATCCTCCAAATGATCCCACCTACTCTCTACTCACCCGCCCCTGCAATGAATGTTGAGTGCAGATGCAAGTGGAGGTGTGGACGGACGCCTGGAAACTAACTGTGTTCAACAAAGAGGCTCAAAGGGCTCGCGTGGGTAGGTCCTTTCAAGTGCTCGTCTTTCTATGCAGTATTGCTCTTGGCATTCTCGCCCAATGGCCGGCCTGCTGCGAGGTCATATTATGAACCAGTCTCTCTAGCTGCCAGCCAAGATGTCAATACTCTCTCCGCCTGGGGGCAAGACAGGTGAATTCACATGTTAGCAGTCCCCCTTCTCATCTCCATCCTCGTCTCTGCCTTGATCACTGCTCTGCAGGGCCTCAATCCTTTGTTCCTGACTAATCACGAGATGCTGGCCAATTGTTGTGTTCTTTCAGAGTGCCCCTGCACGTGCGCTGGATCTGCGACCCTCATAACTCCATCGGGGACTGTCATCATCCGCCGCCACATCGCCTGATCCCCCACACTCACTACGTCGCTGCGCTGCGGTGGCTTGGTCAAAGCATGGCTGTTGAGGAGATATTCACCTCAAAGGTCTATCGCTTGAGCGGCATACCGGAGCATCTGGATCGGTTGGGCGTTACCCAACTGCTTGCCCAATTCACACCTGGCGGGGACGCCAACGACATCACAGTTGCGTCCCTCGCGCCAAGTTGCGAGTTCTGGGCTCGCACCCCGCACAAAATCGCGACCTTGACTTTTTCCAGGCTTCCTGCTCTGGTGCGCGCTTCTCCGGACGCGAAAGAGTGGCAGCTGCCGATCCCCGGAGCTCCTGAGCCGCTTGTGCTGGATGACACCTTTCTCGGCTTCACCCCGCTGAACGATGTCTCCCACAATGATCATGTGCTCGAGTGAGTTATCTGTCTCGAGATCACCGAGCCTTTGCTAACTTCCCCATGGCTGCATCATCATCTCGGGGCTCGCTAGCCATCCGATGGGCTCCTGGCAGCCCCACGGGAGAGACAAGACATTCATGTGAATCCGCGATGCACTCCCGCAGCGCATCTCCGGCATCAGATTCATCTTGTACGGCTACGACTCAAGACTCGTAGGAAGCAACTCGTTCCAGAAGGTTGAGGATCTCGCCGTCAATCTCGTCAACGCGCTTAAGCCTGGCGGCTGGACGTTGGGTACTGCACCGGCTCTGGCCTTCATGGCTCATAGCCTGGGGGGGATCCTGCTGAAACAGACATTTGTCATGCTTGCTGGCAGTGGGGGGAGCGAAGACAAGATTTTGGCCAAGACAACAGGTGCTCTCTTCTTCGGCGTCCCCAGCCAGGGGATGGAGACCTCTGACATCAGTGCGCTGCTCGGTCACCAGCCCAACATCCACGCTCTTGTCAGTGAGCTCTCTGTGGATTCACAATTCTTGCTTCAACTGGAGAGACAAGTTTCTGGCCTGTCACATGTTCGCCGGATGAAATTTTTCTGGGCCTATGAGACCCAGACAACTCCTACGCTTACGGTATGTCCAGGCCAAATGCAGGCTCTCCCCAGCTGATCGGTCCGCTCACATCATACAGCAAGTCTCAGGCAATTTCCAGAGGAACGGAATGGAGAAGATTCTGGTATCGAGGATCTCTGCGACATGTGGCCGATGCGACTCTGATTCTGCCTCAACCATTCAGATTGATGCGAATCATTCCAATATAGTCAAGTTCTCCCGGGGAAGCCACGCTATCCCTCTTGTCACAGACAAGTTACGGGAAATACTTGCTCATCGGCTTGAGCGTCACCCAGAGCTATCTAAACCCCATTATCCTGTTCTTTCATCGGATGCCTTGATGCAGGCTGCATACAAAAGGATTGGTTTGGGCTCGTCAGATGAGCTCATTGATGGAGGAGTTGCCGGGACGGATCTTGGAGAACTTTCAGATCCAGCATCATCTCCAGACTTTTGGAATATTAAAGGTTAGCTGCCCCCGTGACAGTTCGGTCTCTTACTAGAACGCGCGCTGACTTTTTGAAGCTATCATTAGATCCATCCGACCCTCCCAGAGAGATGATAGGCTCCATCAAATCGAAGCGAGAGCGGGATGTTCTTTTGAATGGGCCTTCAACCGAAGTGATATTGGGCTAACGACATGGCTTCAGAAAGGGACGGGACTATTCTGGATCAGCGGCCGTCCCGCTTCTGGGAAGAGCACGATGATGAAATTCATCAGCAATGACGAGCGCACGTGGAGGCTTCTGCGTGATTGGCAAAGTCGTAGTCACCAGGTCCAGGCCAGTTTCTTCTTCCACCACCGAGGCACCGCAGCGCAAAAGTCTTTTGAAGGACTTATGCGCAGCATCCTGAGCCAGTTACTGGAGAGGGATCCTGACATAGTTGGCATGATTCTCCCACTGGTTCAGGACCTCTATCAGCAGCGGCTGAAAGCACAGAACCTCGAAAGTCTTCCCTGCGATCTGACGCGGCGGATCAAGATCGCTGATACGAGGAACAGCATTGGCTTTTGCACAAAGCCGAAGGAACGGGCGAGAAAATCCGCAGCTGTCCTACTGTGCGACTTTCCTCTTCGAGAGTTTCGCAGACTGGTACGAACGCCTATGGACGGAGATGGACCTGTTTGGGACGCTCTGGAGGACGGGATCCTCTGCCGCAAGGATGAGATCTTGTCAACCGAGGGCAAAGTCAGCGAACTTCGAAAATTGAAGCCACGCATCTACCCAGAGGACTGGAGGGAGGCAAAAATAGATCGCTATCTATCTCTAACATCGAGTTGGTGCGACACTGTTGACCTCCGTTCCAAGTTGAGAGACCTCCGTGCAACACCCGGGTCTTCGAAGGCTGGGCACCCTGATGACGATGACGAATGGGTCCAACACCAATGTGCCGGAATAACTTCACGACAGCGCGCCCGTGAGCAGATCCGATTCAAACTCGAAACTGAGAGATGGCCAGATAGTCTCGTAAGCAAAGCAATCAACACAATCATGGAGCAGAAGGCCATCGATCTGGACATCTTTCTTTTCATCGACGCCGTGGACGAATATGATGGCCCCACCGACTTTATTGCCGGCTTTCTCCATGATCTTGTGAAGCAAAGAGATAATTCTCGGACTCGGACAAAGGTCCTCTTCTCCAGCCGACCTTGGAAGGTTTTCGTTGAAGCTTTTGGCTCTTGCCCAGGGTTTCAAATCCACTGTCACACCGAAAATGATGTACGAGAACTCTGCGCACACAACCTCAGCCTATCTACACCAGGCTGCCACGAGATCTTCCAATTGACAGGCGAGATAGTGCGAAGGGCCAAAGGTGTTTTCCTGTGGGTCAAGCTGGTCTTGCACGACCTTGCCGCCTATGCAAGAAGGCGCCTCGAGGCCGGGCGAGTACAGGACCTTCGGCGCGAACTTCTCGACGAGCTACAATCGCTTCCGGGAGATTTAGCCGACTACTATGAGACTATTGTGGGCAGAATACCGCCGACTTTCAGGTGGGAGGCATACTGTCTCCTCGAATCCGTGGCAAGATCGATCGAGCCCATCCCCAGTCGTGAAGCGGAGAAGCTGGTGAAGTGTGCGAACATGGACGCGTTCACAGACGGACACAGCGAGTTGCAAGGCGCCGCCAGGGGCCGGGCCTGGGATAGGAGCCACGTTGGGGAAATCACAGGGGGCCTGATTGAGGAGATTGTTGGCGACCCTTCGCGCAGCGGAGAACCTCGAGTTATACTTCAGTTCATACACCAGACCGTGCTTGAGTTTGTCAAACAGCCTGCATTCAAGTATATGATCCTAGGGGCGGTAGGACACACGACGGAGGAGAACGGCCATTCTTTCCTCGTCAAGTACCTTCTCAATCGCGGTAAACTCGAAGTCTCTCCGACCATTCTTTGGCATGCTCGCGAAGCGGAGAGATCAACTGGAGTCAGTCAGCTCAGCTTACTGCAAGGAGAATTGATGATCAGGGAGCTAGGGTTGCTCACCTCCCCCGCGATTCTGGCAGTCACAGGGAAGCTCGACCTCCTGATCAACCAGATACTCCAAAGAGACGAGAGGGCATTCGCCAAAGGCTCTGATTCCTTTCTCTCGTGTATCGCATGGGCGTTCAATTGCAAGGTCCTCACGCTTGATGAGGCGATCGCAATGCTTCATTTCATCGCGGAGCACGGGTTCAGGGTCGAATGCGATGTGCGCGGGCTTAGGCTAATCGATCTCCTTTCTCGCCGGGACATCCCTGAGAACAAGGAGCTGCACAAAGCTGCCCTGGAGGGCTGCAGGGCGCTGGACATGAGAGTGATGGACCTGCAGTCACCAGACCATTGGGGCCACATTATTCATTACAGCGGTGCAATGACGGCGCGATACCTCCTTGACCAGGGCGTGGATCCGAATTCATTGGATTCTCGAGGCTGGACACCTTTAGACCACGTTGTGGACTGGCCGTATCAGCTTGGAGCGCCCTTGGGGTTGATTACTGACACGACAAATCCCTTTTGGTCGGCAGGCGGTGCGGAGGACTCGGGCAACTATATCAAAGAGACATTTGAGATGTGTGTGCTACTGGTTGAAGCAGGCGGCCTGCTTAACAAAGTACCGCGGGATACATGGGCCAGGGTTGTTGCTGACTTTCGGAAGCACGGATATTACGTTCAAGTGTTCCGAAGATACAACTTTCCAAAGTACCTATCCTCAAATCACAGGGGATCCCTTGGCGCTCCAGGGACAAACCTGAAGGCCCGGTGGGAAAGACTGACAGGCAAGATTAAAAGACATGCTGGGTAGTTTTAGTGTTCCAATGTATATAGACTCCTGAACAACCTCAGTCCACGACATGACTGCTCTATCCGTGCTCAATTTTCTTTCCAGTCGTCTTGAACGCCTACTACCAGACCATGATGCTCAATCACTCAACCTATCCTATCCCGCAACTGCCAAAAGAGTCTACATCTCAACGACGACCTTGAGCACCAGCTTGCCATCGTCGTCCTTGACCTTGCCGGCCATCTCAAACGCCTTGGGGATGTTGTCGAGGCCGACGAACCGCTGCGTGCACAGCTTCTCGAGGTCCGGCAGCAGCGGGTTCTTGCTGGCCAGCAGCTCGAGCACGCGCGGGTAGGTGTGGGCGTAGCGGAAGGAGCCGACGAGGTCGACCTCGCGCAGGGCGGCGGCCGAGATGGGCAGGGTCTGGATGGGCGTGCCCATGCCGATGAGCATGACCTTGCCGCCTGGTTGCGTGGCCTGCGTTTGCATCAGTCAGCCAGTCAGCCAGTCATGAGGCGCGACATGTGTAAAAGTCGAGAGAGTCGAGTCGCCCTTACGTAGATGGCCGTCTGCAGGCAGATCTCCACGCCGGTGCACTCAAACGTCCGCGCCACCTCGCCCACCTCCTGCCCGCGGACGGCCGTGCGCGCCGCCAGCGCCGCGACCTCCTTGGCGAACTCGAGCCTGGCCTCGGTCGTCTCGGGCCGGCGCGCGGGCACCACGAAGCCGGCGTCCGCGAAGCCGTTGCGCGTGGCAAAGTCGACCCTGTCCTGTTGGATGTCGGCGATGACGACGGCGCCGGCGCCGGCGACCTTGCACAGCGCGGCGCAGAGCAGGCCCACGGCGCCGGCGCCGAGGACGAGCACCGTCGCGCTCTTTGAGGAGGAGGAGGAGGAGGGCGGCGGCGGCGGCGGCGGCAGCTGCGCGCGGTCCAGGGCGTGCATGGCGACGGACAGCGGCTCGGCCAGCGCGCCGAGGCCGAGCGGCAGGCCCGCGGGCAGGCGGTGGCACCAGCGCGCCGGGTGCGCGATCTCCTGCTGCAGGGTGCCCTGGCGGTGGGGGAAGCTGCGCGCCGAGGAGCGGAACTGCATGTCGCGGCAGATGTTGTAGCGGCCTTGCTCGCAGAGGGCGCAGCGGGCGCAGGGCACGCCGACCTCGAGGGCGACGGCGTCGCCCGGCCGCAGGTCCTGGACGGAGGCGCCGACGGCGGTGACGACGCCCGCGGACTCGTGGCCGAGGGTCATGGGCTCGCGGACGAGGATGTCGCCGTTGCGGTAGTGGTGGTAGTAGTGCAGGTCGGAGCCGCAGAGGGTGGTGGCCTTGACGGCGACGCGGACCTCGTCTGCGGCCAGGGGCGGGAGGGTGCGCTCTTCCTTTGGAGGGTTGCGTCAGCGTCTCCGGAGTGTTTGTCCTCAATCTCAATGGTAAGTAAGGTGATATGAGGATGCAGCTTACCACCCTCAGGTCCCTGGCGCCGTGCAGTACGGACGCCTTTACTGTCGTCGCTGTCGACATGGTGTCTCTCTCTTTAGTGTGCTGTCCTGTCCTATTGTCCTTCACGTAATTCCCTTTGAAAGATTGAGACTGAGCAGGATTGGTTCACGTTATGAACGGGTTGTATTTCACTTGGATCTCATTGGAGCAAAGCAAAGACAATGCCACGAAGATTCACGGCGGCGGAATGATGCAAGTTCAAAACCAGGGTTCTTTTCTGGGCCCTCCATTCACCCCCGCCGCCTCCGATCGCAGGCCGACTCGCATTGACTTGGCCCGAGCCTTCGCCAGCCGACAGCTTACCCGCCCCCCAAAGTGGGCGGATGTCCGGCATGACTAACTAGCAAGCTCTGAGACTCGCCGGCGGGATGTTAGTGCACACCGCTAATGCGGGATATCCTGCGGGATGGGATGTTGTTCTGATTCTCCGTCCTGGACCCAACCCGAGACGTGAACAGACTGGAGTGAGCAGATGTTCCGAGTTTACAGAACATGTTGTTCTCAAAGCTGAAGCTGCAGGAACTTGTGTATCAAGAGAGAAGATACCCGGTGCTCGGTAAAGGCGATGAATGGCTGCCGAGCAATGCAGATAGATGCCAGGCCGCGACAGCGGGATCGGCGTCGGAAGACCTGCCCGCGTTCGTAACTCTGTACATGTACAAGTACCAGCAGGACTGGATGAAACAAGTCTATTTGGGCCTCCATCTCGGGCCTCCATCTCATGGAAGCCTCCATTTCTACTCGACCGGCTCTGGTTTCCACCCCACACATCCAGCTCGCCCGTCCGCGCCTCGACTCCCGCCCACAAATTCGCCCGGGATCCGGCAGAACAACCCCCACGCCAGTGATATAGTTAAGCCGCAGGGTCAACCCACATCTCATGCGCGAGTTCATGATCGCCATTTCGTCACATGAAAAGCCTTTAAACTTTTCCATAAACTCCTTTTTTTTCTTTCTTTCTTACATAGACTACCCTGGTGAACCATCCCCACTAGCAGGCAGCCATGTTCTCCCTCCAAGGCCACACCGCCCTCGTCACCGGCGGAACGCGGGGCATCGGCCAGGCCGTCGCGCTGGGCCTCGCCGAGGCCGGCGCCGACATCCTCCTCGTCCAGGTAAACGGGACATCGCCCAATCCAACGCCCATCACATACAAACACACACACACACACACACACACACACACACACACACACACACACACACACACACAAACACGACACTAACCTCCAGAGGGTGGACAGCGAGACGAGTCCAACACGCAGACCCAGAGGGCCATCCAGCAGCTCGGCCGCAAGGCCACAATCTACACCGCGGACCTCTCCTCGCGCGACGACGTCGCCGCCCTCGTGCCCAGGGTGCTCGCCGACGGCCACGAGGTGCGCGTCCTGGTCAACTGCGCCGGCATCCAGCGCCGGCACCCCTGCGAGTCCTTCCCCGACGCCGACTGGGACGAGGTGCTGCAGGTGAACCTCAACGTCGTCTTCCGCCTCTGCCGCGACGTCGGCGCGCACATGCTGCGGCTCGAGCCCTGCGCCGCCACGGGCCGCAGGGCCAGCATCGTCAACTTCGCCAGCCTGCTCAGCTTCCAGGGCGGGCTGACGGTGCCCGCCTACGCGGCGTCCAAGGGCGCCGTCGCGCAGCTGACCAAGGCCCTCGCCAACGAGTGGACGGCCCGCGGGGTCAACGTCAACGCCATCGCGCCCGGCTACGTGGCCACCGACATGAACGAGGCGCTGCTGGGCAACCCGGAGCGCCTGGCGCAGCTCGACGCGCGCATCCCCGCCGGCAAGTGGGGGCAGCCCGAGGACTTCAAGGGCTCGGCGGTGTTCCTGTGCAGCAAGGCGAGCGCGTACGTGGCCGGGCATGTGCTGGTTGTCGACGGGGGGTGGATGGGGCGGTAGAGAGGCGGAGACGGAGGCGGAGACGGAGGCGGGGTGAATGAATACTACCTGTAGGGTTGGTTGTTGAAGATGGTGTTCAATTTCCAACTACGCTGATAGATAGATGTTCATGCTAGTAGACAAGACACAGAGGTCTCCAAAAGACGGATGATACATGTAGCGAATGTGTACCGCAACTCCCCTACGAAATACAGGTGAAAAGAAAACGCCCCAACTCAGACAACCGAAGCCATGACGCTCTCCATCCACGGGTACACGGAGCCGTTGGCCTTGGGGTAGCCCATGTGCAGCGCACCGGAGAAGAATCTGTTTCATCTCTCGTCAGTATCCTGGTCCAAAGAGACGAGAAAAGCACCTCGCCATCTCACCTTGCCTCCTTGGGCGAGCCATGCTCAAACAACAGCATCGAGTCCTCAATCGGCATGAGGCCATCCATCGTTCCCTGAGACAGGCCAAGTCAGCACGGACATACGGTCACGGCTTCAAACTTTCCCCCCACCAAGACGCACACTATACTCGCCGCCGGCCGGAAGGAAACTCACATTCACAAGCAAAAGCCTCGTCGAAGGCATATCCAAGATCCCGTTCTCCAGCAGCGAAAACTTCTTTTGCGCGCCGGCCACGTACTCCTCGACCGAGCCGTACCCGTGCTTCATCGCCAGCGCAGGCGTCAATCTGTATACAAACAAAAGCATCACGGACGACACGGTCAGCCAGCCAGCCTTGTTCATCATCATCATCATCAATTTCCCCCCTAATCACCTCCCCCAAATTCTCAGGACAGGACAGGACAGACAACTCACAAGAAGGGATACTCGTGCCCGTCCGCCCTCGCAAGCCACCCGGGGTCGAAGAAGAGGTGCGCCCCGGCGCCCTGCGCCACCACGCCCGCCAGGCGGGAGGCGTGCGTGTGCGCGATCCGCACGGCGTAGTACCCGCCCGAGCTCAGGCCCCAGACCATGACCCTGGCCATGTCGAACACGCCGACGGCGCCCGCCCACGCGAGCAGGTCGTCCCACAGGCGCTCCGCCGCCGCCGGGTCCGCCGGGTCCGCCGGGCAGTCCGCCGTGCCGGGCACCTCGGCGACGCAGCAGGCCCACCCGCGGGCCAGGAACTCGTCGCACCGCGCCGTGTTGTCGGGCCGGTAGCCGTCGAGCCCCGTCATGAGGATCACGAGCGGGCACGGGTGCGCGCCGTCCTCGGCGGCGCGCGGCACGCGCACATACACGGGGATCGAGGAAGAGGAGGCGGCGGCGGCGGCACCGCCGTCATTCGCCCGGCGGTGACGGTGCGGGCGGTGCGGCACGTGCACCTCCTGCAGGGGCTCGTCCCAGAGCTTCCCGGCCTTGGCGTAGGCGGCCTTCTGCAGCTGCCAGGCGTGCCACTTGACGGGGTCGTTGACGGCGGGGCTCGACGTGATGTAGGGGAAGCGGGCGATGCGGTAGAGCGAGCAGGCGCGGAGGTACAGCGCGCTGGCCTGGGCCTTGCTGTCGGCGTCGGCGTCGGCGCCTCGGCCGTGGGCCGCGGCGGCGGCGAGGAGGGAGTCTGCGCGGAGGGCCAGGGCTTCTGCGGCGGGGAGGAAGGCCTTCGTATAGGCTGGGGATGTGCCGTCGTTGACGTTGTTCTGCGTTGGTTGTGGGAGGATGTGTTAGTGAGTTGTAGGTTGGGACTTGGGTGTGATGAAGGGAGGTTAACAAAGGCGGGTCGATGATGCATGGACGAACCTCGATGAGGTGCTGGAAGACGGGTTCAAAGTCTTCGAATTTCCCGTCGTGGAAGGGGTATACGCTCATTGTGCACTGCAGAGACTCTGGTCAGTTCCTGTTGACGAGTGCCGTCGGTTTCCGGGGTTCAGGAGAGATAAACACTTACGGGGAACTTCCACTTTGTCTCCCAGAGCGCCCTGATGCCGTCGTGGTGCGGCATGCGCCGCTCAAAGGCCTCCTCGCCCATGATCCAGTTCCTGCTCGGCTTCTTGTGCTCCTCCTCCTCCTCCTCCTCCTTCTGCTCGACTTCCATGGGCACAGTCTCGACATGCTGTACCTCCACCCGGACGGCGGCCTCCTTCATGGGCACGTCGCCCACCACCGCAAACGGCCGGATGCCGACCACCTCATCGTCTCCCACGGCATGGGGCGCCATATCGGTGCTTTCTTTCCCTCTCTCTTTACCCTGCCTGTCTCGGGGGGTCGTTGTTTCGGTACTTTTTTGTTCCTTTTCACTATATTTTTTTTTGTTGTTTCGGTAGTGGCCCAGCAGGGCGTGCAGGGCCCTTTAGAGGCTGACGCGGACGACTTTCTGCCGCCGGAACTGCACGGGACAGTTGCCGTCGGGCACGCGCACGGCCGAGACTTTGCTCCTGCGCTCGCGGCGCAGCTGAGATGCGGTGTTGCTGGCGGTGTTGTGCAGTCGGGCTCTGTGTTGTGTAAACAAGTCGGGGTTTTTAATTTAGCTTTACGTGAACGAAACGATATTCGGGACTTTGATACGATTATACACCCCACGAGATCGAACACCAACATCAACTGACATATCTCCCAAGGTGCGCGGCAGCAAGCACGATGCCCCAAAAACCAACCTATCACAAGAGAGGGAAAAGAAGGAGAGTAAAGATGAAAAAGAAAAGACAAAGGTAAGACAAGAAAAGTCAAGGACTTACTCCGACTGCGTCTGCGCAATGCGTATCCTGGTCGTCGCAAACTGCAGGTATTCTGCGAACCCCGTGTCCGACCGAAGGTCGTGCGAGTGTCTCCTGCGGGGGAGGAGGCCGGCCATGATATATAGGGGGAGATCGATATCCTTACCAAAAAAAAAAGGAAGCCCCCAGGAAAAGAACCGGTTCTTTTGCGAAGTCTCCGGATCGTCGCCCCGGGACAAGGGGGGGGAAAGGGGGATATAAGTCCGCAAGACGTGTATGTATATGAGCAACGAAACAGACAAGAGATATGTCCGGGGTGGGGGATAATCTGGCCAGACAGCACTGTCTGTCTGTCTGTCTGTCTGTCTGCCTGTCTATTCGCCTATCTGTTTGTACTTTCGACGTGTGTTTCGGCCGGCTAAAGCAGCCAAGTGTATGTGGACTGTTCTTCGTACCGGCCGGCGAGTTTCTGATTGGTCGGGACTACCGGTCGAGTGTAAGTGGGAAGCGGGGGACTGTCGAACGTTGCAACGACTCTAGAAACCCCGAAGGAGGGCACGGGATGGAAGGATGGTTGGTGGTGCTGGTGGTGGTGGGTAGGGTGTGTGTGTGTGTGTGTGTGAACCCCGATTCGGAGGTATCGTCCGTTGGCAGCAGGTCTCGCTTCCAAACGGGTGGGGGAGTAATATTGGGGATATCCGTGGTCTCGTCCCCCCAGCTCCGGTGCGCTTTTGTGCGGGTTGGTGTGTTAACTACGGGTCAACTACTGAGAGTTGGAGGGGAGATCGCGAATAAGCGAAGCCGTGAGTGTCTGCCGATCGATTTGGAGGTCGCAGTCGGGGTAAATGGCGATCATTGCACACGCCAGTGTTTCACATCTACAAGTTGGGGGAAGACGTAGATGAAGAAATTAATACACGGGGCTCACAGCAGTTCTTAAATAGACATGACGTGACATGCAGTTCAAATACCCGGGTTCGCGGAGAATTTTTTTAAAAAAAAAAGTTGCAATGTAATTGGGACGGATCGGCAGCTCGTGCCAAAAGAGAAAACTCGGGAAGTAAAAGTGGCATTGCCTATTCGAGCAGCTCAGCTGGGAACTTTGGGACTGGCCTGGTGAGGGGGCGCACACCGTGTAATGAGTACTGCGTCCAGATGGCTGGTGGTGCGCCGCCGCCGACATGTGCAACCAGCTTGCTGACCGGCTCTGTGCCTGTGTGTGTTTGTCTTCCCGGAACCTTGTTGGCTGACCAGGTCGGAAACGCCAGAGCCCAAGCACACACTCCCCAAGCCCGGATGGGGAGTGGCCTCGAGAGCTGACCTCATCTCATCCCAAGCACCGGCTCGATCCCCTGTCCAGCCAGCCAGATTTCGGAGCCCGAAGCCTGGATGGGGGTGCTGGGCTGAGTCAAATGCCGACCCTCCGTTGCGTAGCAGCAAATGGGAAGCAAAAGCGCCAACGGAAAAGTCCCGAAGGATGGGTTCTATTGCAGTGCAGCCCGTTCTATGTTCCCCCACGCCCCGATCAGATATGCGAGAGTGTCCCCCAACTGGCCCGATCCAATCCTCCTCTCTTCTATTGCCAGACCCGTCTTGCTCGACCAAGGGGCCGGAATCAACGCCGGCCCTCGACCGTCACCAGCTCTTGAACTTCCGACTCGCAAAGTAGCCCGGATCGTTGGCAAAAGAGGTTCGGGACTAGCCTCCCTGGGAGGCCTTCGGGACTTGCCCTTGATCATCTCCACAGCTTTGCGGAGTGTCGGAGTCTTGGCGCCCAGAGCTGAAAGACCCCTCCGCGCCCAGACAAACTCCGTCCCCAGGAAAAAGCAAACCTATTAGTTGTATGCTGCCATGTGCGCCGTGTCCCTCTATCCCGCTCCCGCAACATTCGGTAGACGAGCCCCAGATCGTGCCCGTTTAAATATGCGACGGCTCTGTGCAAAATCGAGTCGATTCATCAGCCACACTGAACTTCAGCCTCATTACTGTTCCAACGCTCCACCGGCGCGGTTGTTTTGTGATCGTGACCTTCCCCTTCACTGGTTTCTTTCTTCCTTTCTTTCTTCTTTTTCTGTTTCGGATGAACAAAAAAATGGGAGGCCAGAGCAGGCAGGACTTATTTGGAAGATTTACTCTCGTGGTAGTGGGCCATCTCGAGGCCGGCGCGGCGGAAGCCGCACTTGACGTAGAAGCCCTCGTTGGCCTCGGAGCAGTCGAGGATGGTCTTGTAGCAGCCGACCTGCTCGGCGATGTAGTCGAGCGCCTGGATGACGCGCAGGCCGAGCTTCTTGCCCTGCTGGTCCTTGTCGACGGCGATGTCCTCGATGTGGCCGACCTGGCCGAGGCTGTGGATGCTGTTTGTTGCCGCCCCGCGCACCCCCGTCATTAGCCGCGCTTGTCCCCGAGAAAGAAAGAAACGAAAAAAAGCAATTCTGATCTCGCCCGACCAGCCGGACTGCCTTTTTTTTTTTATTCTCCCATCACAACTCACAACTTGCGCTCGACAATCAGGCTGCCGGTGCCGACGACCTTGCCGACGTTGGTGTCCTCGATGACGAGGACGTAGTAGGTGCCGTCCTGGCGCGCGAGCCAGGCGTAGCGGTCGTCAAAGGCGGCCTCGGAGATGTCGCCGACGGTGGTCAGGACGCGCAGGCAGTCGAGGAAGCCCGTCGCGTAGTCGGAGCGGCGCAGGGCGCGCACGACGTAGCCCTCGGGCAGGGCGGCGGCGACGGCCGGGCTGATGAGGTCCGAGGAGAAGAGGCCTGCGTCGGTATCGGCGGCGGCGGAGGAGGAGCCGTTGCTCGTCTCGACGACGGCGGCGGCGGGTGCGGCGAGGACAACGGGAGACATGATTTTCCTGATGGTCATTTTCTGGCGGGTGTTGGATGGGCGGTGGTGACGGGGTCTCGATGCGATTTTTGGGAGTTTGCGGCCTCGAGACAAATTGACCAGAGCGAGCCGCGGAGAGGACGGTATCGAGGTCTTTTCTCCTTCTTTTTTTTTTCTGGATGAGTTCGCTGGCGGAGGAGAAAAGATCAACAAACGATTGGATTATAGATACACCGATGAAGCAAAAGACGGAGCGAGTGTCAGAGAGAAGCGGACGAGGACGGCTCAATGGATGTCAATGGATGATGATGGGGGGTGAATGGAAGGAGGGAAAGGGAGAAAAAAGGAGGTCTGCTGGCCTTGTTTATTGGCCCTCTCTCGCCCATCCGAGCTAAAGTAGTGATGCCCGGGGACAAACAGGCTAACTACCTAGAGTTACCTATTGTAGGTACCTAAAGTAGGTAGAGCTGACGCTTCTCGGCAGGGCCAGGCGATGATCGGCACAGCCCCTAGCTCCCTAACTCCCTAACTCCCGGTAAGTTTCCACTAACGAAGTGGTGGCCCCTGGCTAGCGTGCACCCATTCGCTACCTAACCTGCACCCAGCCCCAGCTCCAGTGGGGTTTCCAAGGTGCTTCCTCGATACCGCTCCGTCGGCTTAGTGGAGGTTGTTTATTTATTTATAGGCAGCCAGCACCGCACCGCGTGGAGACTTGGGCAAGTACTTGTACAAGTACCTGCACAAGGACGCATCTCATCCAAGCAAGAAAGGGGAGGACCTACAAGTACATGTAGGCAAAAAGGTGGGTGACGTTTCGGGCCGGGTGCTGCCGTTGCATTTCGTCATCGTCGTCGTCCTTCGAGTCCCCTTCTTGGCAACTGCTAGCTCGCTCCGCGGTTGTCTTGATGATGCCCTTGTCCGGCTGACGGCCAGCAGCAATACTCTGGCAGGGGACATTGCTTCCGAGTGGCCGCCGTGGTGGTCATTGTGGGCGGCGTCGGCAGCCTGCCGTTACCCAAACTGATTTGCCAAGTCTGGTCTGCCAGAGCAGCGCGTGTTTAGGAATGCTTGCTGGTCGATATGCCCGCCCAGGCATGCAGCTCTTTAGCACGGGCATATAGTTAGATGGCAAGGGTGAGACGGGACGGAGAGCGGCAGGAGCAGTTCTGCATTCAAATCGAGGCGGCTGCCAGGGTCAGGTTTCCTTTGGGCTAGATTCTCTTCTCGCTGGTGCTCCCAATCTTTCTGGGCTCAGAACCCATCCGCCAGCATATAGAACACGCAGAGAGACAAGATGGGCTGAGCAGTGGACGATATGGTGACTGGTTCCGCGAGAAATCCGCCCAGCTGCAGGTTGATATCGGTGTGAACAAGAAGGCAGGAGGGCCGAATAGATCGTTTTCACATCTGGTCTCGGCTTGCTTTCCCCGGGATGAAGAATGTGCCACGGCTGAGGTTAGCCACAATGTCTTGCGGGCCTTGGCACTTGTATTGTCAATCAGTATCAGTATCTCTATCTTACACCCTAGTGATGATGAATGGACCTTGACCCATGTGCCCCCCTTGCGGCCAAATCTAGTTCATGGCCCGTGACCTCTATCGAGACAAGATATGTGCGTAGACAGCTTCTGCTCCATCGCCTTGGGAGAAATCAACCCTTTCTGGCCGACAGGGCTATTTCTGGCTGCATTGGAGATGGAGCTACTGACGCATCTGCTCGCGCATCTGACGAATCTGCTCGTCCTGCTCGTCCTTCTCCTCGCGCATCTGACGCATCTCCTCGCGCATCTGACGCATCTCCTCGCGCATCTGACGAACCTGCTCGTCCTGCTCGTCCTTCTCCTCGCGCATCTGATGAATCTGCTCGTCCTTCTGGCAAACCTACTGAGGGTTAGCCTCGCCCACCTGACGAATCTGCTCGTCCTTCTCCTCGCGCATCTGACGAATCTGCTCGTCCTTCCGACCTAGCTCTTCAACCAGCAGACGTACCTGCACCTGGAGAACATCATTATCCTGGCGAATCTGTTCCTTCTGGCGAGCCTCCTTCTCCTCCTGTTCGATCTTCTGAGCCCGAAGCTTGGAAAGGTGTTCCGAGTACTGTTGGAGGACTTGTCGAGGCGTCTTGGGGCACACCAGAACTGCATGACCGGCCATCTCGATGAAGCAGTCCTCCGAGAAAATGAAGTCGGTATCGTACTCGTCTTCTTTGCCATAGGCCATCACATCTTCAAACCGGATAATCATCGGCGCTCCGGTGACATTCCATGCGGTGCGGCAATGCACCTTGGTCACATCGCTGAGGGGTTCGGCCAGCGAGACGGTGACGCTGCTGCTTGCCTCGTCATCTCCTCGACGCCAGAGCTCAACTTCCATCTTGCGGTGTCGGTTGGGAGAGACCTTGATCAGGATAACAAGGTTTGGGTCATCGTTCTTTTGGAAGTGCGTGTTCTTGTCCCGGATGAGGCTGGCCTTGGACTGGGAGTTGCCAACCTCGACGACAACAGTTGGCTTGGTGATTCCATCTGGGCGGCCAATGCTGATGATGCCTTCGTCCGGTTGCTTGATCGAGGTGCTATCCTTCAGCTTCAAGTCGGCGTTGCCGATTCTCAGGACCATCTCGTAGCGATGCATGCCCCGAGCCTGCTCGACCAGGTCGTGGAGCATCACATCGGCCGGCGTATTGTGTTTGACGCTTGGCATCTTGAAGGAGAGGAGCCCGCCAAGCTCTGACGCGAGGTAGGTCAATTTGCACTTCCGAACCCTGGGCTCCTCCTCGTAGAATTTCTTGAAGTCGGCAGGCGAGACGTTGTAGAATGCGAACCTGCCGGGGCGATCGCAATCGTCGGACCTGAAATTCTCCAAGAGGTCGCGTATGGTCTCGACGACGTTGCTGCTGGGAGCGCGCAGCAGAAAGAGATCCTGGTACTGATCCGAGCCTGGGACGCAGAATACACCACGGTCAGCGAGGCTGGCGGAGTCTACATTACGGGGAAGGGGGGAGGGGGGAGGGGGTTGCCGCCATACCTTGGGGGAGCTCGGCTGGGCTTGACAAGAGGGACTCGATCGTTGGGTGCAAGGTGGAGGGCCAGTTGGAGATCGATGCCTGGGGACAAAAGGTAAGCTGGGTTCAGTTCTTGTTCAGATGGGTTTCACTGTTGGCTCACCTCCTGAGTGGGCGGATCGGCCGCGGCCGCCGACGTGGATTTCTCGGCGTCGTCCATGATGGAGATGGCAATGACGTGGACCGACGCGGGATACGTGAGGGCGCGACGTGTGAGGGCGCGCAGCGTGGTGTGTTTTGCAACGTTGAAAAGTTGCGTGCGTGAGAATAAGAGAGCGAGAGAGAGGGGGGGAGGTTGTGCGTTGTGAGAGAGAGAGGGAGGGCTGCGCGCACTAAAGGCACAAAGGCGATTTATTTAAACGACTTAGTACGTGGTCGGTGCGCAGACATAGTCACATTGTTTCAATTAACTACCTATCGCGGGCGCGGCGCCAGGAGCCCCGAAGAGTCTGTGTTGGCCTTTTTCCATCCTTCCTCCCTATCACCACATCAAGCTGTCCACGAAGCTCTGTCTGCCCCACAATCCCGGTTGGCAACCAAGGTGTCACATGAGGTTGTCTGGAACACTCTGACACTGCCCTCCGTCTAGATGCCAAAACTTGAGCAGACCGCGGGGAGGAGTAGTTGGGCCAAGGCTGAGGAGACGGCTGCTGTGCTCAAACGTATTCCCTACTGCAGCGACTCAGCGCCGTCGTCGCCAGTGAGATGTGAACTTCCTATTTAACTACTGGGCGGGGCCGAGGGGAGTGAACTTCACGCCTCTGACTGCTTCAGTTATCAAAGAAAGAAGGCCTCTGGGATCTTTGATGATTGTGCCTGGATTGTCTGGGCTGCGATGCATCTTTGGAAGCACGGTGGCAGTGCTCAGTCTGCCTGGAAAATCGACCACAATGGGTGATATGCCCAATGAGTCTTGCTAGCCTCTTTCTTCTCTCGCCCAGAGGAGTACCAACTGCTATCTACCGGCGATGCCAGTTGGGGCGGTGTTGACTTTTGCTTCAAGACGTCAGAAAGCCTCCTTTCTGTGTGTGACCTGTTCGGCCTTGTCGAGCTTCACCAAGGCTTCAACAATGGCTTTTCCAGGAACACAATCAAGTGGGCAGCCCAGACCCTGTCCATTTCCATACTTCTTGTAAAAGCCCCCGAAATGCAACGGTAGTACCCGGCTTGAAAAGCCAGCCCCTTACCGTTGATTGTTTACATAGATACTACTATGCCCCAGTATCATCGTCGCCAGTAACATGCGAATCTCCATTTTCTCGAGCCAAGCGAGGTGGAACTCATGATTAAACTAACCTCATTCACTCAATAAGTTCTGTGAGCCCTTTCGTGATTGTGTCTGCGCGATCTGGGTTGTGCGACGTCTTTTGAAAGCACGGCTGACAATGCATCAAACTCACTCATCTCGGATCAAGTGCCGCCGACTATATGAGGAGCTAATGTTTTACATTTCCCCCCCAGGTATAACTGTGTACTCTTAGGAGTTGTGTTGGCTTAAGCTCAAGCACTCCTCACAGTTGTCTCCCTGCTTGACCTTGCCGAGATTCGCCAAGTTTTGAACAACAGACTTGATGATCTCGAAAAAGGGAGTCCCCACCTCTAGCCCTGCCTGGAGATGTGGGCCGGATGATGTGTGCGGAGAAGGCTAGGGGGCGGGCGTCAGAATACTTGTACTTGTACATGCCTTCCTGTAGGTACAAACAAGTACCTATGTAGGTAGGTATGTAGGTACCTATTCCAGGAACATTACAAGTACATACATTCAAGGTTGCCTGTCTCCCCCGTGCCAGTGCCAGTGGGGAGGTGGCCTTCAAGGTCTTGGATGTCAATGCTTCATTGTTCTCGATTCGGGTGAGCACGGCATTCCATTCGCATTGTGCATTCGTTCTGTCGCTATTCGAATGCCGTGACGACTCGGGTCGAGAGAACCCCTGGATGACGCTTCAAGTACAAGTAGATGACGGCGATGGACTAGGCCGGGAATGGCAAAAAAAGGAAAGAGACCCCTGGGAGTGGTTCGTCATTGTCGCAACCAAAGACTTATATTTTCTTCCGTGATGAATCAATCCTCTTTCTACCAAGGCTACTTGTACTTGCTCTTCATTTCGGGCGCATCTGCAATCAACCGAGTTGCCGCCTGTATTTCGTGTCCACACCCCTCTGCAGGGTGTACTGGTATCGCTGGCAGCCAACTCCCCCAGGCTTCCTTAGGTACCTCCTGTAGGTAGGTACCTACCTAGGTAGGTAGGCAGGCTCTCGCTGAGACAAGCCGCCGACTGGGAATGCCAGTCCTCTCTCTGAAACACCCGCACCAAACACCAAATGGGCAGACTGCCGGGGCCAGAAATCCAGCACGCTTGGAAGAGATCCGATGGACTTACCTACCTAGGTAGGTCGGTACTAGGTAGGTACTCGCTGTCGGTCATGCAATCAGCACCCTTACCAGTATTTTGCGTACCCAAGGTTGGCAGCGTTGACAGGCTCGGGGGGGAAAGCGGGTCAATCACATGCTGAAATGTGAACCTAAACCTCTTCTCTGAGAGTGAGACACAGAACGCCATCAGAACAGACACAGACACCTGCGGAGTCCGGAGTTAGGTACCTACGGGACAGGTAGGTAAGGTAGGTACCTAACCTCCACTGGTAGGACACCTGGAGATAGGTCCCTACCTTACCTTACCTTACCTTACCTGGGCCCAGGCCCAGACCCAGACCCAACCAATTCCGCCGATACGGGACGCGCCGAGAGAACGCCCGTCATGCGCTGCCCCAGCCTGTCTGTCAGCGTCACTCCTGAGTGAGTCCTTGGGACCCGTGGACCTGCTTCTCATGCCTACCTAGGTAGGTAAGTAGGTACAGGTAGTTTGTTTCGTCCTCAACGGACCGGGAAACACGTTGCCTGTGTTTGCCACACGGCTTTTCTTCTCCCCCTGTTTACCCTGCGCAATGTTGCTGTCCCGCCTGCCGCTTCTCTCAACAACACCGTCCAGGGCGTCTTTGGATTCCATCGACACAATCATCAATATCTACCCGTCCCATGGCAAACCATCTCGACGTGTCGCACCCACCCAATAGCAGCATCCCGCTGCGAGAGCGCCCACGTCGCCATGGACGTCGACACGGACAGACATGAGGACGACCTCTTGCGGCCACCAAACGACGACACCACCCTCATCGCCCTCCACCCCGACCCCAACATCAACCCCAACATCAACCACCACAACGACGGCGACGGCGACGGCGACAGCGACAGCGACAGCGACAGCGACGACGATGATGCCGCCGTCGAGGACAGCCCCGCCACCGTCGCCTCCGGCTCCACCCTCCTCCATCCCTTCGCCGCCCGCATCGTCACCACCACCACCAAGACCGCCCAGACCGGCATCGTCTACTCGGCCTTTGCCGGCTACTACGTCCTCAAGGCCGGCAGGCTGACCACCATGGCCTCCCTCGGCCTCGGCCGCGCCCTCATCGAGCGCCTGCTCGCCTCCGCCGGCCACTCGGCCGCCGCCGACAGCCCGACAGCGTACAGCCGCGCCGAGGCCGAGTACCTGCTCGGCTGGACCTTCCAAAAGTTCCACCAGGCCGCCACCGCCGCCCAGCTCGTCGCCGCGACCCTGTTCGACTTGACCGGCGACAGCATCAGCGCCGTCGCCGGGACCTCGCTGTTCACGCTGAACCTGATCAACAACCTGCTCGGCTCCACCGAGTCGTCCAAGGCCGTCGCCGCCATCATCGCCCTCGTCCACCGCGAGATTCAGAACCCGACCACCGGCGCAGACGGCGAGCAGGTCGGCTATGTCGACCTGGTCCTGGGCCTGTGCGGCCTGGCATACCTGCAGAGATGCTGCCGCAAGCTGTCGGCGGAGGAGGACGAGCGCCTGCAGATCGACGAGACCGTGTGGGACGTCGTCGTGGTCAAGGGCCAGACCGTCGCCGTCCGGGAAAGGCGGAACAGGCACGCGGGGTCATACGAGTACACCGAGGGCCGGGGCCATCGGCGGCAGCCCAGTCGGCTGTACCGCGGACTCGAGGCCGCAGCACCGGCCGACGCCGGCGACCACGGCACTGCTCTCGGCCACAGCATGCTGCAGACCCCCGAGGAGCAGCTGCGCCGCGAGATCGCCCAGTCCCTGCCCGCCGCCGCCAAGGTCACCGTCTCCACGTCCACGACCCGCACCGTCACCATCGAGCTCAACTCGGCCCGGCCGTCGGACTTTGCGCCGCCGCCGGGCATGGTCATCGTCGAGGAGAGCAAGGTCCTGGCTCCCGGCGGCCCGTCCAAGACCGCCAAGGCCGGGTCGACATACCGCACGGTCTACCGGATGACGCGCAGCGAGACGCGCAGCACGGAGCAGCAGCAGCAGCAACGGGCCGCCGCCGCCGACAGCGATCAGCCAGCACGGGTCGGAGATGCCGATCGCCGACTGTTTGAGCTGGGACCTGCCTACAACGCGGAATCGGCCCCAGTGTCGGACGCGGAAGCCATGGACGTCGATGATGTCGAGGCGCCCCCGGTGCCGCCCAAGCACCCGCCGACCCTTGCTCTGCCAAGACCTGCGACGACTGCCATTCCCAACACCCCGCCCAGGGCCAGCAAGACTGTTGCGACGCAGACTACGCCTCGGTCCGCCCAGAACACGCCCAAGGCGTCGCAACTGCCTGTCCTGCAGCAGACTACTGGCAATGCGGCGAACCAGAAACGAGCACGGCAGAACCCAACCAGTCCTCCGTCGTCGAAGCCGGGCGACCGGCCGCAGCGATCGTCGGCAGTCGAAAAGAAGCGATCGAGTGCCGATCTGAAGAAGGACCCCGCCCCGCGCCCCAGGACCTTGGAGAAGCGGCCGAGCTTCCGGTCCGTCCTCAGAAAGGGAACAGGCCCGACGATCTCCAACCTCCTACAGAAGCAAGGTCACACATCCGCCAAGCAGCGGCCGCAGGTCCAAGACAGATCCTCATCAACGACGACACGGTCCAGCCAGCGATCCTCCACCGGCGACAGCCATATCCCCGTCCCCGACCGCAAGTCATCCCTCGTCCCAGCTCGTGACGCACCACCGCCGCCGTCCCGGCCAAAAGGACTATTCGCATTCAACAGACGGTCATCCTTCGATGCGACCGACGACGAAGAGTACGAACACGGCTGGCCGCGCAGCCCCTCCCGCAGCCGCGTCATGGACGACCAGCGCTCCATCATCTCCACCACCGACGCCTTCTCCGTGCACTCCCTCGAGGACACCAGGCCCTCGTCACCCCAGCTCACCCGCGACCTACCCCGCGCGACCGTCTCGCCCACAAAGAAGGCCATCTCCTCCCCGCACCTCGGCCGCGAGCAGCAGCCCTCGACTGCCACCAGTGGGGCCCTGGCCGTCCACCCCCGCAGCAGACACGAGCGCGCCGCCTCACAGGACTACGCGCCCAGCATCTACACCCTCAAGACCAACGACTCGCGCATGTCCCTCGCCCTCTCGGTGCTCAACTCCCCACCCCTGCCCTGCCACGGCACCGCCGCCGCCACCAGCAGCAGCAGCAGCAGAACCAGCTTCTACGCCGACGCCGACTCCCTCTCCTCTCTCAAGCAGACCGGCGCGGTACCCGGCCTCTTCCCGCAGGCGCACCTCGTCCACAACATCAGCCGGTACATGCGCTTCTCGTCGGCCGTCTACGGCTCCCACTTCCTCCGCCTGATGGGGATATCGACCTACCTGCCCGACCACGACCGTTCCGACCAAGGGCAGAGGTCGGGCGGCGGCGGCATCCACGGCGAGATCCAGACGTACGCGCACCACACGGGGCTCGACGCGTCGTCGGTGCTCGTCTCGTCGTTTGTCGACCCGGGCGGCGGCTCCGACGTGGCCGGCGAGACGGGCACCAACGTGCCGCTCGTGCACTGCATCTCGGTCGACACGGAGGCGCGGGCCGTCGTGCTCGCCTGCCGCGGCACCCTGGGCTTCGAGGACGTGCTCGCCGACATGACGTGCGTGTACGACCTGCTCGCCTACCGCGGGCGCGCCTACTCGGTGCACAAGGGCTTCCACGCCTCGGCGCGCCGGCTCGCGGACCGCGGGGGCCGCGTCGTGGCCGCGCTGCGGGCCGCGCTGCTGCGCCACCCGGGCTTCGGGCTCGTGCTCACGGGCCACTCGCTCGGCGGGGCCGTGACGGCGCTGCTGGGCGTCATGATTGCGGAGCCGAACCCCGGCGCCGAGTCGTCGTCGTCGTCGTCGTCGTCGTCGTTCGTGACGGCGCCGCACAGCGGGCTGCCGCCCGGCAGGGCGTGCCACGTCTACGCGTACGGCCCGCCGGCGACCATGTCGCCCGCCCTGCGCAGGGCGACGCGCCGCCTCATCACGAGCGTCGTGCACGGCGCCGACGTGGTGCCCTCGCTGAGCCTGGGCGCCGTGCACGACGTCCGGGCCGTGTGCCTCGCCTTTCGGCGGGACAACGGGGATGCCAAGGCCGAGGTCCGGGCGAGGCTGTGGAGGGTCTTTGAGCGGACGCTGGCGGGCAGGTGGACTGGCGCCGGCGGTGGCGGTGGCGGTGGTGGTGATGACGATGACGATGATGATGACGTCGGGTGGTGCTTTGCGGCGCTCAAGACGCTGAGGGCGAGCATGATGAATGTCAAGCTGGTGCCGCCGGGCGAGGTGCTGGTCGTCGAGAGCGCGCCGGCGAGCAGGAAACCGAAGGAGAAAGAGGCCGAGGAGGGCGAGGGCGACTTTGTGGCCGCCGGGGAGGAGGTCACGGGCGGGACGGCGAGGAGGGTCGTGTGCCGGTGGGTGAGGGACGTGGAGGCCCGGTTCGGGGAGATGAGGATCTGCGCGTCGATGCTGACGGATCATAACCCGAGCCGGTACGAGGAGGCGCTCGAGGGGTTGAGGCTGGGGTTGGGCGTCTAATGGGAGATTGGGCATGGGCGTGATTGGATGAATGACGGGGTGGTTAACTGGTCTTTTTTTTGGGGGGGGGGGGGGGGGGGGCAACGGGGCAGGCGTTTGGAGGATACGGGATTAGAACTAAAGATTATATACCATACGCAACATTCTTTTTTCTTTTTCTCATTGCATCGATATCGAAAATTAGATCTATTTGTATTCAGACACGTCCCCCCGCCCAACCCACCCGCCCACCCAATCACTCGGGCTTGACAGTGGTGATCCGGCCCTCGGCGTCGTAAAAGATCTCCCGGACCTTGACGCTCCGCAGGTGGTCCACGCCCTTGCTCAGCTCGCAGTCGTGGTGGAACAGCCACCAGCGGCCGCCGTACTCGACGATGGAGTGGTGCGTCGTCCACCCGAGCACGGGCTCGAGGATGCGCCCGCCGTAGGTGAAGGGCCCCGTCGGCGCGTCGGCCGTCGCGTAGCACAGGTAGTGCGTGTCGCCCGTCGAGTAGCTAAAGTAGTACCGGCCCCGGTACTTGTGCATCCAGGCCGCCTCGAAGAAGCGCCGGTCGTGGTCGTCGGCGGCGATGGGCTCGCCCGTCTCGGGCGCCAGGATCAGCAGCTCCTGCACCGAGCCGTCGAACTGCCGCATGTCGGCGCTCATCCGGGCCACCTTGGCGCCGAGCGCCCGCCGGCCGGGCCCGGAGGGCTCCTTGGGCCCCTGCCACGACGCGTCGAAGACGTCGTTGCCGCCCTGGTAGCACTGCAGCTGGCCGCCCCACAGGCCGCCAAAGTACATGTAGGCCGACTGCGCGGCGTCGTCGTCGACGAAGACGGCCGGGTCGATGGAGAAGCTGCCCCGGATGGGCTCCGGGTCGGGCGCGAAGGGCCCCGCGGGGGAGTCGCCGACGGCGACGCCGATGCGGAAGACGCCCTGCTTGTCGCGGGCGGGGAAGTAGAGGTAGTACTTGCCGTCCTTGGCGGCGGCGTCGGGGGCCCAGAGCTGCTTGGAGACCCAGGGGACGTCCTCGGCGCGGAGCACGACGCCGTGGTCCCGCACGTCGGCGGCGTCCGGGTCGTCGAGCGGGCCCGAGGTGGAGAAGACGTGGTAGTCGGCCATGTCGTACTGGTCGCCGTTGTCGTTGAACTGGATGTCGGTCTCGCGGTCGTGCGAGGGGTAGATGTAGACCTTGCCGTCGAAGACGTGGGCCGAGGGGTCGGCGGTGTAGAGGTGCTTGATGAGGGGCGCCATGGCTGCTGCTGCTGCTGGGGCCTTGTCTGTGCAGGAATCTCCTAATGTGTGCGATTTGGTGGTGCGAGTAGCGTGAGTTGAAGTTGAGCGGTCTTAGGGATCGTGATGTGGGGGATCGTGGTGTTGCGGGGACAGAGATCTGCAGGTTTTCCTCCGCAAGAACAAGATAATGAAGATCCAGAATCTCAAAGGGATCAATGGCAATCCCAAGAGAATATATACATCCCTCCGAGAATCGCCTCGCGTCGCCGAGCAACATTCGATCTCTCCTCCCCTCCCCCTCCTCTCTCCAACAAGAGCTCTCTCTCTCCCCCGCGCCGGCTGGGTGGAAGGCGGGACAAGACTTCAATTTATCCCAATTTAACCGGCCCGCGGACCGTTTATCCCAAGCTCTTCCGCCATGGCGGCTCCATGAGCTGCGAGGAGCCGCCAATATTTAAGCAGGTGGGTATCGGAGTACATAGCTCGCGCGCTGTCCAACGGCCACAACTCTGAATACTTGTAGAAAACTGGCTGCTGAACACGAGAGAAAGACAAAGTGTCTGGATGTGCGTGTGGTCGCGCAAGGCTGGCTGTCAATTGGGATCGGACCCCAGAAAAAGAAGAAAAAACGTCTCCGCGGACGGACCCAACGTCTGTTTTCCCTGCAGTCCTGCAGCCTCATGCTCCCTGACCTTGGCAAACTTGCAGAATGGCGCAGTACCCTTGCTCTCCAAGTCTCCACCCGACATTGTTGACACCCAAAGGACAGCCACAAACTTGACTTATCACCATGTGTCGGCGTCTTGGCGTCACAACCAGGAGGCCCGGCACCAGCGCCGGCGCCGGCTTGGAAGGTTTGCGTTGCGACACCCGCCACAACCTCGTCATCTTCTCCCTCAGGGAGGGCGAGAACAGCATTTTCCCTTGTTCGAAAAAATATCGATCGATTTCGCCTGGATGCCTGACGTTGCTCCCATGCGTTTCTGGCGATCCCCCCATGCACGGGAAGCAAAAGGGAATCCCATGCGTGGTGGTGGTACAAAGGCAGCGCGATGACGCACCGTAGGGACCCCGAATTTCATCATCTGGCTTTTTTTTCTTTCCTTCATAGCCCATTGGTAAAGTGTGTTGCACGAGTCCAAGAATAAAAAGCAAAGAGCAGAACAACTCCTGCACCTTGCCATCCTGCTCCGACTCTCGCTGCGCCGGGCGTCCCGCATTCCTTTTTCTCGCGACCGGGTCCAACGAAGACCGGGGGTGTGGAGAGAGAGGCCCGGGGTGGAAAGCAGGGTTCTGCACCCTTCCGGATTGCTTCCCCGGCGAATGGTGAGCCCCGGGGACCCCCCGCCAGGGCATCGGCGATGTCATGGGTTGTGCAGGGCATGCAAGCCACAGCTGCCCATGTCGAAAACATGGCAAGGAAAAGACTTCCCTTCTCTGGCCGCCAGCACCGCCCGCTTCCCAGCTCATGCAGGCACATGCATGGCTATCACATCAACGACATCATAGGCGTCTCCACCCCAGAGGAAAATGCGGTCATGCCCATTTTGGCTTCTTGCGTGACGCCCCCCCTGCTCTGCTGGATTTTGCTTTAAGCTTTTTGGACATGGGAAAAAAGTGTTGGGGGGTTTTGTCGTGTGCATGTCTTGGCGAAAATATCGCCATTTTCTTCGCGTCTTGATAAAAGACAGGGTTCCCATGCCTTCGGCATTCATGATGGGGAACTTCTGGAACATTGAAGATCTTCTGCGCTCGTTTTCTTGCAGTTTCCTTCTTAGTGTCATCTGTAAACAAAAAGAAAAGAGAAAAAAGGAGATAGGAAATAATCACAACGACGACAAGTGTTCGCTAAGATGAAGCGTGGGGTACAATCGCAGACCCCTAGTGAGAGTGCCGAGTCCGTGTCAGCGACTTACACCGAGGGTAAGGTGTCCCCGTCCCAGTGTTACCGCACCCCCCAAATCCTCCCCCGGTCCACCGCTAATAACGCAATCCGTGACGGTAGTCTACGGCGACAACTTCGCAAGCGAGACTGATCCGTCGAGCTTGGATGGCTACCAGTCTGACGACTCGGTCTCGGACGCGACCGGCTTCCGCGCCGGCGGCTGCGGAGGACATTGGGAGTGGAGTGCCGAGAACCAAGACTACGTGCAGTGGCGAGGCGGCGAGCTCCTCTTGTACAGAGCGTATCAGAGAATGGGAAGCGCAAAGGCCGTCGCGAGCAGACCGCACCACCATGCTAGCAAGTCTCGTGATTGCACCGTGCCGTGTGAAGAGTACAGACACCAAGAGACCTCCAATGGAGAGAGTAAACACCGGCGAAAAGGGGGTGACTGGGCTGGCGATGTGTCGAGGATAGCGCCTTGTAAGCAGGAACATGACCAACAGCAGCTGCGTGTCGCAGAGCCGCCGAGTAAGATTGTGTCTTTTTTCGAAAGTTTTGCGAGTTTTGATACCCCCGAACAAGCTGCAGCGATGAGCGCATTTTGGCGTCGATCAGTGGCATCCGTTTGTTTGTTGTTTGTTTGTTTGCGTTAGGCCCTCGGTTCGCTTCGAGGTTGACACAAGTAACGCAGAGTTCGCCGCAATCTCGAAACCCAAAAAGTTCTTCTGCCCGGGTCGGATATTCCAGGTCGTCTGGTTCGAGCCCGAGAGCAAGGAGACCACGAGGGTCAAGAAGTCCGACCGCGAGTACAGCAAGGCGTGCCCGCCCTACCAGGGGGAGAAGCCCCTGGCCCGGTACCGCTGGTTCGTCGTCGTCCGCAAGCGCCGCAGCTTCTCGCTGTGCCTCTCCATCACCATCTTCAGCCCTGGCGGCTGCGAGCTGCGCGTCCCCAACGAGTCCGCCGTGCTCTACCCCGCGGGCATCGACGCGCCGTCGCCCTTCCCCGAGGAGGGCATCCTCCGCGAGCCCGTCGGCATCATCATGGAGAACGGGCAGCAGTTCGTGTCGCCCATGGCGAGGCTCGACTGCAGGCGGCTGTACACGCTCGAGGACGGCCTCAAGGTGGCCAAGGTGGGACGGGTGCACCCGGACTCTCTGGGCCTGCTCGAGGCATACTACAAGGAGTGCGTGAATTGAACAGGGCCAGGAACCGCCGAGAGTGGTAGGTGTGGTGCGAGTGATGGTGGCAGGAGATGGATGTCCGGGCGCATGTCATGGATCCGACGGTACTCCGCGCTTTCGACGCGAAACAAATGTCTAATGATAATGATAATGTCAATCGGGAGTCAAAACAGTTGAGAGAGGTTCATCAATAGATACTTCAATACTAATCTGTACTGAACATCACGCGGGGTGTCATCCAAGGGCTTGGTGGATGGCAAACCACCTCCTCCTGACGCCGTCAACATGTCCAAGCATCACTCGCAGGTCGACGCGAGCCCGGATGAATCGAACCTGGTTCAGTGAGGTGTTTTGAGAGAGAAACTTGGCTTCAAAAGAGTGGTTGGTGAAGTCCGCGAATGGCTGGTGATAAACAGTCTTCCGGACAGTTACCAGCGCCGGTCCTACCGCCCAACTGATAATCGCTCTTGCTTTCCTTCAATGTTCTTCCATTCATTCCTCCCTTCGTACACTCCATTCCTCCTTCCCTTAATTCCCAGGCTCGCCGGAAGAGGAGATCGGTCATTCTCGATCGAGATTCTCTGCCCGTGGCTCTCACACACATCCACGCATCCATCCACGCATCCATCCACGCATCCATCATTCCATCAATATCACCATCCAGACAGACCTTGCCATCACTCGTTGCCTGCATCACCCCTATCCATTGCATCATTTGCACATCCACTCTGAACGATTGGATCTGTACCAAACAGCTACTACGAGCAGTGCTGTACTGCGAAGATGGCGCTCTCGTCCCGTGCTGAACGCAACCGGAGGAAAAAGCTGAAGCGAAAGGAGCGTCGCGACGTCGAAAGGGCAGAGGACCAGCAGATCTATGAGGCTCGGGAACAGGCACTTAGAGAGGCTCGCGAAGAAGCATTTGGAGAGGCTGCCGAGGCTCGGGAGCAGGCACTTAGAGAGGCCGACGACGCTCAGGAACAGGCGCTTGGAGAGGCCGACGACGCTCAGGAACAGGCATCGAGAGAGCCCAGCGAGGAGCGCCCAGGCCCGTCCTCGCAGTCGCGAGTCAGCGAAGAAGCCATGGCCGAGTGCCAGAGACTGACGCGGTCTCTGAGGCTGGCCATGGACGAGCTCCCCGAGGACCCCCCAGACTCTTCGTCGCAGTCGCAAACCGGGCCAGAAGACCAGAGACCAACGAGGGCTCAGGGCCGTGCCTCGAGAAGAGAGCGCCGGCCTAAGGGGCCAAGCGGATATGCTCCGTGGCTGGCCAACCTAGGACGCCCTCGAGTCGACTTCTGGGCTAATAACTACAGCGAGTCCGACTCCTCGGAGAACGAATTCCGCACGTCCATCCAGTCCACACCCGGTTCGGCACCATGCCAGACACTTCCCGATACTCCCGTAGCCAAGTTGGCGCCCCCGACAGATCCCGGATTCACCAAAGATTGGCTTGAACACCTGAAAGAAATGAACAGGACCGACCCGAAGCATTACTATGTTTGGGAGGTAGACAGAGAGGCCGGGCTCCAGGGCATCGTGGTGATATCGAGGACACCACCCAGCCACGGGTACATGGCTACAACCGGCGAGGACTGCATTACACTAAAAGATCTTGAGCGTCAGTGGAAAGTAGTGTACTCGTTCATGTGCAACGTGGCAGACGAAGACCAGCGCACAAGACTCGGGGAGGGATTGAGGCGGGCGAGCAAGTATCATGCGGTGATACGCAGTCTAATGGACGCGGGCAAGACGCCCGGCATCGATTTCGTAGCGGACTTCAGCCCCTTCAAGTTGAACAACATGCTCAATGAGGCCATGCGAGATCCCGACCATCTCTTCTCCGTGAAGAGAGACGACAAGACTGGCAAATGCACCCTCCACGCGACACCGAGGGCTGTCCGCGAGGAGCCCATCGTATACGACCCGGAGGTGCACAAGGCTCGCATAGCCGAGTTCATCGCTAGCTCGGCCGAAGACAAGGCTCGAGTTCTGGTACGGAACATGATAGCCTCGGGCAAGAAGGTAGACGTCAACGACGTAAAGAAGTACGATCCCAAGTGGCTGAAGGCCCGCATCTTGGAGGTCATGCGAGGTCACGGGGAACCCGGTTCCTCGTCGTCGAACCAGGCGTCCTCAGCGTCCCGCCGCTCCAGCTCGTCGTAGCGGTCGTCCGCGTCGACGAGCCCGGCGTAGTCGAAGTCGTCGTCGCCGCCGTGCACGAAGCGCTCGCGCAGGAAGTCGTCCCAGCGGCGCTGGCCCTCTGCGCGGTCGGCGGGCGGGTCGTCGTCGGACTCTGCGAATGCCTGGGCGGCCGCGCTGGCCGTGGCGGGGTTTCTCTCCGCGGGGAGGAAATCGGCTCTGGATGGCGGTTGCGATGCTGCCGCCGCCGCCGTCGGCGATGGTTGTTGGTACTGGTAGTGGGTGCGTATGTCTGCCGGCCGGAATGCTGATGATGACGCTGGATCTGCTCTGCTACTATCGCCGCCGCCTGTGGGCTGGGAGGCGTAGGACTCGGCCATGCGGGCGAGGCGGGCCTCGCCTCGGAGGAGGGAGCCTTCGAGCACGCGGGCGTAGCCCTTTGCTTGGCCTTCTGCTTGGCGCTCCTGTGGTGTTTGAAAGCGCCGGATGAGGATGTCGTAGAGGAGAGGGTCTAGAAAGGAGGATTTCCTTTGTGAGCGGCTTGGTTTCATTTGTGTTTTTTTTCTTTTGTGTAGTGCTTGGTGAAGTTCTGAGGGCAGATGGAATGTCTAGAACAGCGGTGATAACAATCATAACAATAATAGTAACAGAATAGCGATACAAGCCTTTGATAACATGAGATCATCGCAGCACATAGATGACAGGAAGTTCTTCGAATGGCTGGTGACTTCACATATGAAGGGAATGGATGAACGAAATGAGACGGGGCGAACCTGCGCACCGACCTGACAGACACACAGAGCGCTTGTCCTGGCCTGGTACACACAACTGACCGGGACTGATCCCCGCGTACATGGAAACTTACCGGCAAGCTCATGCTCCGCAGACCGGAAGTAGTCCGGGTTCTGCTCGAGGTACTCCCTGCGGCGGTTGCGGATGCGGACCTGCGCCGCCTCAGCGGGCGACCGCTGGGGCCGGGGCCTGGGCCTCGAGTAGAGATCGTCGCTGGCGGTCTCGTCGACTGCCGAGGGCGCCATTCTTATCTCTGTGTGTTGAAATCAGGGTCGTGAGATGGGACAAGTTGTTCACAGATATGAGAGTGGCAAGAAGACAGCACTGAGAAGGATGCGTGGATGTAGACTGATGTTGAAAACGAGCTGGAGGGAGGTGGGGTTTAGCTCATTCAACGCTGAGAGCGCTGTCGCGGGCGCTAAGGGCGGCGGGCGCTACAAGCTGGATTCTCTAGTGGCACAAGGACGTGCATTCTTGATCTCTACAGAACTGGCCATAAAGACATTGCGTCCTCAATTGATCGAAAAGTCTGACAGTCATCAGGGCGGCTTTCTTTAAGGGAGAGGTTGTCGAATCTTTGAAGCTTTGCAATTCAATTTTGAATACTCCAATTCCAAGCCGTACGCCAGGGTACCGAACTAATAATGTGAAGGCGTGTGCCCTAATCGACCCGTGCTTTTAGGCAGACCAAACGCCGCTCAATGACGATATCTACAGCAGACTGAGGGATCACCTTCTATCCCACGCAGTAGCTCCTTCATTCCCAGCCCTCTACTCATCATCCTCATCCCTCGCCCTCTTCGCCCCAGCCTCCACGTCGTCGTCATCGTCCCGCGACCTCTTGAGGCCCTTCATCTTGCGCGTCTGCAGCTTGCCGAGGTCCTGCTTGCCCATGTGTATCCTGCCCATCTTGTCGCCCACGATGTCGGTGGAGGTGTTCTTCTTGGGGCGCTCCTCGCTGGTCCGGGCCCTGCGCATCGCCTCCTTGAGCGCCGCCTCGTCGGGCTCCCGCAGCCGGCCGAGCCGGAAGTCCATCCGGGGCCCCATCTCCTCGAGCTCGACGCGCGGCAGCCGCTGGCCGCTGCGCCGCGTGCGCACGAGGTAGGCGCGCAGCCGCAGCGCCGAGGCCTCCTCGTCCGCCGTCGCGGCGACGACGTACCGCAGCCCCTCGACGTCGATCTTGTCCGCCGACGAGTCGCCGCGGAAGAAGTCGACCAGCAGGCTCTTGGCCGTCGTCCACTCGTTGCGCACGGGGCTCTCGAACGCCGGGCCCGCGAAGACGAGCAAGGGGCGCAGGCCGACGGCGAACTTCTCCGTCTTGAACTGGCTCATGCGGCGGTAGGTGTCCGGGTCGAGGTAGAGCTCGAGCATGTCGAGGATCTTGTAGTCAAAGGTGCGGCAGAGGGTCAGGCAGTGCGGGCGCTTCTTGGACGAGTTGCCGAAGACGAGCAGCGAGCAGTCGTTCTTGTTGCTGAAGAACTCGAGCGACGAGGCATCCTCGAAGGGGTGGATCGGGTTGTTCTTGGTGAACTTCTTTGCGAGGGGCATGCGCATCGAGTGCAGGTCCGACATGGCGTCCTGGCAGACCTGGCTGCACGACGTGCCGCGCAGGAAGAGGGCGTTCTTGGGGTTCTCGACGGCCTTGGGGTCGCGCTTCTCGAGCGCCCGCTTGGAGCGGGCATTCCTGGGTTTTCTGCATTGTGTTAGCAGGGCTCCTAGATAGAATTGGTACGTCTTATATCAGTCTTACATTTGCCTAAGCATGGTGGGCTTCGCAATGTGTATTCCTGATTGCTCCTCAAAGGTTTACGATTCTCTAGAACTTGGGGAAAGATCACTGCATGGACAATTTTTTGGCGGTCGGAGGGCGGGCGGGCGGTGTAGCCACAAAAAAGTCGAGAATGGCCGGCAGAATTTTACTTAGCGGCAGCCGACTGAGTTGGCCCGAGTTTTGGTCCTGGGGCGGGGTAAGAGGTGGCCAATCACATCAACTCTCCGCTCACGCAACTTGTGCTACACTTCTTATAATAACCAGAAAACGACTTTAAATTACGCTCTTTTTCCCGGTTGTTTTGCTAGCGCTCTCCCACATAAATCTGCAGGCGCAGGGGCCATTTCCTTAACAGCCTGTTTAGAATCCTCTCGCTAAGCACCAAAAGAACCCTGTACACTAACATTGCAAGGTATATAGCTGTTAGTACACAACCTAGTATGCCGAAGAAGGCTCTGAGCGCAGCGAAGGGCCTCTGAGGCGGAGACCCTGGAGCCCGAGAGGAACGAGGGCGGAACGGGTCCTATTTTACGAACGCGAGCCCTGCGAGCAGTGAGGGCTACTACAACCCCATTCCCTAAAGCCTGCGTTACAGGCAGTCCCCTAGTCTTATAATAACCAGAAAACGACTTTAAATTACGCTCTTTTTTGCGGTTGTTTTGCTAGCGCATCGCCATCTAAATTTGCTGGTGCAGGGGCTATTTTCTTAACAGCCTGTTTAGAATCCTCTCGCTAAGCACTAAAAGAACCCTATACACTAATATTACAAGGTATATAGCTGTTAGTGCAAGGTCTGGGTCTCTTTTTAAAATTAGCTTTGAATTCAGGAGAGAATTTAGATTCTAGATATAACCAGTCTAGATGGGCTTGATTAGCTTGATGGGCTTTTGATAGGCCAGTGGCCCTGACAGGCTTGATAGGCTTGATAGCCTTGACGGGCTTGATTGATGGGCTACGGGCCAGTAGCCCTGATGGGCTTGATGGGCCAGTGGCCCTGACAGGCTTGATGGGCTTGATAGCCTTGACGGGCTTGATTGATGGGCTACGGGCCAGTAGCCCTGATGGGCTTGATGGGCCAGTGGCCCTGACAGGCTTGATGGGCTTGATAGCCTTGACGGGCTTGATTGATGGGCTACGGGCCAGT